TCAATATACATACATCCTGAGATCACCGATTCTGATAGCACCAACGTTTTTTTTTCTTTTCCCGCAGCTGATTACATTGACCACCACAGCGAGTTAGCGGACTGCACTGCGAACACGCCCATGGCTGCCGTCAACGGCGAGGGATAATATTTGAACCGATCCTGTATGGACCATCCCAGCCTTCATCAACCTGCACTGACCAGTGTGATGAATTATGGTCAAACCACGGCCGACAAGGTGCGGAGAAGCCAGCATCCATCATCAACGAGCCGTATGAAATGAACCACACGCCCCCCCCCCCCCCTATCCCGTCCTTCCCGTCCCTTCTAACCTCTTATTTTAGTTCTTCTGTCCTTATCTTCTCCTCCCCCGTTAAACAAAAATCCACGCTCCTGCCCGCGGCCCTCACGTAGGTGGGGCAGCGAGTCCAAATATTTCCCCTCGGGACAGAGTTTTTCTGTGCTCCCTCCTTTGGTTGTGATCTGTGCTCTGTACTAGGCCCATGAGGAACTATTAACAAAAACCTCACCACAGCTGCAACACACGTGGCAATAGCTGCTCTGGCAGGAACCATCACCAAGAGTCGAACCCAGGATCTTTGAGATGACCAGACACTGCATAAAGTCCAACACCCACTGTTCTTATTTTATTATGTTTTATTTTGATTATTTTATTTCCATTCTACGTGACTTTACCGAAAGAACCAAGAAGATGAACCCCACTGTTCTCTCCGGATCTCGCACTCCCCCTCAAACGAAGCCAACCCCCCCTCGTGGAAGACTCCATGAGGGTCTTCTGAGTTAATAAAGGGCACGACTTTTCTCGATTTAAAACTCATTTGTGTTTAGATTGTTGTCCTTCACCCGCACCTCCGATTCGCACAGTTGGCTATATACGGTGCGAAAAAAGTTCAACATACGTACATGCATTGCTCTTAAATGCGTATGGGGGAAATAAATATATTTTAAAAGACAAATGCACCGTGAGACTCTTTATCAGGAAGGATCCTGCAAAGGGTTATTTTTTTATCTTAAGATGTTTTCAGCGCATTAATGATGAGTTGTTTGTTATACAAGTGGGATAGGACTGGAGCACCCGGAGGAAATCCACGCACGCGAGGGGGCAACTCTCTATCCCCGCATGGATGGAAAGAGACGGCGATAGTTCACCGCCTTCTCGTGGCGAGCACCTCCTCGACGTCCACAGGAAGGGAGTTTCACAGCCCATCTGTGGGGTGATCCACAAACCCTTGCTGCCTCCGCAGTGGCTGAATTACATATCAGCAACGTGCAGCGTCGCCACCACCGTCCCACAGCAATGTTCTCTAAGCTTTCCTGCAAAAATAATTTCCATTATTTTATATAATAGGCATAATTGTGTAATTGGTATCATCGTGTTATACTTAGCATTGTTATATCAATGGAAGTAGAATACAATTGAAAACAATTGGCACAATCAGCACGATTAATATGGGGGATATAATTACTGACATTACTAAATTACCTTCCAATGTGCATTATTATTGGCATGCATAATTAAACCATAATTGGCATCAGTAGCATACCAATCTCACTTATTTGGCTTATACAGAAAAACGAATCAATAGTCGATGTTTTGGGAAATGGCCCTTATTTATAGCATATTTCCGGCCTTCACAGCCATAGGGGATAACTACATACCGACTCAGGACAGCCAACATGCTTCCAGACCCACAGCTCGAAGAGGCGAAGACCACGACGACGACAGCATGACGAGTTTCACTCCAGATGGCAGCAGCCCCGACTGTGAGTCGGAGCTCGCCTTTTATCCTCCCCACCGTGGCCAGGCTGCCCCACCCACGGGTCCAACTGGTAGAGCGGGCTGCTACCCCCCATTCCCAATGTCTACCAATTTCCCAGCGCCACGCGCTCCAGTGACTCATTCGATGTCACGACATATGTGTTAGACGCTACGGTGCTGTTATTGACACCGTGTTGAGTAGCTTTTGTTATTGCTAATTCTACTTTGTGCACCACGGCCAAAGCAGCAGCTGCATCGCCAAATAATCTATTCGTCTGTTCTGCGACGCGTACTCGAGACGCGTACGCGCGCACACACACAAAGAACCCATGGAATGCGCGCTCCAGTGTTGAATAATCCAACAATAATATAGTGATATATATATACCGCATGAAGTTTCTCTGCGACACAGGCAGTATATCAGTCCATAGTGACCTTGCTTGCGGGAGATTTGAAATAAATAACCCTCAAGACTCCTTTTGCCCTTCTCCATTCAGACACGTATAAAAACCACGCTCGCGCGCATGTACCCACACGCACAACGATACAGATCGCCCGTGTAGCCTACGCAGAATGTTGGGACCAACGCGCCTTGTGTTAGTGAGCGCCAAGGAATCTGGGAAGGTCGGCACAGCTCACGAGACATTGATGAGGCCAGAAACATGCCCGATGTTAACACACCCCCACCATGTGCTCATTTATGAGCTGAGTAGACCGAGGAGAGGACCAGGGCCGGTTCAGATAATCGTCACTGGTTTTGGCCATGAGCAGAAATCGAACTCGGTTCGCCGGGTTCGTAGCGCGGCGCGCTAACCGCTACACTGCCGCTCCAAAGACAAAGATCCCCCGTATAACCTTAACAGACCTATGACGGCCGGCACGGCACACGAGGGAGTGGGGTGGCCGAGACACACACGCTCTCAGGCATACACGCGTTCACGCTCTCACACACAAAACCCATCTCCCTCCGGTCCGGCGTCGCGAGCGTGGCTGCCCGCCCGGAATCCACGGTAGCCTCTCCAATTTGTCACACAGCGCCCCAGAGAGAGAGCGGGCAATTAATTGTGAAGACGCGCTGAGGAGCAGTGGGAGGGAAGGAGAGCGATGGATGGGTGGGGGGGGCGCACGTGTGTAGTAGCAGCAAGAGGAGGTGTGAGAGTAAGATCCTTTCAGAGAGAGAGCGGGGAGGAGACACGGGACTTGACGATGCTAGGGAAGCGAGGAGCACAGTGCTGGATACGCGTGTCGCGCGACAGAGCTGCCTCGATCGCCAACTCGCCCCGCGTAAACGTGACCTCCTGACTTATTCACCGCAGCGAACGGGCGAGACAATCGCCCCCGGAGAGAGGTAGAATAGAGAATAGGGAAGGAGCAGGAGGAGTGGGTGGGGTGGAGTGGTGGTTCGGGGACGGCACGAGGAGACAGGGAGGGACCCCTATACACCCACCCGAGCTCCCGGCTGGCTGCCGGGGTTCGTGACCTCGAACTCTGCCTCGGCCACGTGTGACGCTGGTCCGGAGGAAGCAGCTCAAGGACCATGGGCGCGTGGAGTCAACGTCTCTGGGGTTTCACCGTGCTGCCCTTTCTGCTGCCCTTCTTTATACTGCTGCTGTCCGTGAGTGGCCGAGAGGCGCTGACCCCCTGTGCTAGACCACGAACTACACCCCTCCATACCGTCGCTCGCGATCATAATGCTCGAGGGAGCGAACAGCCAACGCCGATGCCCGGGAGAGTTCGGTGCGTGCGAGGTTCATAGCGAGAGCCCAGGAAAAAGCCGAGGCTGCAGAGCCCCCCCCCCCCTCCTCTACGTGAATCTGGCTCTGCGCGTGTCGAGATGAAGAGGGTGGGTCAGGCGCTGCTAGCAGGTGCCATCCTCGGGATGATGGATGGGAGTGCAGGTCAGGGTCTACGCGAATCACCCCTGGGTTTTTTGTGGTGGACCCGCGGCACGAAGTGCGGCGAGTGGCGAGGCCGGACACGCAGAGAGCGTGGCACCTCGCGTTCACGTCGATTCGCGTTAACGCGCAATGTTACCCAAAGCGCTTGGTGCCCCCCCCTCCCCCTCGCGGAATTAGAGATTGCTGGGCTTAATTGTCTCTCAGCTTGTTAAGTAGGTCTTCTCTATCGTTCTATATCTATAATATATACGCAATGTCATGCATAGACATGCATGGGGCACCGCGGTGGCGAGATGTTAACTACCTCGTCTGGTATGCAAGAGGTCGTGGGCTCGCTCCCAATCCTGACGCATGCTCTATATTTGGAGTTTGCATGTTCTCCCCGTGGTCGCGTGGATTTTTCTCCGGGTCGTCCGGGTTTTCCCTCCACATTTAGAAACATGGGTTTAGAGTATTTTGCTGCTGTAAATGTCCACGTAATAATAAGCCACTTCATTGAGCTATCATTCGTGGCCAGGTCGCTTCTGAAAAAGAGCTACATCGCTCACTGGGCCTTACCTGGCAAAATAAAAATAGCATAGCATAGAGGTTTCAGTTTGGGTGTTTTAACATCTAAACACCTGTTTTATTGCCAGAGAGGGTAAAACCTATTCTTATAATCTTGTCATACCGAGAATTCATGATCATGTCTATTATGTAATTTGGTGATGATGAATGGTGTTTATTATTGTTTGATGACAATGATTGGTGATGAATGACTGATATGAATTAGTTGTGTCATGATGGTAATGGCGTTGCTGTATCCACACAGACAAGAATCTTCGTGAGTTCGAGTCCAGAGTCCCTGGGTTCCCGAGACCCTCCCTGGGCCCCCCAGCACAGCGGGGACCAGTCTCTGGGTCCTGCCTTGCGAGGGGAACACGGGGACTCTATCGGCTACTGCGGGAGTCGGGCGCCCTTGTTACTGGCATCAGCATTATCAGCAGCAGCAACAGCTACAGAATCATCATCATCAGCAGCAGTTGTAACAACTACAGAATCGTCATTATATACAGGAGTAACAGCTGCAGAATCATCATCAGCAACAGCTACAGAATCGTCATCATCAGCAGGAGTAACAGCTGCAGAATCATCAGAAGCAGCAACAGCTACAGAATCATTCTCATCATCATCAGAAGCAGCAACAGCTACAGACTTATTATCAACAGCAGCAGTAACAGATACAAAATCGTTATCAGCAGCAGTAATAGTTATAGAATCAGCATCAGCAGGAGTAACAACAGCAGAATCATTATCATCATCAGCAGCAGTAATAGTTACAGAATGGTCAGCAGCAGTAACAGATCCAGAATCGTCATCATCAGCAGCAGTAACAGCTACAGAATCATCATCAGCAACAGAATCATCATCAGCAGCAGAAATAGCTACAGAATCGTCAGCAGTTGGAGTAAGAGCTACAGAATCATCATCATCAGCTGCAGCAGAAGTAACAGAATCACCATCAACATCAGCAGTACGAACAGTAGAAGAATATGGACCACCACCACCAGTAGCATCTTATGATGATTTATCATCATCATCCTCATCAACAACAACAACACTATCAGCAACACGAGACGAATCAACATCACCACTGCCACCGACACCGTTATCACGGGGTCACAAATTCTTCTCGATCGTGGATCCATCCCCGACGCGGCGACGGCGGCGAGCGGTGCACGCGCACGGGCACGGCGAGGCGACCGCTTACGGGCCGGCTCCTGGCCCGGGTGGGCGACCCCGCAAGCCCTTCGGCTGGGGCGACTTCAGCGCCAGCGTTCGCACGGCGCGCCTCCAGCTGCTCGTCACGGCGAAGCTGGTGGACCAAGGGAACGGCTCGTTGAGCGTGCACTTTCGTCACAACGCAACGGGCCGAGGAGGCAGCTTGTCCATCAGCCTCGGGCCGCACGCGACCCCGCTGCGCTTCCCAACGCGAGGACCCCTCGCCAGCCAGAAGCCGCGGTTCCATCAGCAGCAACAGCAGCAGCACCGACAACATCATCACCATCACTACCAGCAGCAGCAGCATCGTCAACATCAGCACGGGCAGCAGCAGCAGCAGCACCATCAGTACCAGCACCAGCAGCAGCCGCGGTTCCATCAGCAGCAGCAGCACCGACAACATCACCACCACCACCAACAGCAGCAGCAGCAGCATCGTCAACACCAGCACGGGCAGCAGCAGCAGCACCATCAGTACCAGCACCAGCAGCAGCCGCGGCACCAGCAGCAGTGGAGTGAGAACCACCAGCGACGTCACGAAGATGAACAGCACCCGAGACAGCAACAGCATCAGCACGACCAAAACTATCAGCAGCAGCAGTGGAATGAGAAACAGTTGCAACTGAATCAGGATGAGCAGCACGACCAACAGGAGCAGCAGGAGCAGCAACAGCATCGGCACCAACACCCGCAGCAGCAGCAGCAGCAGGCTGAGTCGAAGGAGTCCCGGGACACAGGAACTTTCCGTTGTCGCGTCGAGTACGAGAAAGTGGATCGAGCGCTCAAAAGCGCGCCGTGCGCCGAGCCGCGCGACGCGGACTCCCCCGCCGCCGGTTCGAGTCCCAGCCCCGGTGGTAGTCCAGGTCACGGTCCGCCAGGTGTGGGTTCGGGCACGGGCGGATCGTGCTACCGCGAGCAGGTTCAGAGCCACGTCTCGTGGATCTGCTCCAAGCCAATGAGCGCCTTCTGCATCTACATCGCATTCCAGGGCGAGGACTACCGCCTGGCGCACAAAGTGTGCCCGGACCTCCACGCCAATCGTAACCTCCCCCCCAGCGGGTGAAGGAAGCGGGCCGGGTGGTGGATACGGAGGGGGATGGTGGACGAGCAGCAAAGGGCGAGCACACCTCCTGGAAACAACAGGCACACTGTCACCACCACAACCACCACCGTCAGTGGCGTTCGTCATACACGCATCTCGCTGAGACCACATACAGCACCATATAAGGATTGTTCGGATGTCCCGTGACTTCCATTTAATGCCCTAAAACTATTTTTTAAGTAAAGTTTATTTAAAGTTTAAATGAATATGCTAAGGAAGAAAATGGTACGGGTCAATTAATTTGGGGTCCCGAGACATCTGAACCACCCTGTACCTGGTTTAAACGGGACCATAGCACACACGTAGGCAGGAACTTTTGTGGAACTCGCCCGGCATGAGATACCGCAGAACAACTTTCGAGAGCTCTGGCAAGTAACGGTTTTTTTTATTTTCAAATCCAACACACCAGGGGCCATGCCCCATGTACAAGTTCATGGCATTGCAGTCCAATCGATGTTTCAAATCAAGCGAAATCCCACATTTCAACCTGCCGTCATCGTCGTGACCGATTCTGAGACCATCAACTCGCTACGCTTGAGAAAGCACCCGTGTTCAAATCCGCGATCTTAGCGGTGACGGCTCAGTGCGTTGTTTCGTATCCACGCATGTGGCGCATTGCAAAGCGCAGCATTTTACGTCTATGTAAACTCCCCTTATACCCGTGTCAGATTTACTGAGTCTCGAGACCCCCTTCTCGCGAGGGTCCTGCTTGGAATGTTCGGAGATCGGCGGCACGGCTGTTGAGTGTACCGGAGGTGCATCAGGAGTGAGCAGCTACAACATGGGACCTTTCTTTCCAGGATCAAAGTGTAAGAATAGGTTTTACCCTTTCTGGCAATAAAATAGGTGTTAAGATGTTCAAACACCAAACAGAAACCTTTTGCAACGAGTCATGCCTGCATTAACCACAAAGACAATGCATATATGCATCGCCTTTTTGCGTCCTCTGGTCTAACACTGATTGAGACGAGGCCTGAAAGAATGCTGCTCTCTCTGGGGTGAACCAATCAGTTTCAAAGACAATGCATTTATTACCAGAGCATGTTTTTGTTTGCATGTTCACAAGCAATGGCGGAACCAGGATTTGCAGGTAGTGGGACAACCCCTGTAGCAATGAAAATGGTAGAGGAGTTGTTAGTAAGTAAGGACTTGTCCCTTGCTTTTTATTCAACGCCTGTGCAGCGATGGCGCAGCCATCGATCGAGGGTCGAATTCGAACCGCGTTGTGTGATCGGCATCGCGCTCGCTAAAGGTGAATGCATTCAGGGAAGTCGTGGACTGTGTACGCAACTGCGCACAATTCTGAGTCACTTAGAACTGCTTTGCCCTTACTTATTGCCAATTATGGACTCAAACTATTATCCTATCATATCATAGAGTCCCTGGCACGTAATAATATGCTACACAGTGGCAGTGGGGGTCGCAAAATGCCGATTTATTACGAATAAACCCCAATGATCCGATCCAAATGAGGGATTTCGATCGGATCATTGGGAGGGCACGTGCCACCCGCCCCCCCCCCCCCCCTCACTGGCTCCGTCAGTGTTCACAAGTATGTGTGGTTGTCGTTAGACCTCCTTTGCCAGTACCAAAATGTAATAATAGGGTTTTTCCCCTTTTTTCTGGCAAAAAACTTAAACCTTTTTTTACAAGGATTCATGTCTGCAGTTTGCAGTCAAAATGCAAAAAAAACATACTATGATAATATATGCATTGTCCTTGAAACTGATTGGTCCACACCAAGGGACGGCTTTCTTTTGAGCCTCGACCCAATTGGTGCTCGACCAGATGACGCCTTTTGGCGTCAAACACCAAACAGAAACCTTTCTGTTTGGTATTTCCATGTTGGAGGAGACAGAATGACGCCTTTTGGCGTCATCTGGTCGAGCACTAATTGGGTCGAGGCTCAAAAGAAAGCCGTCCCTTGGTGTGGACCAATCAGTTTCAAGGACAATGCATATATTATCATAGTATGTTTTTCTTGCATTTTGACTGCAGGTATTGTGGTTAATGCAGACATGAATCCTTGTAAAAAAAGGTTTCAGTTTTGTTGCCAGAAAAAAGGGGAAAAACCCTATTATTATGTGCGGTTAATGCAGATATGATTCCTTGCAAAAGGTTTTTGTTTGGTGTTTGAAGATCTTAACACAGCTGTTTTATTGTGTCAGAAAGGGTAAAACCTATTCTTAGACTTTGATACTGGCAAGAAAGGTTACATGTTGGAGGAGACAGAGTCACTCGCAGGCTTTGCACCAAGTATCAAGGCGCAGGGCTGCAAAGACTGAGAGAATTGGACAGGGGAGGGCCCCCTTGAATTTCTGGTACCAGGGCCCATGCCAAGCACACTCCACTTTTAAGAGTATTCGGATATTTTCTCTGTGACTGAGGAAAAAACGGGGCTGTCCGAAGAAACCCCAGACATACGACGGAGAAAACTCAAATCCCGCTATAACGAATGACCTTTCTCCATCCTACTTGCTGTCCTGATATAAATTATACGGAGCTTGAGATATGGGAGTAATTATCTCTGATAGTCGACATAGGGGCTGTATAATAATAGCTTTTAAAATATAAAAAAATGTGATTTTTCAATATATACAACACACCTGCAGTATGCGTGTTTGCCATAGTTGTGTGTGTATGTACGGCTGTGTGTGTAGGTGTATAGTGGGGAGCGGTAGTGTAGTGGTTAGCGCTGCGCTACGAACCCGGCGGCCCGAGTTCGATTCCCGCTCACGGCCAACACCAGTGACGATTATCTGAACGGGTCCTGGGCCTCCCCTAGGTCGACTCGGCCTCAAATGAGTACCTGGTGTCTTGTGTAAACATCGCCACTAGGGAGACAAAGGCGGCCGGGCGTGGTGTTGGCCACCCACCCCCTTCGTGTGCCGTGCCGGACTTCAAAGGTGCTTGCAAACAGCACTTGCCCCAACAGTCTGTTCAGGGGGATCTTTGTCTTTGTATATATGTAACAGCTTTGGTTTGGAAGCAGAGGTTTCACTTCGAATCAGACCCTGCTGATGAGATAATGAACATCGAAGAGGAAGATGGGATGTGTTCAAACGACTTTTGGTTTTCGCTTGAAGGGACAGATATGTGAAGGCGTTTTGTTGGCCAAGTTTTGCTTTTACTTCAATTCTGATGCCTGTGTCATGTGCGATGTGACGTGTCGCCGTCTGGTGGACATAGCCTGCAACAAGAAGTACTACAATACGCTTTTGTGTGCGCCTCTATCTCTGTTAGAACCCTAGGGGGAGCCCACGTCTTGTTCGAAAGTCTCATTGATTAATATGCCTTAAGAGTTGATGCGTTGTACTATACACAGATCGACACAAGGGTACGCACACGGAGACAGGAAGACGGAGATAGACGCAGGGAGTCAGAGAGGGTGCCACGGTGGCTAGGAGATGTTAACTACCTCGCCTGGTATGCAGGAGGTTGTGGATTCGATCCCAACCCTGACGCCTGCTGCGTATTTGGAGTTTGCGTGTCTCTCTCTCCCCGTGGTCACGTGGATTTTTCTCCGGGTCCTCCGATTTTTTCCCTCTATTTAGAATCATGCGTTTAGAGTATTTTGCTGCTATACATTTACACATAGCCCACTGCTATGAGCTATCATTTGTGGCCAGATCGCTTCTGTAAAACAGCTGTACAGCTCAGTGCGCCTTACCTGGTCAAATGGAGAGACAAATATTAAGAGTAAAAAATAGACATAGGGACATACCAGCCGTTGTCTTTCCCGCACCTCAGATTCGCACGGTTTGCTACTTACGGTGCGAAAGAAGTTCAGCATACATTCATAACATTACGCCGATGTAAACTCTCTAACCCATGTCAGATTTGCCGAGCCTCAAGACCTCTGCTTGGAATGTTGAGAGATCAGCGCGCATTCGCCACGAAGTGGAGGGGACGTGACCACATCATCAGCTAGCCCACTCACACGTGGGGGGGGGGGGGGGGGGGGGTTGGCGACTTCCTCCAAAATCTGAGGCACAGCAGCCCGAGCCTGGTTCATCCACAACTTGCCCCATGATGTCATCTCGGCTGAGGGATTTCCCCTCCTACCAAGACATAGAGAGACACGTAGGCACAGGGAGACAGATTCGGGTAGACACAGGGAGACAGCGAGACGTGTCGACAGGGAGAGTATTTGGCTGCTATACATTTATACATAGAGAGACAACACATTCCTGCAGAGGGAGCTGGTAGGAATGTTGGGTTGCTCGGTCAATGGCCAGGGTCAACGGCGGCACCACGTGGTGTATTCCGCACAATATGCCCGACTGTGAGGGCGGGCACAAGCCGGCGTGAGTAGGTTAAACGTTGAGTTTTATAAGGGCACCACGGGGTAACCAGCCTTTCCCTACCCTCCCCACCCAGCCCCTCCCCACCCTCCCCTCCCCACCCAGCCCCTCCCAACGCAGCCCCTCCCCACCCTCCCCACCCAGCCCCACTCCCCACCCAGCCCCTCCCCACCCAGCCCCTCCTCACCCTCCCCACCCAGCCCCTCCCCACCCTCCCCTCCCCACCCAGCCCCTCCCCACCCAGCCCCTCCCTACCCTCCCCACCCAGCCCCTCCCCACCCTCCCCTCCCCACCCAGCCCCTCCCCACGCAGCCTCACCCTCCCCACCCAGCCCCACTCCCCACCCAGCCCCTCCCCACCCAACCCCTCCCAACCCAGCCCCTACCCACCCAGCCCCACCCCTCCGATTTTGGATGCACGACGGACGGACGGACACAATAATCCCCTGTGGGCTGGTGTAGCCAGGAGGTACCGACCAGTATAAATGGAGACACGTAGACGCAGGGAGACAGATAGAGGGAGACACGTAGACAGGGAGACAGATACCAACACGGGGAGGACACGTAGACACAGGGAGACGGAGAGACATAATTGAATACTGGGAGACATATAAGGGGCCGTCCATAAATGACGTCACGCACCTGGGGGGGGTCAGACATTTGTGACGATGTGTGACGAGGGGGGTTTGAGAAATGTGACGTCACATGAAAATGCGCAACTTTAAATACATATAGACAACACGTTCTACTTAATTAAATATACTTTTTTAATAAATGTTATCTCCTACAACATCAGAGTGCAGCGCCACATTAAATACGCACTACAATGACAATAGTTAAAAGCGATTTGATGCATGTTTTATTTTGGGGGGGGGGGGGGAGAGCTTTGTGACGTCATATTTGAGGGGGTGTAACTTTGTGTGACGAGGGGGAGGGGGTCAAAAAATCGTTCAAAATCGCGTGACGTCATTTATGGGCGGCCCCTAAGACACGTGGAGACAGATACGGGGAGACAAGGGGACACGGGGACACACAATTGACCAAAGGGACTGACAAAATAAATAAGCAGACAATATACATACACCCTCCACATGTAAATTAGCATTTTTTTGTACACATCGCATCATCCTCAAGGCTTTCCGCCGGTGCTGAACTTCAGTACAAAAAGTGAACCGTGGCGTCATCCGAGAAGATGTCTACGTGAGATAAGCGATTGGTGACGTCATCTCGCCGAAGGGCCCGCGACGTCACGGCGCTTGCATCACGCTGGCAATGACGTCACCGCGCACGTTCACACCCGCGCCGGGGTCGTTGGTAGCGGCGCACGGTAGTTATGACGTCACCGAGCACGTTCGCACCCGCGCCGGAGTTTGTGGCTGCGTGTATGACGTCACCGCGCTCTTGTTGTGAGTGACGTCATCGCGCGAGGCTTGCAACGCGGTGTGTGGACGGGGTGGGGGGGGTGGGTGATGGGTTGGTGACGTAAACCTAACGGTGCGGGCGCCCCGCGGTACAGCGCCCAGCTGAGCTGAGCGACTTTGCACGCGCGCGGCCCCCGCGACGACCGCGCTCGTGCGTGCGCGTGCGTGTCTCGCGCCGCTCTCTCTCTCCCCCCCACTGTGTGTCTCTCTCTCAAGCGTTCGCTCTCATTTCACTCTCGCGCGGCGCTCGCTCGCTCGCTCACTCGCTTGTCGAGGCGTCCCTTGTGCGCGCCCACCGCACCACCACCACCATCTTCATTATTTTCGTCTTGTTTGGTGCGGGTACGCGCGCTCGCTCGCTCCTTCGCTCCCTCGCCCTTTGCTCGTTCGGGGGTGCCGGCCGGCTGCGAGTCCAGTGGGGGGTGACGGTGGTGGTGGTGACAAGTAACGGGCGATGATGGCGTTCGCGCCGGGCGTGGCTGTGGCCGCGTTGGCGCTGGCGCTGGGCCTCGTGTTGTGGCTCATGCATCTCGTGTCCATCGCCTTCACGTGAGTCCCCATGGCAACAGCTACACCCGGCACGGCGCACAACACGCAACACGCAGTTTGCGCAGTGCCGCGTCGCTGGCGCTCGCGACCGCGATATTCAAGTAAAACAGATCCACCCATCCATCCACACCACCCTTGACATGATGCTGCTGGTGTGGAGCGCTCTTAGCGAGCAGCAGCTATGAAGGCCGGCACGGTGGTGGTCAAGCACCACGCACCGGCCGCCTTTGTCTCCCCCGTCAGTGGCGGTGTTTTTACTACACGCCGCTACTCGGCTGAGGACGTTCACGTTATCGTCACTGGCTGCTGCTGCTGTTGTTGTTGTTGGCCGTGCGATGCTGGAATCGAACTCGGGGTCCTAGCCGGGGTTTCGTAGCGCTGCTACAACAAGAACAACAACACCACCACACAACAACAACAAACAGGCAAAGCAAGCCAGCCAGTGCCGCTTTTAAAAACAGAGCGAGCGATGTCAAAAACCGCGTGAACCCATACGGGTTTACTACGCCGTATTCCTGTACAAGGGGAACTTGAGTTATTAAGGTCCATACGGCGGTACAGACGTTTCAATACGGGCAACACAACACATGTTGTCTATTTTGTGTTTCATCTTCTCCCTTGTGATGGGACTTTGTAGGATGAACGTTGAAATGCATAAGGGGCACGGCGTGGCCAATAAGCTCTGAATTAGCCTGTAATAACGTTCGGGCGCTGATGCATTGATTGCGTTGACAAGAGATGCGGTGGTGCTTAACTCAAAAGACAAATCGGCAGTGCAGTTGTGGAGAGAGGAGAGAGAGAGAGAACACTCGGCACACCCCCCATCTGCCATCGGCATGTGGAATGTTTCCACCGCTGCCGATTTGTTTATGGAGATGAGCACCACCTTCATTCAATGCGAGCAAGACTTGAGAACAAAAAGTAGATAGGCCGACAGTCTCTGCACATCCCACACTCCCTTCTTGGAGGTGTATCTTCATCGGCGGCATTAATTTTAACGCAACAAAGCCCTCCCATGATCGGTTTCTGCATTCCATTCATCATACCTGTCAACCAACAACCCCTTATCAAGTGCCCCTTGCCTTATTTCAGACCTTAATGGTCACGCCCGTGCCGCCTTACAAATCTCCACGTTCATCCTACAAAGTCCCATCACAAGGGCGAAACACAAAACAAATAAGACGAAACATTCGTGTTGAAACGTTTGTACCGCCGTATGGACATTAAAAAAATAATTACTCAATTTCCCTATGCAAGAATACGGGGGTACAAAAAAAAAACCCTACGGGTTGACACGATATCATTCGCTGTCGCATCGGATATATTCGGGGCTTGCTTTTTTTAAACCATGAGTTCAATCAAGAGTGCAAACGAAACAAGCAAAAACTCTGGCCCATCGGCAGCCAGGCTTGGTATTGCTTTAACGCGAGCGGACTGCTTCGGTTTCCACGTTCGGTGTTTCATCATCATCATCTGCAGCAGCAGCATCAGTCGCGTTTAAACCAAACGCCGTTGTTTATGTAGGCAAGGGACGTGGCTCTCTGGCAACAATATAGGAGTCCCAGTGTCCTCCTGTACGTGACACAACATAAGCATGATAATCTTTGTAGAATTTAAAAATAAAATTTACGCCTTCTCATATCTGTCCATTTCGCGTAAAAAAAAGAGAGTACATTACATTAAAACCTTGGATTCGCGAGCATAATTCGTTCCGGAAACGTGTTTGTAATCCAAAGCACTCGTATATCAAAGCACTCGTGTACATCAGTTGTGAGTACGTGACGCTCGGCCAGTACAAAGCGTATATACGTACTACTACTCGTATTGCTAAGACCCTCGCTCGTTTATCAAATTAATATTTATTTTAAAATGTTTGCTCGGCTTGCAAAACACTCGCAGACCAAGTTACTCGCAATCCGCAAGGTTTTACTGTATTGTTTTTGTCACGCATCCCAATCAGCCGCACGTGCGGCCACACTGCGCGAGTTGATCTAATAATGACTTTTTAGTTTTGTTGATTTTAATGCGAGGCTCTCTGTCGTGCAAGTGTGTGTGTGCGTTGTTGTGACGTAAAGTTGTTACAGGCTTAATTGTGTAGCTTTGTCTCGTTTTCCTTTATAACGCACGCACACTGTACCTCTAACAGGGGCACTGCATACTCACAGCTCCTGTTTCCACGTTAAAACCTTCGTTTGGTTTTAGTCACAATGTCTATAATAAGTTTTAACTGTATCATTTAGAAGAGCCACGTCGTTTAGCAGCAACCGAATATTATTTCAAACGTTCATTTAAATAAGAATTATTTATACCGGAGGATTTTTGCGGTATACGTTAATGTTGCGTTTGGTTGCCTTTACATTAAAACATTGTAAAAATATGAACTGCTATTTACACACTTACACACACACATGTTTATTTATACAACTTTTGCGGTATTATCCTTGTTGCTGTGTTTAGCCTTACCTGACTCTTGTTTACTGTAAACCCATTATTTTTTTTATGTAAAAAGGTCAAATGTGCAGCGCTGAAATGACTTGTTAATGTCACTGTTTGCGGAAGAGCTTACACAAAAAGGAAGCTCTTCAGAGCCCCTATAGAGGGGTCATTTAGTCTACTCTTCCACGCTGTAAACATGTTACAATTGCAGGTCGCTTGTTGTCTAATTGTATCAATGTTAAATGTGCCTAGTGGCTCTTGGCCATAGGAATGTGTTATTCGCATCACTGCTGGCTGGGCTGTGTTCATGTTTGACAGCATCATCACCAGCGCTACATGTACTACCACCTCATTGTTCCGGTAGGCTGCTTCACCTGCTATTGTTTATTCTGTCACTTGACGCGACCAGAAGAGGCATTATATAATTAAATAATGACTACCGTTTGCCATCCTTTATTTAACCACGTGACAGCTCATGGATATTTACTGTCCCCTTACCCACCCATTGACCTACCTACCCACCCACTCAACCATCCACCTATTCACGTACCCGCTCACCCATACACTCACAATACCAAATCACTCACTCAAAACGTCACTCCAACTTCTCCATTAGCATAAAAGTGCCCTTCGCCTGGCCCTGCCCAGGAGCGTTCTTCACGAGCCTCCAAAACACACATGCATGCGCGCATGGGGCATTAATCTTTAATTCAGTGTGAAATCTGACTCGCAGGTGAATTTACAAGGTTCATAGTGTTTTCACAAAAAATCTTAAATAATTAATATGCGGCAGAGAGAGACACGGGGGGAGAAGGGAGACAGGGAGATATAGTAAGTAGACACGGGGGGAGAGGAGGGAAAAGAGTGAGACAATGGGAGGGGTGATGCATGGGGAGACGGTGGATGGAGACACGTGTGAGAGAGAGGAGGGAGATACGGAAGGAGAGAGGATGGAGACAGGGAGATAGATGGATGTTGGGTTTGCGTGTGGCTGGTGAGCTCATCTCGCGTAGGGCTTCTTTGTTTTGCAAACAGATACGGGGCAAACGCACACAAATACACAGATCCCCCGATATAGCCTTTAACAGGCTATTATTATTGGCTGTTAGCGAGCGCCTATCAAGGCTGGTTTGATGTGGCCTAAACTATGCCCGGCCGCCGTTGTCTCTCCAATGATGATGCTTACACATCAATCTGGTACTCATTTAAGGCTGAGTCGACCTAGGGGAGGTTCAGGACCGGTTCACATATTCGTCTATATTCGTGGCTGATCTTGGCTCTCAGCGGAACTTAAACTTAGTTCACACGCAATGTGCTAACCACCACTGGCGGAGCCAGTGGGGGGTGGGGTGGCACGTGCCCCCCCAATGATACGATCGAAATCCCTAATTTCGATCGGATCATTTGGGTTTATTAGTAATAAATCGGCATTTTGCGACTGCCACTGTGTAGCATATTATTACGTGCCAGGGACTCTATGAGATGATAGGACAATAGTCTGAGTCCATAATTGGCAATAAGTAACGGCAAAGCAGTTGTAAGTGACTCGGAATTGTGCGCAGTTGCGTATAGAGTACACGACTTCCCTGAAGGCATTCACCTTCAGCGAGCACGATGCCGATCACACCACGCGGTTCGAATTCGACCCTCGATCGATGGCTGCGCCATGGGCGCACACGCGTTAAATAAAAAGCAAGGGACAACTCCTTACTTACAACTATCATTTTTCATTGTTGGAGGGGTTGACCCCCCCTACTTGAAAATCCTGGCTCCGCCATCGCTAACCACTGTGTTATCACGAGCCACAAAAGCAAGCACGCACTCACACATCCTCACAGAGATAAAGATCACCTGTTTTAGCCTTAACAGAATGTTGGGACAACTGCTGTTAGTGACCAGAACCACGTCCGGCCGCCTTTGTCTCCCTACACATCGCACCAGGTTCTCATTTGAGGCTGAGTCACACATACACCCTCACAACATAAACAGCCGTCATTCCCTATTAAGTGGTGGAGACGTCACCACAGTGCTCGTGCCAGGTTAGATACACTTTGAGGTGACATGAAGTGTCGAAGGCTCACTCGCAGGTCACGGGACAGACCCAGGTGCCATCGGTTGACTGAATGAGATGACTGACATGCTCCACCTGTGCTTTTCACTGTGCCAACTTGCTGCATTTTAGGAACTACATTTATAATCCATTCATAATCCCCTGTAGGCATGTGTCTTCCTGTGCTCTCATGTGTCCCGTGTCTCTCCAACTCTCCCCGTTTCTCACCGTGTCTCCCTGTGTGTGTCTACACGTGTCTTCGTCTCTCCAGACGCATCCACCTGCGGAGACAGGTGCCGGACAAAGTTCCTGTCTCATGTCTTCCTGGTGTCTCCCTCCTCAAGCCGCTCAAAGGCGTCGACCCAAACCTCGGAGACAATCTTGAGACATTCTTCAACATGGACTATCCAGAGGCACGGGAACACAGAGACACGGGGCTATGGGGAGGCACGGGGAGACACTGGGATAGAGGGACCTGGAGACATAGGGACACGGATAGATACACAGGGAGACATGTGGAGATGGAGACACAGGGGCACATGGGGAGACAGAGAGGGGGTGAGAGACACGGGGGGAGAGAAAGAGTGTCACACGGGAGAGGAAAGTTATACAATTTGTAATACAAAATCTTCATAGGCGCCAACATGGAGAATGTTTATAACAAGATGGAGAGGCAGGCAGTATGTCTCCTCTCTCTGTGTGATGAATAGATAGCCAATCTGCCTCCTTCCCCACTCTTTCTCTCTGTGTAGGTGGAGATTCTTCTCTGTGTGCAGGACAGAGATGACCCAGCGGTGAAAATCTGTCAGCAGCTCCTCGACAAATACCCGAACGCGGACGCAAAACTCCTTGTGGGTGAGAGAGAGATGCGGAGAGAGAGACACACACACAAGAGATATATTGGGAAACTGATAGACATGTGGAGAGAGAGAAACACTGAGAGGGAGAGTCAGAGACACAGGGAGAGAGACATGGGTGTAGTGAGTGAGAGAAAGAGAGATAGGGAGTTAGAGAAACATAGAGAGACATGGAGAGAGAAACACTCATGGGGGAGGGAGCGAGAAACACAGGGAGAGGGGAGAGCGACACAGTGAGAGTGAGACATGGGGAGAGGAGGGAGAGAGAGAAACAGGGGGAGAAAGACACTGGGAGAGAGATAAGGGAAATATTTAGAGAGAGTGAGAGAGAAAGGAGAGCGGAGAGAGATGGAGACATGGGGAGAGAGGGAATGGATACATGGGGGGGGGGATGTGTATATGTCTCTCTACGTGTCTCTGTCTATGCATCTCTCTCTGTGTCCGTCTGTATGTGTAGGAGGCAAGCGAGTGGGTATCAACCCCAAGGTGAATAATCTTATGCCTGCGTATGAGTCTGCAAAACACAGTCTACTGTGGATCTGTGACAGTGGCATTCGCGGTGAGTACAAATACAAAGGTAAATGTCCCCTGCATAGCCCACACAGACTGTAGAGGCAAGTGCTATTACCGAGCACCTATGAGTTGGTGGTATGGCCAGCACCTTTGCCTCCGCAGTGTTGATGTTACATACACACTTTGCAAGGTACTTGTTTAAGGTTGAGTCGACATAGGGAAGGCCCAAGACCGGATCTGATATTTTGCCACTGATTTTTCCTGTAAGCGGTAAAGTAATTTGAGTTGGCGAGTTCGTAGTGACTTAGTATGTCTGTCTTCCTGTAGTGAGACCAGACAGGCTGTTAAACATGGTCTCACTCTGACCCTGTTTCTATATGTGTGTGTCTCTCTCTGTGTCTGTCTCTCTCTGTCTCTGTGTATCTCTCTGTCTCCCTATAGTGAGACCGGACACACTGTTAGACATGGTTTTGCAGTTGTCCAAGGATGTGGGTCTTGTCCACGGGCTCCCGTACGTGGCCGACAGGCGTGGATTCGCAGCCACACTCGAGCAGGTAACTGCGTCTGTGCGTCTCCCTGTCTGTCCCTGTGTAAGTGTGAGTATATGTGCATGAGTGTGCCCTTCTCTTTCTCGTCCTGTCACTGTCTCTGTGTGTGCGAGTGTGTCAGTGTGTGTCTTCGAATCTCTTTCTGTCTGTTCTGTCTCACTCTCTGTCTGTGTCTCTCTCTTTTGTTCTCTCTGTCTCTGCTTCTCTCTCTGTATGCAGGTGTATTTCGGCACAGCTCACCCACGTAGCTATGTCTCGGCACATGTGGTTGGGGTGCGCTGTGTCACGGGAATGTCCTGTCTGCTGCGTCGCTCGGTTTTGGACGACGCTGGGGGGCTCCAAGCGTTCGGAAAGTTCCTTGCGGAGGATTACTTCATGGCCAAGGCCATCACAGACAGGTAGGGGGCCACGCACAGAGAGGAGAGGGGAGGCACGGGGAGACACGGGGGGGAGAGGGGAGACGCGGGGAGGAGATGGGAGATATGGGAGAGAGAGATGGTGAAGAATGGGATGTACGGGGAAGGAGAGGAGTGTATTTGTGTTTGTCTACATAGGGGATGGAAACTCGCCATGTCTCACCAAGTTGCACTGCAGAATCCGGGTTCCTACTCAATCTCCTCCTTCAGGAACCGTATGATCAGGTACTAACGCACGTACTAATGCCCACACATACTAACGTGCACTCACTAACGCGCATATTACTTACAAACAAAGATCCCCCGTATAGCATGAACGGACTGTTGGGGCAAGTGCTTTTAGCGAGCACCTATGAAGGCCGGCATGGCACACAAGGTAGGCCAACACCACGCCCGGCCGCCTTTGTCTCCCCAATGGCGATGTTTACACATCGCACCAGGTACTCATTTAAGGCTGAGTCGACCAAGGGGAGGCCCAGGACTGATTCAGGATAATCGTCACTGGCGATGGCCGTGAGTGGGAATGGAACTCGGGCCGCAGTGCAGCAAGCTAACCGTTGCACTACCGCTCCCCACATATAACTTACGCTAATGCACACACTAACGTAAACACTAACGCACACACACTAATGCACACACTAACATAAGCTCACTAATACGTGCACGCTTGTCCGAGTATATGTGTCTCTGTGTTTCTGTGTCACAGTGTCTCCGTGGTTGTGTCCCCATGTCTCTCGGTGTCTCCGTGTCCCCCTATCTCTGTGTCTCCACGTCTCTCAATGTCTCTGTGTCCCCGTGTCTTAGGTGGACTAAGCTGCGTCTCACGATGGTCCCTGCGACCCTGCTGCTCGAGCCATTGTCCGAGTGTCTCGTGTCTTCGTGTCTCATATCCTGGGCATCTTACAAACTACTTGGATGGGACCCAGCCATTGTGTTTCTGGGACACATCCTGGCCTGGTTTCTGGCAGACTACGCACAGCTCACCGGCGTGCACGTGAGTGGAGTGGTCTGGTCGTGGTGGCATCACCTCCATTTAGTGGCGAATGGCTGTAATTCACCCCCAACATTTGTTCCTCGAAAAAATTTGCTCCATCCGGTCTCAATTACTCCTCTCCCCAATCATTTCTCTACCTTCTGGCTTCCCTTTTCCATCTTTTAATGGCACAGTGTTAGTTGGGTTCTCTGGAATTTCAATGTCTGTCTGACTTAATTAATAAATCGCATCCGACCTTTTGTCCTCTTGATCCTTTTCCTACCGCTGTCCTTCGAGGTAATTTCTCTGGTTCCATTTGTTCAAGATCTAGGATTGTCCCTTCTATACTTAAGATGGTTTCATTAACATCGCTTCACAAGAATCCTGGTCTAGATTCAACCATCCTTAGCACTTCTGCCCAATCTCAAATTTCCCTTTTCTATTTAAGATTCTTGAGGGGGCTGTCGCTTCACAGTTTTAATTTACACCTGCTGTCAAATAATCTACTCGATCCATTTCAGTCTGATTTTAGATCTGGTTATAGTACCAAAACAGCCTTAAGATAATGAATTATCCCCTAATTGCTGCTGATAAAGGTTCTCCAAGTGCTCTCCTCCTTGTCCTAAGCGCAGCCTTCGAGACAATCGACCACATATCTTACTCAACCGATTGGAACTCTTGATGGGGATCATGTTGAAATGGTTCAACTCGTATCTCTCAAACCGCAAGCAATTTGTTACGATGGGCCCTATAAATCCACAACTTACTTTGTTTCTTACCGTGTCCCTCAGGGATCTTTATCAGGCCCCATCCTGTTCTATGTCTGTTTGGCCCACATGGAGCTTCATCACGACAACAAGGGCTCAGCTATTACTGTTATGCAGATGATACTCAGATCTACCTACATTTGGGATTGCATGGTTTATCTACAGTTTCATTATTAGAATAGTCAATTTCTCATGTCAAAGCCTGGATGTCTCAAATCTTCCTTAAAAAAGGAATAATGATGATAAAACACACGTTGTTTTAATCGGTACACCCCATCAGGTTTCCAATGCAATCCCTCTTAACTGGTTGGAACATCTATCAAACACATGAAGTCACCAATCTTGCTGTCCTTCTAGATCAAACTTTATCCTTTCAGTCCCCTGTCAACAGATTTGTGAGAACCTCTTTTTTCCACCTGAGAAACATATCCCGGCTCCGCCACATCCTTAACACTGCAGACACTGAAAGACTGATCTACGCATTTGTTTTCTTCTGCATTGACTACTGTAATGCCTTGCTGTTTATAACTCTGAGCAAGCTCCTAAACAGGCTGCGCAGTATCTTAAAAATGCGGTTGCCAGGGTGCTAACTGGTACATCCTTTAAGGATCACATCACACCTGTGCTCCTGTCCCTTCACTGGCTTCCTGTCCATATCCTTATTGATTTTAATATTCTCTTGCTGGTATTCAAGGCCTTATATGGACTTGCTCCTCCATACATTCATGACCTCCTTCAGCCATATATTCCATCAAGATCATTAATATCCTCAGATTGTGCTTGCTCACTGCCCACAATCTAGGCTTCACACTTGGGGTGATTGTGCCTTTGTAATTGCGGCACCTAAACTCTGGAACTCCTTGCCCTTCGAGGTCAAATTGTCTTTCTCTCTTTAGTTATTTTCAAACGTCTTTCTCACTTCTTATTCCCTTAGTTGATATTAACTATTTCCACATTTCCATGCATAGCGCCCTGAGAAAGATTGTTTAAAAGCGTTTTATAAATAGAAATTATTATTATACTTCAATGATCTGGATACAGTTCCATCAGTGAGCTCCTCCAGCAGGCAAGGTTGTATTGATTTGGTCCCTCATGCCTAAGCAGCTTTTGTTTGAATTTAGAGAAGGGCCTAAACAGGCATGACACAGGCTTGAGAATAGATGGGCTGATGCAGTACAATAGGATGTGGAGCTGATTGGACTTGCCAATAACTGGTACCGGCGGTGTCAAGATCAGCCTCTTTGGAGGAGGCTTGTGAAGGACACTACTGGGCAGTTGGAGGCAGTTGCCCTCCAAAAACAGTGGTGGGCAGAGGAGCGACGCTCACAAAAACGAGCGGAGCACCAGGTGGCTAAAAAGCAGTGAGTTGGCACAGTGGGAAGCACAGGTGGTGCATTTGTCAGTCATCTCAGTCAATCAACCTATAACACCTGGGTCTGTGCTGTGACCTGTCAGCGAGGCTTCAACATTTCACTTGGCCTCAAATTGCATGTAGTCTGGCATAAACCGTGTGGTAATGTCATCGCCACTTCGTGGTGAATGGCGGTCGTTGTTGTGTATATGAGTGGGTAAGAGTGTGGGTGAGAATGAGTGCGAATGAGCGAGTAAGAGTGAGCGTGCATGATAGAGCGTGATAATTAGTGTGAGTGTATTTGTGTATGTGGGATTGAGTGTGGTGAATGAGTGAGAATGAGTGTGCGTCAGAAAGCATGTGAGTTAGTACATGTGAGATTGTGTGTGTCAGTCTGTGTGAGTAAGAATACGGGAGTCAATTGGTGTGTGTGAAAGTGCGTGTGTGCATTAGCTATATGGGGAATCTTTGTCTTTGTGTTGTAGGGGGGCGCACCCCCGTTCTCGCGGAGGGAGTTTGCGGCCGCGTGGGTTGTGCGCGAGCTGCTGACGCTGCACATCTTCGTCTCGGCTCTCCTTCACCCAAACATCGCATGGAGGAAAGGGACGTACCGGGTTCACTGTGGTGGCACAGCGGAGGAGACGCTCCCCGTGTAGGGGAGAGTAGACGTGTAGGAAGAGAGGGACACGGGGAAGGGAGGGGATAGAGGAGAAAGACACGATGAGAGAGGGAGAGAGACACACAGGTCGAGATGGAGATGTCGGCAGGGGGGGGGAGAGAGATTGAAGAGGGAGACATAGGTATGGGAGAGATGTGGAGGAGAGACCCAGGGATAAGAAAATAAAATACAGGGAGCGGAGGGGAGAGGAAGAATAGAGGAGACACTGGGAGAGGAGAGGAGACACTGGGAGAGGAGAGGAGACACGTGTAGGAGATACGAGGGTAACTTTGGGAAGCGAGAGGAGACAGGAGACACAGGGAGGGGCAGGGAACACGGGGAGGAGAGAGGAGATATGGTGAGAGTAGTTACGGGGATAGGAGAGGAGACACGGGGAGGATATAGGGAGATACAGGGAGGAGAGAGAAGACACGGGGAGGGTAGGGGAAGACACGGGGAGTAAAGTAGACATCTGGAGGGAAAGGAGATGCCTTGAGGAGAAACAAGATGCGGAGAGAGGTGAGAGGCATGGGGAGGTGAGAGGAGACATGGGAAGGAGAGAGAAGCCCTGGGAGGATCCGTGCTCTCTGACAGGTTTCACCTGGATGAACAGAGCACTGTGACCAGGCCTCCTCGTGGGGCTCACTGATGGAGCTCTGCATTCCACTGAGCTTCCTGAAAGAGCTCTGTATTACACTGTGCCTCCTCATGTAGCTCCAGAATGGAGCTCTGTGTTATATTGGACCTCCTTATTAAGCTCCATGATGGAGCTCTATTACACTAGGTCTTCTCACGAAGTTCTCTATTACGCTGGACCTCATTATGGAGTTCCATGATAAATATTGAAGACTGGGTCCCCAGGCGGAGCTCGGTAATAAGTGGCAAGTTTCCTAAAAGTACTCCATGACAGACCTCTATCAGAGACTGGGCCGCATCATGAAGCTTGATAATGGGGCACTGTCAAATTGGGCCTCCTCACGGAGCTCTGTCAAGGGGCCATTATTTGTTCTATAATACATTGTTTATCTGTTGGTATTTATAGTGTAAACTGGAGCAAGTGTGAGCTGTGTTTCTGTATAATTTAAAATAACTGAGTTGACTGAGCGTTGTTTGTGATTGATTCTTTTATGCAGCGTCTGTAACCGATGACACAAACACTCGCACAGAAATAATCTAAAATAATTATTGAAGATTACATAACGCGCAGACACGCACAAAGATAACCCGTGCAGTGTACACAGGCTGTTGGGGCAAGTGCTGTTCGCTAGCACCTAGGAAAGAGACCATCGTGCACCTATAATGGCGTGGTGTGGTCAGAACCTTGCCCAGTAGCCTTGGTCTTTCCATTAGTAATGTTTACACCACATCAGGTACGCATTTAAGGCTTAGTCTACCTAGGGGAGCCTTAAAGTAATCTTAGATATAATTCATGACTGATATTAGCTGCGGACAGGAATTTAACTCAGGTGACTAGGTTCGTAGCAGACCACTCTAATACATATGTAACAATAACAGACGCTCCTGTTCGCCACCAAGTGGTGATATCATGATGCTGTGCCAAGATAAGTGTACTTAGAGGCCTAGTTAAACATTTAAAGACTGCATTGTCAGAGGTCACAGGACCAATCTCTGCTTGATTCTGCCAGACCCTACCAGATACTGCTAGCTTGTGCCAGACACTATAAGGCACGGCCTACAAACACTACCAGACAATACTTGGCACTATCAGACACAGACATTAACACATTCCTGTGGAGGGAGCTGGTAGGAACGTTGGGTTGCTTGGTCAATGGCCAGGGTCAACAGCGGCGTGGTGTATTCCGCACAATATGCCCGACTGTGAGGGTGGGCACAAGCCGGCGTGAGCAGGTTACACGTTGAGTTTTATAAGGGCACCACGGGGTGACCAGCCCCTCCCCACCCAGCCCCACCCCTCCCAACCCCCACCCAGCCTCACCCTCCCCACCCAGTACCTCCCCACCCTCTCCCCCCAGCCCCTCCCCACCCTCTCCACCCAGCCCCTCCCCACCCTCCCCTCTCCACCCAGCCCCATCCTCCCCACCCAGCCCCTCCCCACCCTCCCCACCCAGCCCCTCCCCACCCAGCCCCACCCCTCCCACCCCCCACCCAGCCTCACCCTCCCCACCCAGCCCCTCCCCACCCTCCCCACACAGCCCATCCCCACCCTCCCCTCCCTACCCAGCCCCACCCTCCCCACCCAACCCCTCCCCACTCAGCCCATCACCATCCCCTCCCCACCCAGCCCCTCCCCACCCAGCCCCTCCCCACCCTCCCCTCTCCACCCAGCCCCTCCCTCCCCACCAAGCCCCTCCCCTCCCCTCTCCACCCCGCCCCAGCCCTCCCATTTTTGGATGCACGACGGACGGACACAATAATCCCCTGTGGGCTGGTGTAACCAGGAGGTCCCTTACCAGTACTAGACACTATCAGGTACTAACATACACTGACAGACATGACTAGTCACCACAAGGCACGATTATACTTTCCAGAGTCACTGAGGTACGTGCTGTCATGACACAGTAATTGACTGCTATAATGAGCCAAGAATGTCTGTGTGTCCCGCGCGTGACGTCACTCCACGTCGGCCAGCCCAACCAACATTTATAATCATGAACAGCTGACGTCCTCCACATGGACCCCCCCCCCCTCATTAATAATCATTAGTGGGTGATTTCACTACACATGTAGCACCACCCTCCCCTCATTAATAATCATGAGCAGGTGACGTCACTCCACATCGAACAGCCTTCCTCAATAATCATGAGGTGACGTCTTCCAAATGAACACCCCCCCCCCCTGCCATGCATATTAATTAGCGGGTGACGTCACTCCACATGGGGGGGGCGAGGCGCCTCCTCCCCCCTCAGCGTCAACTGACAACCCTCACTACAAAAGCAGAACCCTCACGTCACGTGATCTCCGTAACGCTGTTGTTGAGACATCGAAGTAAAAAGGACGTCATAATGAACAAGGGATTATAACCTGAAAATGAAATAAGTCTGTGTCACCGCGGCCTTACAAATTGCACACGAATGGATGCAATGAATATCACGTCGCGGTCTGCTTTTTGATTGCAAGTTTCAGATTTACTGAAATACACCCATACTTGGACGGGCAAAAGGCTAGTTCTTAACATAACGTCCAACGTTATTACCAGTCACAACCAGATGGTGATCACCAATCACTTTCATACAATCTCCAGTCAGTAACAGATACTCTCTAGGCACTTTATCGGTGATATATAAAGGAAATAAATAACGTTGGAGATAAAACAGATCCTTGCAGAACAGTGAATAAAGATCAGATTGGCTACCATCAATTCCCACAAATATTGGCCTGTCAGAAAGCTTAAAAAAAACAGGCTTGCATAATAGCGTTGATGCAAATGATGGTAGTGTTGCAATTAATCAGAATCTTTATTTAGACTGGAGGAGGAATCCGATGAGCTATGAAGCTCTTTTTTCACATCCAGTATGGGCACGGGGTCAGCAAATTACAAGGGCAAACAACAAAAAAACGATCAGAGTGCAAAATAGAGAAAATATTAAGCAAGCCACTAAATATAAATACATTAATTATAAGTCCAATTTACTAAGATTGAGCAAGGCAGCAAAACAACAAAACAGTCCCAGACCACACTAAGATAACACCACAATCCCTAGATAAAATAACACAAACATTGAACTATCGATACACAGGTAAAGATCAAAGTTACATTTGCAAATGTGACCGCTGTATCCAGCACTAATCTGCTTCAGGATATATTGTTCAGGGAGGAAAAAAATGTTTCTAAACGTTGGTGCTGCAATGCAAAGGTTTTGTCACCTATTCCAATTCTTGTTCTTGGGATATTTAAACGGCAGATGGACGCCTTAGGTTATTTTGGGTTTAACTAATGTGGGATGCCAGACATGATCGACGCTTTATAAATGTCTCGGGCTATGATTATAAGACTCTTCAAATATGTTCAAGGCTTGAGCACCAAACCTGAGATACATTAGCGAACAGGTTACCTGCAGATCATGTTTGATGGAACCTCAGAATTTGGACGTTTATATCCCGAGTAAAGCCCCACTGAGCTAATAAGATTTTTAAAGGGCGACTCGGTCGGCAGACATCAACGCATTCCACTAAAAATTAATAATCACCGAGGAGCTTATTTTTGAATATAGGTTCCATCACATTGCATACTATTGAAGTCAAAGTGATCGGACTTGCACATACAAGATGGATCCCCCTTTCTTGGCGCTGGCAGGACACGAGATATTTCCTACATTGGATGGTGCAGTGTGGGTCTGATATGAGCGCTTACAGAGCCTGCACAAAGCTTGTGCAAGTTCTGGAGCGCATGTAAGCACAGTTTATTCTTGACAAATTATTCCACTTGTTTATTACCCAGGATAGCTTCGCTGAGTCAAGATTCGGGAGGGTCCTGCCCACTTGCAGTCTTGGGCAATGTTGCGATGTATAATTAACAATTGAGTCATTTTCAACATTGGGATGTTTGGCCAATACCAGTAATATCTCGGTTTTTTTCCTTTCAGCTATGAGAAATACTAATGCATAAAATAGAGAACTAAATAAATAGCCACCCAAACCGCTAAGTTACCGACTGCCTTAATCCAATGGGAATGGCTGCGTGAGCACCATGAGATCGGGTGGTGGCTATCCACACGGCCTCTTATTTCTTCAGCACTGGAGGTGAGAGGTTGGTGGAGGATACAAAAAAACTCCCCATGGATGTCGAGGCACCATACCCTGGCTTGCCAGGAGAAGGCTGTAACAGCGAACTCTCCACTACAATCTGCTCCATTTGAAAGGGATATATTGTTGCCCCCTCGCACGCGTGAGTTTTCTCCAGGCGCTTGTTTCCTCACGTATAAACATTCATTGGCCGATAACACCTTAATATATAGAGGACCGCAGAGCTTGGGCGAGATTTGGCATCGGCTCACCTCCCTGGCTGCCTTTCCCACTTGTCCCTGGTTCATCACGCCTCTGAGTCTTTCTCTCTGAGAGCGAATACTGTGCACATTACAAGTTAAAATTATTATTCAAGCCTAACAGCGCCACACTCTATATTCTTCTGTCAATATTTTTAATTAAAATTTTAATAGAATTACCCAATTCATGAAATAATGTACTAAGGAATGAGTGAATGAATACAGCAAAAAAGGACGCATTCAATCCATAAACATGTTAATAGAGTAATTAATACATTACTGAATAAAATAGTGTATAGCTCAAGGAAGACATTAATGGGTGAATTAATCATTGAAGGAATTAATGTATGTGTGTGTTGTATGTATGAATAATTCCATCAATGGATATATGCTGTCAATACGTGTCACTTGCGAATAAAATACAAGAAGTGAAGGTGACGTGAGAGTGTGGTGTGGAAACCGTGACATTTCGCGTTCACTTCCCCATCAACATCTTGAGTGGTGGATTTTGCCACCACTCAAGATTAACATCTGTGCAGGGTTGCAGGTAAGATGATGACTCAAATGCCCTCTACGATCTGTCCCAAGTACTGGCTAACGTAACCCTTTGGAATAATCGAGTTGTGTGACTTGATGCCCGAGTTGGGTTACGACGCAAGCATTTGGGCTGGAGTGATCGCAGAGCAGGGGCTAGATCAGCTCAAGAACATCGGTAGGAAGCTGCTAAACTTCGGTGCAGAAGATGGGCTTCCTCCATTGCTCGTTCAAAAGAGCTCAAGAAACGAGCTACGTGGAATGAATTGTAGCTCGCTTGCCATGTAAGGACCTAAAACATCAGTGATATGTTAATGAAAACCATTGGGTTTTGGCTTTGATGCTCTGCCTTAACGGCAGGTCCTTCGCTATCATCTTCTCCATCTTTTTTTCTCTGCCCTCTTCATTCCCACAATTTACCCTTCAGCTCCTCCGATATCCAAATTATTGGCCTTCCTCTCGTCCTTTCAAATTATGTTTTACGCTCTATAATGTACGGTAGCAAACCATCCCTTTCATACGATGTGTCCAATCCAGTTCTTTCTCTCCGGCTGATGACTTCCATTATGCTGGTAGGAACCTCCTGGTTACACCAACCCACAGGGGATTATTGTATCCGTCCGTCTGTCGTGCATCCAAAAATAGGAGGGGTGGGGCTGGGTGGAGAGGGGAGGGTGGGGAGGGGCTGGGTGGGGAGGGGAAGGTGGGGAGGGGCTGGGTGGGGAGGGTGGGGCTGGGTGGGGGGTGGGAGGGGTGTGGGCTGGGTGGGGAGGGGCTGGTCACCCCGTGGTGCCCTTATAAAACTCAACGTTTAACCTACTCACGCCGGCTTGTGCCCTCCCTCACAGTCGAGCATATTTGCGGAATACACCAAGTGCCGCCGTTGACCCTGGCCATTGACCGAGCAACCCAACGTTCCTACCAGCTCTCTCCGCAGGAATGTGTTCATCTTGGTTGCTATTCAAGGAAATAACACTCTATCCATTCACTGCAGGTTGCCCATCTCCCCCCACACCCTTCAACCCTACGCTGCCCACAACCCCAGACTTTATCCCATGTAGACGCGTTCCCACAAGGAGCCAAAGGCAGCACTCTGCAGTAATCTGCCAACTCCGGTAATTCTCATAGCAGCATTTCGCTAACCATCGAACAAAGATGGTCACTGCATTGCACGCTTTCAGATGCGTTTCTATGGCCGTCTGGAACAGTCTTCCGATGTTAGGAAGCCGCTGGAGCTATCTACTTTTTATTTACACACTTTTATTTAACTCTGTCTGATGTCGTATCCTCAAATCTTGTAACTCAATTTTTACCCATTTTCGAATGTGGTATCGACTGCAAACTTGGTATACTTATGTCATACTGATGACAATACTATATTCTATCATTAAAATAAAAAAAAATACATTATTTTAAACAATCTGTTTCGGCTTGGGTCCAATTGTCCACGTTCAACTGACGTTGGCTGTAATTGACCACGGTCCCCTTACGTTACGGAAAGCTTCGGGGCCACTTCCTGGAGTCGGGGAGTTCTGCCATTACTCGTACGGTACACTTCATTAAAGCGTGTTTAAAAAAAGTATTTTTTAAATATTACTTATACATTATCTAGATTGAAAAGTAATTTATTTTAAAAAAAATTGTGTTTAGTTTGTTTTTCTCCCACACCTCCAATTAGCACAGTTGGCTACATATGGTGCGAAATAAGTTTAACACACATTAGTAAACATCCCAATGCTCTCCATCGTGATGGTTCAATCTTTCTTTTTAAAGGATACAAAATGTTAATTGCAAATCACATTTTGTCCTGCTTACGTTGCTTAATGTGACATCTTAAAATGTTTCTGTGATTTGGAGATTTTTCTTTCATCCCTAATCTTTTTGCAGAATTGTGTATTCTATCTTTAGTTCATCCTCTCCATATCCTTTTATATTTTTCACTTCAACATCAATTTTTTTGTTTTCGAACTATGTGATCTCTGAGTTCTAACATTTCTCCCAGTGATACTACAATATTGGTGACTATGCTTGTTAAGTCTTTATTAAAAGCGATGACATGCATTGGTCCCCTACACATTTAAACTGAACGATAAAAAAATATTTAACTAGCTTAGGCCCACTGAGCTATGTAGCTCTTTTTCAGAAGATACCTGGCCACAAATGATAGCGTGGCTTAGCACGTGGAAATGTATAGCAGCCATATACGCTCAAAGCATGATTCTAAATGTGGAGGGAAAAACCAGACCCAGTATCAAATCCACGCGCCCACGGGGAGAGCATGCAAACTCCAACTATATAGGCATTAGGGTCGGAATCAAACCCACGACCTCCTGTATACCAGGCGATGGAGATAACATCTCGTCACCGCGGTACCCTTTGGATCTGTTGCTTAGCACTCGTCTGGAATGATACCTGCTGACTGAGATTTTTGATAATTCCTCTCTTGGTTGAGTCTGCAATTGTTGACCCCGGAGGAAGGGATGATGTGCCGAGTCCAACCAGGGTCTGAAATTGAAATCTTTGGATTGTGAGCCAAGCCACATGACCAGTAGTTTTAAGGAAAAAAAATAGATTTATTGTTAGTCATTCAATCACATTCATTGGAGACGTATTAAATCTTGACTTAAAGCTTTCGTGACTGCAGGAATTCATAATCTTTGGGTCTTTTGGTAAAGTCACGTAGATAGGTTCAAAGAAAATAACAAAAAACTACGACGTTTCGATCGCAACACAAGCGGTCGTCATCAGGAAAAGGGGGGTTAGCTTCTAAAGGCAAACTGTTTATAAAGGTTTGAAATGGGTGTAGCCCAAATGTCAGCAGCTAATATTAATGTAAATGGTGGAAAATTAGCATGTTAATATAAGATCGGTGAGCGGCCTACACGGCGCGCACATTGAGGCGGCAAGGTGGCTATGTTAATGTGAGAGATTAGCAAGTTAATGGGAGATCGCAGAGCCGCAACCTCTAGGTCAGCGCGCGAAGTGGCTGTGTTAGTGTGAACCTGTTAATTTGAGACAGATGCCATCCAGGCATCCACTCTACGTCCGTCCTTGTGGAAGAGATACGTAGATGACATGATTGTCATCTGGCCACATGGCCGACCAGCTCTGAACCAATTCCTCAAGCACATCAATTCCATACACCCAGCCATCAAATTCACCATGGAGGTGGAAAAGGATAGCAAGCTACCATATTTGGATGTTTTAATCTAAAAGAGACTAGATGGCTCAATGGGACACTGTCTACAGGAAAGCCACCCATACGGATGCCTACCTAAAACCTGACTCCCACCACCATCCATCCCAGAAGAATTCCCTCATCAAAATTCTACACCATAAAGCTCGATGTATTTCTGGCCATCATCACCTAGCCAGTGAACTAGAACACGTACACCAAGCTCTCAAGATGAATGAATATTCAGACGACACAATCCGTATAGCTATCACCCAAACTGTTGGGAAAGAACCATCTGAGGACTCAATCAAAGCCATCACCTTGCACTTCAGGGGTCACCAAAAATATTTCCAAAATCATGAGCAAGCACAAGCTCCATGTTCGATTTAACACAGTACATAAAATTTGTGATCTGATCCCATCTGTGAAGGATGCGATCCCTGACTTGCAATACCCCGGTGTCTACAAACTAAGCTGTGTCTGCGGCAGTAGTTACATTGGGGAAACTAAGCGACATGTCTCGGACCGTGTTGGTGAACATAAGGCAGATCTGAAACACGGTAGGACCAATACCTCGGCCGTCGCTGATTATTGTTTTAATGCGGTGGCCTCACATGAAATTGATTTCTCTAAGATGAAGGTACTTTGCAAACCCACGTGCTATCAACAAAGATTCGTTCATAAAGCCATCCATATATAGACACAATTTCTACCGAGAAGATGGGTACAAACTGAGCGATCATTGGAAGGGCGTTATCAACCAGTTTAAGTCATAACTGGCTATGGTGTTCCCATCCTACCACCTTCCGATGTTAGTTGTTCATTAACAGGTTCACACTAACACAGCCACTTCGCGCGCTGACCTAGAGGTTGCGGCTCTGCGATCTCCCATTAACTTGCTAATCTCTCACATTAACATAGCCACCTTGCCGCCTCAATGTGCGCGCCGTGTAAGCTGCTCACCGATCTTATATTAACATGCTAATTTTCCACCATTTACATTAATATTAGCTGCTGACATTTGGGCTATGCCCATTTCAAACCTTTATAAACAGTTTGCCTTTAGAAGCTAACCCCTTTTCCTGATGACGACCGCTTGTGTTGCGATCGAAACGTCGTATTTTGTTATTTTATTTGAACCTATCTACGTGACTTTACCGAAAGACCCAAAGATTTTCGAGACGTATTCTTTACATTATTTATTTCAATATTATACGAAAAAATCACAACTTTTAAGATTAGCAACATGTATCACAGCATGCAATTTTTAGTGTGCACCGTCTGCATTCATGTTTGTGTGTTGTTTTAAACACAAGTTGTAGAGTACAGGCCACAAAGCCAAAACATCAAGTGACAAGCAATAAACAGCACTTCATTGTTGTAATAGGTAATCATTGCTGTAATAGGCAATTAACACATTTCCTGAAATAAGCAAGGTTATTATAAGACCTGAAGAAAAGAGACGATGGAAGGGAATTCCAAAAAAGCAAAAAGAGAAGTGTTTAAACTTGTAGTGAGATGAGTTGGTTAGGGAGTGGGTGGGTGAGTGAATGAGTGAGCGGGTGAGTGTGATGTTTTGACCTACAGTGTAGTAGTGGTTGAATAATGTGGATTAGAATCTTCAACATGGGTGGAGAAATCAATACTTGAAGTTCACATGAACAGTAACCTGAGTAAGAGTAACTGAAGTTTTATTTTGTTTAACCGGATGAAAACTCTAGATATCAGGATGAGTCTCATTTGCAAGATTGAGTTGGGTCACCAAAATCAAACAAATAAAATAAACCAGTAAATTTCGATTTAAAGCTTTCGTGACTGCAGGGATTCATCTTCTTGGTTCTTTCGGTAAAGTCACGTGACTTTACCGAAATAACCAAGAAGAAAAATAAAGCAGAATACAGCATCGATAGAAGTGTGATAAAGAGGTGACTGATCATCGGTGAGGGAGTGCCTGGAGTGAATTAGTGAGTGCTGAATCATCAACCACCCAAATTCCTTTGCGATGAATTCTATCCAGTGCAGTGAGGTAGGATCTGGGTGTTTCACCCCAGATGTGACAGGAGTGTGTGTCTATGCAATGTAAGTGTGGGGAGCGGTAGTGTAGCGGTTAGCGCGATGCACTACAAATCCGGCCACCCGAGTTCGATTCCCGCTCACGGCCAACACCAGTGACGATTATCTGAACCGGTCATGGGCCTCCTCTAGGCCGACTCAGCATCAAACAAGTACATGGTGCGGTGTGTAAACTTCACCACTGGGGGGTGCAAAGGTGGCCAGGCATGGTGTTGGCCACCCATCCCTCTTGTGCCGTGCCGGCCTTTATAGGTGCTCACTCACAGCACCTGCCTCAACAGTCTGTGACAGGATATAAGTGGAATCTTTGTCTTGCAATGCAAGTGGATGGTGTGACCTGGCATTGATTGACGGAAATTACTTGCAACACCTGTTTTTATTATTACTGCAAAATTGGGATGATTGGGGTGGCAGGGTGGAACAGTGGAACACGTATGCCTCACAGCAGGAAAGACTTGGGTTCAATTCCAGACTCGGAGGCCTTTCTGTATGGAGTCTGTACATTCTACCCCTGTTTTGCATGGGTTTGCTCTGGGTTGTCTGGAAATTACTCAATTGAGATTAAGCATAGCAACATCGATCCCTACTGCACACACATGTCAGGACCGTCCTAAAAAAGAGTCGTGAGACTCAGTGAGGCTTCTTTGGGTAAACATAGTATTAGTAATATGGTGATTATGACATTGAAGCTGTATCTTATCTGGCCACTTAAGATTGAAAAAAGTGATGCTGAGATGATTGAAATTCATCTGATGACGACGTTGGGCAGCCCATAGAGAACCAGGCCCTCTTCTGTAGACCAGCAACTCTCTGTCGCATGCACACAATACACGCACACAGGTAAACACCGGTCCACACAGGTACGCATAGGAGTACGCATACTGAGCCTTGAATTCTCTGTCTCACGCGGACAAAAAACCCATTACATTTCACTCTGCACTTATTTTTTTGAAATTACAGCTCTGAGAATTAAACGTATTTGTTTGACTGTTATGTGCAGAGGGGGTGGGAAAGTGCTGCCCTTTACTGTGTGTGGACCAGAGTGTCACTTTGAAGAAGCTATTTCAGAGGTAGCTCCGTGATATCTGCATCTGTGGGTCCTCTGGCACAGAGGGTTGAATTATTTGAGGTCAGATGTGATGTAAGTCACTTATCCCGTGTATAGTGCTCTGAGCCACCCCCGGCATACAGATTGCTCTCTCAAAATCAAATAATTATCACATCATTATCGCTGTGGTCTGACACAGGCTATTCAAAAGACCATCCCTGATAGGTCTCCACATAGGGAGGGGGGGGGGGGACAGGGCTCCTGTGGGGGAAGGAGGTAGGAGCTACCCGAGATGACGCTGGGCGTGGAAGGAGGAGAGGGGCCCCCTGCGCCACCGCTGAGTGGAGACCCAGCCTGGAGCTGAGCCACTTGACCACAACACATCCCCCGTACCAACAGTGCTGCACACAAAGACAAAGATCCCCACGAAGCCTTGAACAGATTGCTGGGGCAAGTGCTGTTAAGGGAACACCTATGCGCCGTAACGGCACACGAGTGCTGCATACACATAAAGACAAAGACCCCTGTATCGCCCACACAGAGCGTTTGGGGAAAATCCTGTTCACGAGCACCTATTAATAAGGCAGGTACAATACACGAGCTCACTGATGGGATTGTGTCCAGATCTTCCAAGAATCTGTGAGCTCCTTACACAATCCAGTCTGGTTAAACCTGAATGGTTCAAACTGGCAAACATAAGATAAGAGAGGGCATAACTGTGGCGAAGAAGAGCAATAGGCCAGGCAGTTTCCACACAGCCAATAGACAAGTTTATTTTGTTTAGCCACGTGAGAACTCAAGAGATCATGATAGTCTCATTTGCAAGAATGACCCGGAACACTCAAGACAAACACACACACGTCACATAGACCCACACATTTTCACATACTCACACATACACGATCACAAAAGACAAAGACCCCCTGTATAGCCTTAACAGACTGTTGGGGCAAATGCTGTTAGTGAACAGCTATGATGGCCAGCATGTTACACGAGGGGGTGGGTGGCCAGTTGGGGCAAATGCTGTTAGTGAACAGCTATGATGGCCAGCATGTTACACGAGGGGGTGGGTGGCCAGCACCACGCCCTACTGCCTTTGTCTAACCAAGTGAAGTAACGATGTTTACACATTGGACCAGCTACTCAAGTGAGGCTGAGTCCACCCAGGACCGGTTCAGATAAACGCTCAAAGACAAAGCTTCCCCGTATAGCCTTAATAGACTGTTGGGGCAAGTGCTGTTAGCGAGCACCTGTGAAGGCCAGCATGGCACATGAGGGGGTGGTGGCTAGCACCATGCCCGGCCACCTTTGTCTCCTCAATGGCGGTTTACACACCACACCCAGTACTCCATTTGAGGCTGAGTCGACTTAGGGGAGGTCCAGGACTGGTTCAGATATTCGTCACTGGTGTTGGCCATTAGCGAGAATCGAACCCGGGTCGTCAGGTTCGTAGCGCAGTGCGCTAACCGCTACACTACCGCTCCCCAGACATACTTCCACACTCAAACACACCTTCACAAACTCTTTCAAGAGCACCGATCCCTCCAGCTCTGCTAGGCCACAGTGGAGTCAGCACAGCACGGGCCCCAGCCAGGCTCAACATTATGGCTCCCAGCAATGGTCCTGGCAGCCCCAGGGCCCGCTCCCTGCACGCACACAAAGATCCGCACAGATTTTTGGGGCAAGTGCTGATAGTCTGTCAACCCATGCCACTTGGGTCTGTCCCGTGACCTCCTGTCAGCGAGTCTTTGACACTTCACGTGGCCTCAAAGTGCACCTAGCCTGCTGTGACGTCATCACCACTTTGTGCTGAACAGCGGCAGCTATTGTTGTTGGGCGAGTGTTTGGGTCGGTGAGTGAGTTGAGTGTGTGGGTGAGTGAGTGTGTGAGTGGCACGGGCTAGAGAAGAGTTGTGCTGGTGTGCGAGTGAGTGTCGCTGTGTGAGAGTGTGTGGATGTGTGTGTGGCTGAGTGTGTGAGTGAGTGTGACTGTGAGTGGGTGTTGGTGTCTCTGTGTGTGCATGTGGCACCTTTCCAGGGCAAGCGTGCTGTCAGGGTTGTAAGCCGTACTGCCCACCAGTGTCTGGTCCAGAAGCAGCATTAGAGGGCTCTCTGTGGGGGAGGTATTGGGGAGGAAAGGAGGGTGAGAGGGATGGGGAGATAGTAATTTGCAGTTGAGTATCATGGGGCCTCATTTGCCAGTGTCAAAATATAATAGGTTTTCCCCTTTTTTTGCAACAAAACAGATGTTAAGATGTTAAAACACCAAACTGAAACCTTTTGCAAGGAATCATGTCTGCATCAACCACAGATACTTGTGGTGAAAATACAAACAAAAAACATCCTCTCACGGTACATGCATTGTCTTTGAAACTTATTGGTACTCGGAGCTGTTCTTCTCATAGCGCAAAGCTATCAAGAAGAAAGGCGCTATGTTTCGTAGACATAGTTTGCAGCAGTTTTACAGTTAGGGGCAATGTTTCTATATGGTGTAGACTAGTACACCCCCAGTGGCAGCTGTCCCTGCGCAATTTTCTGCCAGTAGGGGACGATGTTGCAATGTGTCATCTCATTGAGTAACTTGTCGTTATCATTTTTTATTTCGCAAATTTGTACCACGACGCTGAAACACAATGGCCAACTCATTTTAGTTAAGTAATTGGATCTTTAATGCCCACGGTGAAGAGGCGGCACCTAGTATTACAGAGTTAAAATACACCGCAGTAATACTTAGGGCGGCCTTCTGAATTCAGGCTGCAACCCTCTGCAACAAGCGGTAAATGCACTACCGCTGGGCCATGTCACTGACGTGAACTCACAGAGATGGTGTGTGAGAGACTGGGTGTCTCTGTGGGGGTGTGTGTGGGTGTCTTTGTCTCTGTGAGTGTAGGTGTCTCCGTGGGAGTGGGTGTCTGTGGGGGTGGGTGTCTGTGGGGGTGAGTGTATCTGTGGGGGTGGGTGTCACTGTGGGGGAGTGGATGTCTGTGGGGGTGAGTGTCTGTGGGGGTGGGTGTCTGTGGGGGTGGGTGTCTGTGGGGGTGAGTGTCTGTGGGGGTGGGTGTCTGTGGGGGTGGGTGTCTGTCTGTGGGGGTGGGTGTCTGTGGGGGTGGGTGTCTGTGGGGGTGAGTGTCTGTGGGGGTGGGTGTCTGTGGGGGTGGGTGTCTGCGGGGGTGGGTGTCTGTCTGTGGGGGTGGGTGTCTGTGGGGGTGGGTGTCTGTGGGGGTGAGTGTCTGTGGGGGTGGGTGTCTGTGGGGGTGGGTGTCTGCGGGGGTGGGTGTCTGTCTGTGGGAGTGGGTGTCTGTGGGGGTGGGTGTCTGTGGGGGTGAGTGTCTGTGGGGGTGGGTGTCTGTGGGGGTGGGTGTCTGCGGGGGTGGGTGTCTGTCTGTGGGAGTGGGTGTCTGTGGGGGTGGGTGTCTGTGGGGGTGAGTGTCTGTGGGGGTGGGTGTCTGTGGGGGTGGGTGTCTGCGGGGGTGGGTGTCTGTCTGCGGGGGTAGGTGTCTGTCTGTGGGGGTGGGTGTCTGTGGGGGTCGGTGTCTGTGGGGGTGGGTGTCTGCGGGGGTGAGTGTCTGCGGGGGTGGGTGTCTGTCTGTGGGGGTGGGTGTCTGTAGGGGTGGGTGTCTGTGGGGGTGTCACTGTGGGGGTGGGTGTCTGTGGGGGTGAGTGTCTGTGGGGGTGGGTGTCTCTGTGGGGGAGTGGGTGTCTGTGGGGGTGAGTGTCTGTGGGGGTGAGTGTCTGTGGGGGTGGGTGTCTCTGTGGGAGTGGGTGTCTCTGTGGGGGTGGGTGTCTGGGGGGTGGGTGTCTGTGGGGTTGGGTGTCTGTTGGGGTGAGTGACTCTGTGGGGGTGGGTGTCTCTGTAGGGGTGGATGTCTGTGGGGGTGGGTGTCTCTGTAGGGGTGGGTGTCTGTGGGGGTGGGTGTCTGTGGAGGACGGTTCTCACTGTTGAGGCTCAGCGAGATGAGTTTCTCTGGAGCGAGGAAGGAGAGGAAACGCTTGGGAGCACAGAAGAGCAGCGTGCTCGCTGCAGATACGAGTCGCTCACACTGCGCAGCGCTGCTCCACCACACGCAAAAAGATTCCCCATTTAGCTTTTGACAGACATGAGGCAAGTGCTATGACATGGGGGTGCCCGTGTGTCCCCAGTTCTGATGTTTAATACACACCGCATCAGTTACTCAATGAAGGCCGAGTCGACCTAGGGGGGCTAGGACCATCTCAGGTGTTCGCCACTCATGTTGGCTGTGAGTATGAATGGAACACAGGCTGCCGGGTTTGTATAACTGTGCGCTAACCACTGCGCCACCGCTCCCAGCACGGTCACATTACACACAGCACCGCACAAAGACAGAGAGCATTACAAACACCACAACACAGCAAGACAGCACCACACACAGTAGCATGCACACGGGGGAAAATGAGTGAGAGAATCAGTGTGAGAGAACTGGAGATTGAGTGAGAGAAAGTGAAAGGGGGGGAACTCACTTGGGGGGCCCTGTTGAGGGGGCGAGCCCCTCCCATCGCGACGTGAGGGCGCACGATGAGTCCACAATGCGAGTCCAAACCTGTGCCACATTGCTGCCTATGTGCCACACACAGAGCGGTGATCACAGTGTACCACATACAGAACGGTGATCACAGTGTACCACATACAGAACGGTGATCACAGTGTGCCACACACACAGCGGTGGTCACAGTGTACCACACACAGAGCGGTGGTCACAGTGTACCACACACAGAGAGGTGGTCACAGTGTACCACACACAGAACGGTGATCACAGTGTACCACACACAGCGGTGGTCACAGTGTACCACACACAGAGCGGTGATCACAGTGTACCACACACAGAGCGGTGGTCACAGTGTGCCACACACACAGCGGTGGTCACAGTGTACCACACACAGAGCGGTGATCACAGTGTACCACACACAGAGCGGTGGTCACAGTGTACCACACACAGAGTGGTGGTCACAGTGTGCCACACACACAGCGGTGGTCACAGTGTACCACACACAGAGCGGTGATCACAGTGTACCACACACAGAGCGGTGGTCACAGTGTACCACACACAGAGCGGTGGTCACAGTGTACCACACACACAGCGGTGATCACAGTGTGCCACACACAGAGCGGTGATCACAGTGTACCACACACACAGCGGTGGTCACAGTGTGCCACACACAGAACGGTGGTCACAGTGTACCACACACAGAGCGGTGGTCACAGTGTACCACACACAGAGCGGTGGTCACAGTGTGCCACACACAGAACGGTGATCACAGTGTACCACACACAGAACGGTGGTCACAGTGTACCACACAGAGCGGTGGTCAGTGTACCACACACAGAGCGGTGGTCACAGTGTACCACACACACAGCGGTGGTCACAGTGTACCACATACACAGAGCGGTGATCACAGTGTACCGCACACAAAAACAGCAGTGATCAGTGTGCAACAACAGTCTGCCAGACACAGTGGGGGCAAAGTTGTTATATGTATTCGCATACGATTAATTTACAGGTATCTTTTCAGCATTGGGATATTTGGGTAATACCAGTTATTGTGTATTTTTTTTGCTTTGCGAGAAAACCGCAGAATCCGGAGGAAACCCATGTAAAACAGGGGAAGGACAACCACCAAACACTCACTCGTTCTCACTCCCACACAACAAAGATCCCCCATATAGCCTTAACAGACTGTAGGGGCAAGTGCTGTTAGCGAGCACCTATGAAGGCCGGAACGGTACACGAGGGGGTGGGTGGCCAGCACCACGCCCGACCGCCTTTGTCTCCCTAGTGGCAATGTTTACACACCGCACCAGGTACTCATTTGAGGCTGAGTCGATCTAGGGGAGGCCCGGGACCGGTTCAGATAATCGTCACTGGTGTTGGCCGTGAGCGGGAATTGAACCCGGGTCGCCAGGTTCATAGCGCAGCACTCACTCACTCGCACACACTCAATCTCACTCATTCACACTGTCACACACGCTAGATAACAGGGGGAGAACGTACAAACTCCACGAACAAAGGTGCCCGATTTGGGAATCGAACCCAGGACCTTCTTGCTGTGAGGTACAAGTGTTACCACTGTGCCTCCGCCTCATACCTGCCTCCCGTGTGTGTCCATGTGGGTCGATAATATCTGCACCGGTCGCTCAGGACAATAAACAGGCCGGATGACTGACGATCCAGCACTCACTGATTCACGGCAGTCACTTGCTTACTGGCGGTCAGTTATTTCCTTACCACTCTTCTACGGCTAACACCGTGGTTACTGTTCCCGTTAACTTCGCTCGTTGATTCCTCCAACCATGCTGAGGGTTATTGTGGTGTGTGGGTCAGTGTGGCACAAGCGCCGTGCCGACGTCACCGCCACTTAGTGGTGAACAGCGGTGGATGTTGTTGTGTGGGCAGCATTGTCAGGATACACTTGAGCCCTTGCCCTTCCACAATGCTGCAGTGAGGCGGCACAGGTTGACTTACAGAGACCTGCCACAGAGCACATATGCACGCACCCTTGCCATCAGCCATGTGAGAGTGCCAATGCATATTTAAATTAAATATCAAACCACAAAAATGCATTCCTCAATAACTATTTGCACTTGTGCACCACTGCCAATACAGAATCACCTATTACAGTAAAACCTTGGATTGCGAGCATAATTCGTTCCGGAAACGTGTTTGTAATCCAAAGCACTTCGTATATCAAAGCACTCGTATATCAAAGCACTCGTATATCAGTTGTGATCACGTGACGCTCGGCAGACAAAGCGTATATACGTACTACTCGTATTGCAAGACCCTCGCTCGTTTATCAAATTAATATTTATTTAAATTTTAGCTCGTCTTGCAAAACACTCGCAGACCAGGTTACTCGCAATCCAAGGTTTTACTGTATTTCAAACAAATCGTTAAACTGATAATTGTCTCCTGCATATATATACTGTATCTCTCCACATGCATTTTCTTTTACACCATCCATCGGCCGCACACCTTCTGGGTGTGCATAATTTCAGCCGCGTGTCTACACTTGGCTAATACGGAAAAAAACAAACATGAAATGCAAATAACTGAGCCGCATTATACGACCGTAACACGCAAACCTTGCCTGGCTAAGGAAAATTACGCCTTATCTTTCCTGATGCAGGTGCTAAAGAAAGGTTCTGGTGGTGGGGGCAATGTGATATGGGGGGGTGGAGGGGGGGTCGGGGGGGGGGGTGGTCGCCCCACCCCTCCCCTCTTATAGGGGCGGGGCTCCCCCCACCTGTCAATCAACTTGGATCCCCGGTACTGGTGTGGGATCGACGTTCAAGATTTCATATTGGTGGGGTCTGGCTGTGGCTGCCGAATGAATGGCTGGCATTGGCCAAACATCTCCTTGCTGAAAAAACACCTGCAAATTACTCAATTGGGATTACGCACAGGAACGTCGCCCCCCCCACCCCCCCAACTGCAAAAACTTGGCAGGACCCTCCTGAAAACGAGTCTTCAGATTCAGAGAAAGCACAAGATGGAGTGACCATCTATGTTCGATGGCTAGCCAAAAGCCACTGCAAGGATGACTGGAGTTCGCTTGATGGTTTATGTTAAACGTACGTATGTAAGCATCAATTACCGGATTGGGCTTGCGCGCGCTTCTTGCCTTCTCTTCCTTCCCAGGCTTTCCCTCCCCCTTCTCCTCTATGATGGGATACAAACAAACCACGTGGTGAACCATAATCTTCTCTCATAGTCTGACAAGCAAGTGACACAAAGTCACAACTCTATGTTATCTATTGATGTCGGCCAAACATCCAGTGCTGAAAACGTACTGGCAAATTACTTAATTGGCACACGATAAGGTGGGATGCCAGAACCACGCCCGACTGCATTTCTCTCCCTCATGGCGATGTTTACACATCAACCTAGGGGAGGCCCATGACTGGTTCTTACAATCGTCACTGGTGTTTGCCGTGAGCGGAAATCGAACTCAGGCTGCCGGGTTTGGAGCGCAGCGTGCTAACTGCTACACTACTGCTCCCCACCACCATACTTACTACCACCAGGACCCTCATCACCGCCACCACACTCACCACCACACTCACCACTACCGCAGGCCGCACGAACCCAGCGGCCGTGCAGGATCTGCAAGGAGAAATCCCGGCTCATGGAGCGTGGTGGGGGCTGGAGCTGTGGAGCCTTAGGAGGCTCCACGTCAGCCATGGGGTTCTCAGCGCTGGGGGTGCGGCCAGGAAATGGAGGCAGGTCGGGGCGGCCCACCATCCCGGGCAGCAGCTCCAAGGGTAGCTGCATGAGATGCAGATCGGCGAGGATGATGAGGTGGGGGGCAGCTGGGGCAACAGCTGAACACATGGGAAGGGATGGAGAGAAAACACAAGGACACACTTGTAATTTGACTCGCTGACACACTCGCACGCACACAGTCACAGAGAGGGAGAGAGACAGAGGCAGAGCGAAAGAGACAGAGACATACACTGATACACCTCCGATTAGCACGGTTGGCTACGTACGGTGTGAAAGAAGTTCAATATATATAGATACACACAGACACACCAACTCACACACAGAAAGACAGATATGCACAGACACACACGTACACAGGTACACAGACATGCACTCGCAAAGATAGACATCACACTCACTCGCACACAAAGACAGGCACATAGGCACCTTGCTCAGCGCTGGCTCTGGTTGATTTTTCTCCACCTCGACAGCGAGCGCTCACAGCCGCCCCTACAGGGTCCACAAGCCTGCGTGTGTGTGTGGGGGGGAGCAGTGGTGCAGTGGTTAGCGCACTGTGCTACACACCTGGCTGCCCGAGTTTAGTTCCCGCTCATGGCCAACATCATTGTCGAATATATAAAACCGGTTCTAATTCTGCCCTAGATCGAGCGACTAGACTCAGCCTTAAATAAGAAAGGCGGCCGGGCGTGGTGTTAGCCAATTAACCCCTCGTGTGCCATGCCGGCCTTAATAGGTGCTCACTAACAGTACTTGCCTCCAGAGTCTGTAATAGGCTATAAGGGGATCTTTGTATTTGTGCACGTGTGTATTTAGGTTTGCGTGTCCATGTGTGCGTGTTTTCACACATATCTGTGCATATGTACATGTTAACAATGTGTCTACGTATTTGTATTTTTGTTATTTTTTTATGAAGCTTGTTTACCCAAGAAGGCCTCATTGAGTCTCAAGACTCTTTTTAAAGAAGGTCCTGCCAAGTTTATAACAGAAGGAGATGATATTGCTTTTATGTAATCCAAATTGATTAATCTGTATACGTTGTTTAGTGTTAGGTTGTTTGGCCAATACCATTTACATTGGGTGTTTTTTAGCTATGGGAGGAACTGGAGAAACCGGAGGAAACCCACGCAGAACAGAGGAGGAAAAAAAACGTCGTGTAATCTTCCTCATTTACAAAGATAAGGCAAAGATCCCCCTATATAGCCTCAACAGACTTTTGGGGCAAGTATTGTTTGCGAGTACTTATTAATGCCAGCATGGGGATGGATGTCTCCCGAGTGGCGATGTTTACACATCGCACCAGGTACTCATTTGAGGCTGAGTCGACCTAGGGGAGGCCCAGGACTGGTTCAGACAATCGTCCCTGTTGTTGGTCGTGAGTAGGAACCAACCTGGGGTTGCCGGGCTCGCAGTACAATGCGCTAACCACTACACTACCACTCCCCACACTCACACAACAACAACAACCGCCATTCGCCACTAAGTGGCGGTGACGTCACCACGACACTTGTGCCAGGCCATGTGCACGTTGAGGCCACGTGAAGTGTCGAACGCCCGCGGGCAGGAGGTCACGGGGCAGAGCCAGGTGCCACGGGTCGACTGAGATGACTGGCTGGTGCACCACCTGTGCCCCCTACTGTGCCAACCTGTTGTGCTTTAGCCACTCGGCGCTCCGCTCGTTGTTGTGAGCGTCGCTCCTCCGCCCTCCGTTGTTGTTGGAGGGCGACTGCCTCCAACTGCCCAAGAGCGTCCTTCACGAACCTCCTCCACAGAGGCCGATCTTGACACCGCTGGTACCAGTCATCGGCAAGTCCACTCAGCTCCACGTCCTCCTGTACCACATCACTCCATCTCTTCTCTAGCCCGTGCCGCGCCTGTTTAGCCCCCTCGATCCGGCCGAACAAAAGCTGTTTCGGCATGCGGTGGCTGGCCATGCGGGCTACGAAACCCAGCCAACGCAGCCTTGCCTGCCGGAGCTCACCAATGAGACCTTGCCCAGATCTTTCAAGGATTTTTGAGCTTCTCACACAATCCAGCCTGGTTAAACCCAGGATGGATCGTAGGCAGGCCAGCCTAAATGTTTCCAACCGGCGAAGATGCTCCATTAAGGGGGTTCACGTTTCGCAAGCGTAGAGAAGGGAGGGAATGACCGTGGCCGAGAAGACCTGAAGCTTAGTGCGTTACGCAACCAATGAAAAGATATTGCCGGTCGACTGATTCGGAGTGAGACCTCTGCTGTTAAACTGGAGCCGGTCATAAGCACACTGCCCAGGTATGGGAAACTCTCCAATCTCTCCACAACTGCCCCATCACCAATTGGGAGTTGTGGGGGTGGAGTGTCCGATGGTACAAAATACCCAGGCAGGTGCTTAGTTTTGGTGGGGCTGATGGTAAGGCCCCATCTCTTAGTGGCACGCTCCAGTCTCAGCAGCAGCGTCTCCAACTCCTCCTCTGAATGAGCAGCTATTACCAAATCATCAGCATACATAACGTGGTTGAGCAATAGGGAGCCATCCCTTGACCGCACCCGGGCATCGATCAGCCTCCCATTATATCTGTACCAAATGGAGATTCCCCCGGTACAGCTATTGAAGGTTTCACGAACTACGTGGTCAAAATAGATGTTAAATAATGTGGGAGCCAGAGGACATCCCTGTCGCACCCCAAGGTGTACAGGGAATGGCTCTGACTCACACACTCACTCACTCACACACATTCACACACAGGCACACTGCAGAACAGGGGGAGAACATACAAACTCCATGCAGAAAAGGCACCCGAGTCAGGCATCGAACCCAGGCCCTTGTTGCAGTGAGGCCTGAGTTCGACCACCGCGCCACCCTGCCATCCATCAAGGGATGATGTCTCCTGTAGACAGAAGTGGAGGAGGAAGGCCCAGACAGCGCAGTAAGAACGAGATGACCACGAGTAAAGGGAGCACTACCCGAGTGCAGACACTCCCAGTTGGGCCAGCACTGGCTGCAGGTATTGCTCGGTTCGACCCACGATGGCCTCCAGATCCTCTTGCAGCTGCCCATCATCATCTGAAATCTGTAAATGACAAGAAAACCCATTACAACGGAAAAAAACAAATACAGCCTGGAAACAAATAGAGTTAAGAACACACAGTGATCCATATTATTTTTGGGTTAGTCCATGTGGTGGTTTTATACTAAAATTCTTGTGATTAGCCCTCCACCACCCAAAATAATTGTCACGTTTACAGAGATATTATTTAAACCTGGCTAATGTATCTATCTATGTCTCTATGTGACTATGCCTCTTTGTGTGTGGGTGAGAGTAATGGTCTGTATCTCTATTTCTCTGTGTGTCAGTATCTTTGTATTTTTGTATCTGTGTGTCTATGTCTCTGTGTGTGTTATGTCTCTCTGTATCTATGTCTTTGTGTGTCTATGTCTTTATGTCTATCTCTTTGTCTTTGTGAGTCTATGATGGTCTGTGTGTATATGTCTCTGTGTCTATTTCTCTATGTCTCTGTGTGTGTCACTGTGTGTCTATGTATCTGTGCGTGTGTGTGAGAGTCACTCTGTGGGTCTCCCTCTTCTCCTGCTGCAGATAACTCTGCTGCGCCCTCTCCCTGTGCTCCCGTGTGCTGCACAGGAGTGAGTCCAACTCCGTAGCCTTGACCTGCATTCGAGCCACACGCGTTCGAGACGCTACACACACACATGTAGATACAGACACACATACACATATAGATACAGACACACACTCAGATATAGAAAGACAAAGATCCCCCATATAACCTTAACAGACTGTTGGAGCAAGTGCTGTTAGCAAGTAGCACCTATAACACACAGAGTGAACCGCATGCACACTGTTGCTGTTGTAGCCATAGCAGAACTCCCAGTGGCAGCTGTCCCTTTGCAGCACAATACGACTCAGCATTTGGCCTCCATGTGGGCATTAGTCTGCCAGTAGGGGGCAGCGTTGATATGTGTAATCCCAAACGAAAAATTTGCGGGTCATTTTTTATTTTGACAAATTTGGACCGTGACGCTGGCCCCAAAACTGCCGACTCTTGCGAATGATGTTACGGGATCTTTGACATCCACTGCGAGTGAAGTAGATGGTGCATAGTATTCTATGATGAATGCACACTGCGGTATTAATCAGGGCGGAATGCCGGTTTCTGACTGTGAACCTCTGCAACAAGTGGCAAATGCCCTACCGGCTGGGCCATATCACATCCCTTTACAGACTTAGGAAGAGTGCTGTTAGCGAACACCTCCAATTAGCTCCCTCACCTCCGATTAGCATGGTTGGCTATGTACGTTGCAAAGGAAGTTCAACATAGATATACTGACCTAGCTGCTGGCTGCCTCCAAGTTTCTCCGTCTTCTTCTTGTCTCCCACATAAGAGCCCGGCTTGTCCAGCACAGCTCCATAGAGGTAGCGTCTGTGAACGCACGCATCCCCGTGTGTGTGAGTGAGTGTGTATGTGTGTGCAGTGCGACGTGTGTGTGTGCAAGTGCAGTGTGCATGCAGCATGTGTGTATGCAGTGTGGTGTTTGTGGTGTCAGTGTATATGTGTGTGTAGGGTATTGATACTTGCCTGTCTAGGGAGTGCTGCAGAATGACGATGTCTAGATTTGGAGGAAGCTCATTGATCAGCACCAGGTGCTGTGTAGAAACTGCAAGATATCGCCACACCTGACAAAGAAAAAGATAATCCGTATAGCCTGAACAGAAGTTTTGGGGCAAGTGCTGTTAGCGAGCACCTATGAAGGCTAGCATGGCACACGAGGGGGTGGGGGCCAGGCACCACACCCAGCCACATTTGTCTCCCTTGTGGCAATGTTTACGAATCCCAACAGGTACTTATTTGAGGCAGAGTCGACCTAGGGGAGGCCTAGAGCCGGTTCAGATAATCGTCACTGGTGTTGGCCGTGAGCAGGAATCGAAATCGGGCCACTGAGTTCGTAGCGCAACGCGCTAACCACTACACAACCACTCACCACATGCGCATACACACAAAGACATGCACACAGGTATAAACGCACACAGGCACATTACATTACGAGAGACTTCATGTTTATTGGTTAATTGATCCACTACTCATTGAGTCATACACACGCTTAGCGGCGGTCAGTCGCTTTGTTATCACTTTTAAATTTAGATTGAAAAGAATTTTTTTAGAACTGATTTTTGTGTTAAGTTTGTTGTCCTTCCCCCACACCTCTTATAAGCACGGTTGGCTACGTATGGTGCAAAAGAAGGTCAATATTCACACATACAACAATGCTCACTCACCTACTAACTCACTTACGCACTCACTCACTCACGCACTCACTGACCCTCATTCACTCATCCACACTCACTCACTCACCACACTGCACAAATAACAAAAAAAACAACATTCGAACCGCACTGCAGGCCACAAACTTCTCTCTTTGCTTGTTTCCATCGCCTCTTTTCCCAAGCTCTTAAAATAACCTTGCTCATGTCAAGAAACGTGTTTACTATTACCGATTACAACTTATATAGTGCTACTTGTTGCTGGTCGTTTGATCCTAAGTATTTTCTATCCCACTTGGCCAAATATGGGCTCACGTTGATCGGAACGACCCAGGGACCCATGGTAGCGATGATGAGCTGTGGAAATAAGTGACCTTGATTTATTTTTACACGCTTAATATAATGTAGTACATTTGGTATTGGTGTGATGTTTCACGGATACAATCTGCAGTAGTTTTCACACGAGGGGGCGAGGTTGCTATGTGTAATCCCAATTGGTGGTGTAAACTTTTTTGTAAGTCTGGACCATGATGCCAGCACACAATGCCCTACTCGTTTCAAATGATGTTACGGGATCTTTAACATCAATTGTGAAACAGCCGAAGCATAATATTTACAGTTAATACAGGCGGCAGGGTTGTGCAGTGCTAACACTTGTGTCTCACAGCAAGAAGGACGTGGGTTCGATTCCCAACATGCAAACTGTGTGTTCTCCCCCTGTCCTGTAAAGGAATGCCTCTAGATTCTCCAGTTTCCTCCCATAGCTAAACAAAAAAAACAACCCTACAATGTAACTGGTATGGGTCAAACATCCCAATGCTGAAAAATGACCTGCAAATTACTCAATTTGGATTAGACACAGCAGCAACATCGCCCTATACTCTGAAAAACCTTGGCAGAACCCTCCTGAGAAAGAGTGCTGAGACTCAGTGAGGCTTTCCTAGCTAAATAGTGGCTTAAGACTGGTGTTTGTGCAGTTTGATTGGTGAGTTGTGATTTACAATTGTTTAAAAAAATCACCCCATGTGTAAAATGACCTGCTGCCAAAGTGGTGAGAAAGAGAGTGAGCGACGAAGCGAGTGAGCGAGTGAATGAGTGAGTTTGCAGGCCTCACCGTCTGCTTCAGGGCATGTGTGGCGGCGGCGCTGCCTGTGGGGGCAGTAGCAGCAGCAGCAACAGGAGGAGTGAGGGGGCAGCAGATTCCAGCCTGTCCGCGGTCCCGCGTGGCCGTGCGGAGGCAGGCGGCTGCACGTGAGCTCCCCGCTGCCCCGGCCACGCGTCTCAGCACCACAGCCAGAGTCCGGCTTGCCACACAGCTCTAGCGGCACGGCAGAGAGTGTGGGAGAGTGGGGAGAGTGTGGGAAAGCGTGGGGGACAGCAGCGGAGAGAGTGTGCGGGAAGAGTGGGGGAGAGCGTTGGGAGACGGAGAGCATGGGAAGATAGGCGGAAAGTGGGTGAGAGTGTGGGTGAGAGGATGAATGAGAGCAGGGAGAGCAGGGGGGAGAGGGGTGGAGCGGATGGAAGCGTCAGTGAGAACACGGTTAAGAGCGTGGTGGAAAGTGGAAGAGAGCCCTCCAGCGACAACGGAGAGTGGAGGAGCGACACTCACAATAACGAGCGGAGTGCCAGGCAGCTAAAATACAGCAAGGTAGCACAGTGGGGAGCACAGCTTGTGCATCTGCCAGTCATCTCAGTCAGTCAACCCATAACACCTGGATCTGTACCGTGACCTCCTGCCGGCGAGCCTTCCGTACTTCACGTGATGGTCTCAAATTGCACCTAGCCTGGTGCAGGCGCTCTGATGACGTCACTGCTCCATAGTGGCGAAAGGCAGCAGTTGTTGTACATGAATGTACGAGTGACGAGTGTGTGTGCATATGAACTCACCTGGAACAGCGCCAGGTATTGTGCCGCTGCCTGTGGCTGCGAGGGCCCCATGGCATCCGTGAGGGCGAGCGCAGCGCTCGACGCTGTGCGGAGGTCACCTTCCCGCAGAGCAACGCCCAGTGCCTGACTCATCAACTCCACAGACTGACATAGCTGAGCTTGTGGGAGAGACAGCTCAGCCTGGTGGTGAGGGGGTGACAAATGGAAGTGGTGATGGAAGAGTCATGGCCAGGAAACAAACCGAAACCCAGACACATCGTCTCTTGAGTTGATTGATGATCCACCACTCACTGATGCATTCCAGTCACCTCGCTCACTCACCAGTAATCAGTTGCCTTCGTATCACTCTTTTATCACTACTACCATGGTTACTGTTCCCATGAACGTACACTCATTGAATCCTTCACTTATGTTGACGATTCAGTCGACCAGACCGACTCGCTCAGATACACTTACATGGACACGCCCACACTCAAAATCAACAGGAGCTGCCATTCACCACTACGTGACAGTTATGTCACCAATGTGCTTGTGCTAGGATAGATGCACTTTGAGTATCGAAGGGTCGATGGCAGGAAGTCACGGGGCAGACCCAGGTGTTATGGGTTACCTGACTATCACTTACAGATGCCCCACCTGTGCTCCCCACTGTGCCAACTTGCTGTGGTTTAACCAACCGATGCTTCGCTTGTTATTGTGAGCATTATTTATCTGCATTCCATTGTTGTTGGAGGGCAACTGCCTCCAACAGCCCAGTAGCGTCCTTGATATGCTTTCTCCACAGAGGGCAATCTTGACACCAGTCATCGGCAAGTCCATTGATACCTTATTTTTCGGTGCCACATTAGCCCATCTTTTCTCTAGCTCGTGCTGCACCTGTATATCCCCCATCTATCTGGCCAACCAAAAGCTACTTGGGCATATTCTTGGTTCTTTCGGTAAAGTCACGTTGAAGGGAAACAATAAAATATATATATTTTATTATTTTATTGTTTCCCTTCAACGTGACTTTAACAATAAAATATATATATTTTATTATTTTATTGTTTCCCTTCAACGTGACTTTACCGAAAGAACCAAGAATATGAATCACTGCAGTCACGAAAGCTTTAAATCAAAATCTACTTGGGCATGTTAAATAGTGTAGGGGCCAGAGGACATCACTGTCGCATCCAATTGTGAATAGGATGGCTATGACTCCCAGCCACACAGCTTTACCTAGGCCTGCCTACCATCATGAAAGCCCTTCATGATTGTGAGCAGAGGGTCAGGGCCTCAAAAGCATGTAGAATAATGCAAAGCCATGACCGAATGATGGTATCATAGGCCTTGACCAGGTCGATAAAAAGCAGACACAGTATGTAAGTGGTGTTGAAATTCCTTACACCTCTGGAATAATGTTTGCCACACTCACACACACACGGTCACTCACCTGTATGTTGGGAACCGGTGGTGTTGGTGATGATAGAAAAGTCAGTTCTGTAGAGCCATCGTCTTCCTCCATGAGCTCTGGCTCCGTATCCCCCCAGTTCTCCTTAATAATCAGAATAATTAATAATAATTTAGTACATTTAGTCTTGCTATTAACATACTTGTGAAAAAATAAGAATAGGTTTTACCCTTTCTGGCAATAAAAAAATGTGTTAAGATGTTCAAACACCAAACAGAAACCTTTTACAAGGAATCATGTCTGCACTAACCATAAGTATTGTTCGCCTTTTGGCGTTCACTGGTCTGACACTGGTGGTGAGACTAGGCCCTAAAGAAGTCTGTCTCTGGTGTAGACCAATCAGTTTCAAAGACAAAGCATACAGTATATATTATCGGAGAATGTTTTTGTTTGCATGTTCACCACAAGTACGTGTGGTTAATGGAGACTTTATTCCTTGCAAAATGTTTCTATTTGGTGTTTGAACATCTTAACACCTGCTTTATTGCCAGAAAGGGTAAAAGCTATTTGAATTGTTTTAATACTTTGATACTGCCAATAGAGGTCCCATATTAGTATAAAGTACTTCTAGTGCAAGGCTATCACGAATGAAGGCGCTGTGTTTAACGTGGCCTGCTGTAGCTTCATATTGCAGTGTATATTTTAGAATTTGGACCGTGATGCCAGCGCACAACGGCCTACACTCGTGTCGAATAACGTCACAGGACCTTCGACGTCCACTGTATTTACGCGATCTAACAAAAAAAAAACCTGTATTATGGACGATATTGGTCGCAAAAGCTTACGTCTTAAACTGGCAAGTAGTAAGTGATGGTTAACGTACTGCAGCATTAACCAGGGCAGCCTGTCAGATATGAACTGCGAAACTCTGCAGCGAGCAGCAAACGCGCTGCTGCTGCTGGGCCATGTTAACAAACCCCAGATCCTCACACCACAACACAGAGCTCCTGAACTGCTTGACAGCCTTCTGCAGCCTCAATCCCCACCCGGCTCAGACCCCAACCCTGAGGCCAAGACTGAAACTCAGAGTGCAGAGCAAGTTGCCTGTAATGAGCACGTGATCACCAACCTCCTGGCTTCAACCAATTCCACGAACAATGGTCTAGATAACAACAAACAGTGGGAAGGCACGAACCCCATTGATATGCCTTCTGATTACACAGGGATCGGCAGCAAAAATAACAAGAAGAGCCATTTTTTTCCCGATTCGATAAAAAAAACCTCAATATTTCAACAGCCGTAATGCATGCGAATAACGTCACGAAGCAGTCCTTAAAGAGCCGCATGCGGCCAATCAATGTGCATGCATGTTACTTATCTAAAAAAACTATCGTTTGAATCCAACAATTACGAGGCTCGTTGGTCTCAAAATCATAACAATTTAACAGTCCCAAGAGTAAAATCCCAAACAGCACACTCTCAGACTTACACATAACTGTTTCAATATGGAATGATCTCGCACACTCACTGAAATATGCCACCAGTCTCAACCCACTTAAATAGTTAACTAAAACTCACAAGATTTGCAACTACTACAGCTAAGAGTACATTCGATATGAACCAAGGTTTGCATCAATTGTTTATTTATTCATTGGCTGGCAGGCAGGTTTGCACAGTGGTAATACTTGTGCCTCACAGCAATAAATCCCCGAGTTCAATTCCTGACTCAGGCACGTTTCTGTGTGGAGATTGTATGTTCTCCCCCCTGTTCTGTGGGGAGTTAGAGTGTAGTGGTTAGCGTGCTGCGCTATGGACCTGGCGACCCGAGTTCATATCCCGCTCACGGCCAACACCAGTGACGATAATTTTAACAGATCCTCGGATTCCCCTAGGTCGACTCGGCCTCAAATGAGTACCTGGTGTGGTGTGTAAACATCACCACTAGGGAGACAAAGGTGGTCGAGCGTGGTGCTGACAATCCACCCCCTTGTTCTGGTCTTAAAAAGTTCTCACTAACAGCACTTGCCCCAACAGTCTGTGAAGGCTATACGGGGATATTTGTCTGCACGGGATTCCTCTGGTTTCTTCCCATAGGTCAAGAAAACCATACATTATAAATGGTATTGGCCAAACATCACAATGCTGAAAATGTACCTGTAAGTTAATCAATTGGGATTACATGTGTAGTGACATCGTTGGATGTTACTGTGTATGCCAGCCCTAGAGAGGCATGGCGTGCGGTGTCTTGACATTGCGGACACCTCTAGGATGTGGGTGTAGTACCGGCCCTAGAGGGGCTCGGTCAGCGCTGAATGACAGCGCTGGATGCCAACACACTTGGCGTGCAATGCCAGCCCTAGAGGATCGGGTGTGGAAGCGCTGGCCATAGGGAAGGGGTGCTGAAGGCCGTGGACTCTGGTTGACCCAAGAGGAGACGTGACCGGTCAAGTATACAGAGGGGCCCCAAGTGGAGGGCTGGGGGTGGTCGTGGCTAGGGGCGGAGCGAGCCCCGCCACGGAGGATATAAGCCGGGCCCCCCAGAGGGACCGGTTGCTGTTGTTATCCTAAAGAAACCTTCGTCGGCGTTCTACGTTCTGCAGAAGTCTCCAACACGTGGACCTGGACCCAAGCTGTGATCCGGTCCATTGTAGCCAGTTACAGTGTAATTAGTGTAGTTAGCCTGGTGGTCCACCACCATAGGTTGTTATCTGGTAAAGGGGCAGTTACCCCTTTGTCTTGGTAAAGAGTACGTTTGCGACTCAGTTGAACTCACCACATGTAGCAACATTGCCATGCCTCTGGGTAAACGAGTGTTAAAATAGCAATAATTCATTCATTTATTTAACTATTTTACTGCATTCATACTAACCGTATTAATGCATAATGTATAAGTTATAGATTTAAAATGTTTTTACACGTCATCACGTGCTTGTCATGTGTGTGTCAATTGATACCCTGGACAAATTTGCAAACGCGATATTCAATCTCAAGGGATAGTCCAGGTCAAATATTCCGGTACACAAATAAGTCATGTGTGTGAGTGAAGGCAGCACGTGCCCGTACCTGCCACTGTGGCTCGTACAGCCTGGCAACACAGCCCAGGCAGTGAGCGGAGAGCAGAGCCACTTGTCCCCTCGGGGCCCCCAGTCCCCCCTGGATTCCGTTAGGGTCCTCATTAGGGCCCCGACTCAGCAGCAGCAGCGCAGACGAGAGTTGAGTCAGTGCCGTCTGCGGCAGGGAGCGCAGGGTGGTGCTCCACAGCTGACGGAGATAAGGACAAAGATATCCCCATGTAGCCTTTAACAGGCTGTTGGTGCAAGTGTTGTTAGTGAGCACCTATGAAGGCCAGAAAGGCACAACTATGAAGGGGCGTGGGCAGCACTACACCCGTTTGCCTTTGTCTCCACCATGCTGATGTTTACACACCGCACCAGGTACAAAAATCTATGGGAGGCCCCGGAACAGTTCAGATATTTGTAAGCAATGTTGGCTGTGAGTGGGAATTTAACTCAAGTTTTAATGTTCTTAGTGCAATGCGCTAAGCACTGCACCATCGCTCCCTGATGGAGACATTGACACACACTCACGAACATTGCAGCTTAGAGACTAGGTATGGTTTTGGAGGGTTGACTCAGCCCATCATCAGTCCCTCTCATCATGGTTGCTAAAATGGTGACCACATTGTGGGGAAAACAACAGTGATTGTCCTGTGGATACAGTGAGGGAAAAAAAGTATTTGATCCCCTGCTGATTTTGTACGTTTGCCCACTGCCAAAGAAATGATCAGTCTATAATTTTAATGGTAGGCTTATTCGAACAGTGAGAGATAGAATAACAACAACAAAATCCAGAAAAACGCATGTCAAAAATGTTAGAAATTGATTTGCATTTTAATGAGGGAAATAAGTATTTGAACCCTCTGCAAAACATGACTTAGTACTTGGTGGCAAAACCCTTGTTGGCAATCACAGAGGTCAGATGTTTCTTGTAGTTGGCCACCAGGTTTGCATACATCTCAGGAGGGATTTTGTCCCACTCCTCTTTGCAGATCTTCTCCAAGTCATTAAGGTTTCGAGGCTGACGTTTGGCAAATCGAACCTTCAGCTCCCTCCACAGATGTTCTATGGGATTAAGGTCTGGAGACTGGCTAGGCCACTCCAGGACCTTAATGTGCTTTTTCTTGAGCCACTCCTTTGTTGCCTTGGCCGTGTGTTTTGGGTCATTGTCATGTTGGAATACCCATCCACGACCTATTTTCAATGCCCTGGCTGAGGGAAGGAGGTTCTCACCCAAGATTTGACGGTACATGGCCCTGTCCATCGTCCCTTTTATGCGGTGAAGTTGTCCTGTCCCCTTAGCAGAAAAACACCCCCAAAGCATAATGTTTCCACCTCCATGTTTGACGGTGGGGATGGTGTTCTTGGGGTCATAGGCAGCATTATTCCTCTTCCTCCAAACACGACGAGTTGAGTTGATGCCAAAGAGCTCCATTTTGGTCTCATCTGACCACAACACTTTCACCCAGTTGTCCTCTGAATCATTCAGATGTTCATTGGCAAACTTCAGACGGGCATGTATATGTGCTTTCTTGAGCAGGAGGACCTTGCGGGCGCTGCAGGATTTCAGTCCTTCACGGCGTAGTGTGTTACCAATTGTTGTATGGTCCCAGCTGCCTTGAGATCATTGACAAGATCCTCCCGTGTAGTTCTGTGCTGATTCCTCACCGTTCTCATGATCATTGCAACTCCACGAGGTGAGATCTTGCATGGAGCCCCAGGCCGAGGGAGATTGACAGTTCTTTTGTGTTTCTTCCATTTGCGAATAATCGCACCAACTGTTGTCACCTTCTCACCAAACTGCTTGGCAATGATCTTGTAGGCCATTCCAGCCTTGTGTAGGTCTACAATCTTGTCCCTGACATCCTTGGAGAGCTCTTTGGTCTTGGCCATGGTGGAGAGTTTGGAATCTGATTGATTGATTGCTTCTGTGGACAGATGTCTTTTATACAGGTAACAAGCTGAGATTAGGAGCACTCCCTTTAAGAGTGTGCTCCTAATCTCAGCTCGTTACCTGTATAAAAGACACCTGGGAGCCAGAAATCTCTCTGATTGAGAGGGGGTCAAATACTTATTTCCCTCATTAAAATGCAAATCAATTTATAAAATTTTTGACATGCGTTTTTCTGGATAATTTTTATTGTTATTCTGTCTCTCACTGTTCAAATAAACCTACCATTAAAATTATAGACTGATCATTTTTCTTCGTTAGTGGGCAAACGTACAAAATCAGCAGGGGATCAAATACTTTTTTCCCTCACTGTAGATGTATCCATAGGGATTTGGAAAGTCTACTACTGGCTTTGGGATGTAAACAGGAGATCAGCACCAATGTCTCAAAGCTCATTTGAGGCTTGCCATTATAATGCGAAACAGCGGATTGGGACTCCACTTGTTCCGTCTGTATGGTATAGAGTGTTGCCCCCTCCCATGCGTTAGTTCTCCAAGTGCTCCTGGTTTTCTCTCACATGTAAACACGAATTCATTCGCTCAAAACATCTTAATATGTATGGGAATGCAGAACTTGGGTAAGTGTTGGCACCGGATCACCGGCCGGCTGCCTTCTCGCTTGTCTTTGGTTGCAATTATTATTATTACAATAATCATGGTAGTTGCGACAGAAGAGTGATTAAGAATGCAACTGATCACCAGTGAGGGAGTGAGTGACTGGAGTGAAGCAGTGAGTGCTGGAACATCAAATGAAATGGAACAAGGGCTGAAAATTGCACCATAAATTATCTGGACTGGTCACAAGAGGCGATCGTCAGGTCCCAAGAACAGACAGGCCCAGGTATGAAGGAATTAAACGCCTGCGTGGTGCCACTCCAACTGGTGCCACCCCTCTCTCACCACGTGCCGCTCCGCTGGCGAGCGCTGCTCCTGCAGTAACGTGTCAAGGTGGCGCTCCACGCGGCGCTGCAGGGCAGAACGCCCAGTCGCGTGGGCTCGCTCTGCCCGCTCCGAGCGCTCGCGCTCCTCCATGCCCAGCTGAAGCAGCTGCACCAGCTGCAGCTTCACGGAGGCCAGGCAGCACGCGGGCAGCGCCTGTGCACTCTTGAGACATCAACACGTGGCACCAGTCGGGGTGAATGGGTGAAGCTACTTCTTGAATCAAGATGTCATCGTGGGCGGTGGCATGGCCCAGCAGGAGCATGCGTACTTCTTGCTGAAGTGGTTCGTGACTCGAAAGCAGCAGGCTACCCTGGTTATTTACTGCAGTGTGGATTAAGCGTAAAATACTACACGCCATCTGCTTCGCTTACAGTGGTGGTTAAATAAAGATCCCCTGATGTGGGCACGGGGGGTAGTTTTTACATGATTCCCCTCTTCTGCCCTTCCTTTTCCTTCTCTCCTCCCCATATACATTGTCATGTCCCCCGCACGTGATCCCCACCTGGGGAAGTGAGCCCAGTTTCCCCCCTGAATTGGGCGCTGTCGTGCCAAAGTCAGGCTGTTGTTTGCAGAATTTCTGTTCCCCTTCCGTTCTGCGATCGATGCTTTGTACCGGGATCGCGTTGAGTTGTAATGAAAACAAAAAAGATCCTCTGCCATCATTAGAAATGAGTAGGCCATTGCCAAATTATGGATGCACATAGCAACACCGATCTAGACTGTGAATCCACTGCAAACTGTTTCTGTGCTTCCTTGGTGACTGCCCTCTGCTGTAAGAATGATAGTGCCGATGCCAAACATGCTGAAGTATTTTATTATTACTCTTAGGTTCTTTTGGTAAAGTCACGTAGATAGGAACATAAATAAATACTAGACCACAATGTTTAGATCGTAACAACAAGCGATCGTCCTCAGGTGAAAGAGAGAAACATGCCTCTGTGACGAGGCATTATATAGAGGGGGAGGGGGGAAGGCCGTAAAAGGGGGCGAGAGGGTGGGGATAAAATTCAAAGAGGGCTTGGGTGAGAGAGAGAAAAGAAATGTGACAAGGAAGCTGAGATATCAAACGTAACAAAATTTAGAAATGTAATGCAACTCAGAGAGTCGGCTAAAACAACAGTTAACACTTTATCTGGTTGATCAACGTCCTTCAAAAGATTGCTAAATTTAGCATCTATCTTCCCGGTTGAAATTATGTCTGAGTTGTGTGGAAAACCTCCCCGTAGAGGCGGTTCAATCTTGATTAGAAGCTTTCGTGACTGCAGGATTTCATACTCTTAGGTTCTTTATATACTTTAGAGCTGCATATCATTATTGCATGGCAGGGCAGCAGAGTTTTAACACGTGAGCCTCGCATGAAGAAGCGACTGGGTTCGATTCCCAACTCGGGCGCCTTTTTGAGTGCCATTTTTATGTTCTCCCCCTTGTTATGCAGAGTATGAGCGTGTGTGCTTGTGTGAGAGAGTGTGCGAGTGCGTGTAAGTGTGTATGAGTGTGGAGTTTTTCCCCTGTTCTACGTGTCTCCTCTGGGTTAATTTTGAATGACGTTATGGGATCTTTAATGTCCACTGTAAAGCAGACAGTGCATTATATTTTATGGTTAATATGGGCGGCAGGGGTGGCGCAGCAAGAAGGACATGGGCTCGATTGTCGACATGCAAACTGTTTGGAGTTTATATTTTCTTCACCTGTTCTGCATAGGTTTCCTTCGGGTTCTGCAGTTTACTCTCAGAGCTAAACAAACATGCAATGTAACTGGTAATGGCCAAACATTCCGATGATGAAAATGTACTTGCAAACTATTCAATAGCGAACACACATGGTAGGAACATTGCCCCGAACTGAAAAACACTGGGCAAGATCCTCTGGATACTTAGTGAGGCTTTCCTGGATAAAACAAGCGTGATAATAGTGATAGTGCAGTGTGTGTACCCACGTGTAAAGCTGGCATTAGGGTCTGCGTCTCTCGGAATCCACGCTCCATTGTGAGCACTGCACGGCGACCCAGGCCCCAGGCCTCCAGCAGGCTCTGCCTCACCACTTCCTCATCCCCACTGCACCTTGCCTGCAGCCTACACACTCACATACACACACAAAGATTCCCCGTGTAGCCTACACAGGTTGATGGGGCAAATGCTGTTAGTGAGCACCTATGAAGGCTGGCACGGCACCACATGAGGAGGTGGGTGGCCAACACCACGCCCGGCCACCTTTTGCTCCCCAGTGCTCATGTATACACACTGTATAAAGTACTCGTTTAGGTTCAGATGACCTAAGGGAGGTCCAGGACCAGTTCAGTAAGTTATCATTGATGTTGCTTGTGAACGGAAAGCAAACTCGGGTCACTGGGTTTGTCGCACAATGTGATAAAGACTGCTCCCCACATTCACACGCAGAAACACACAGACACAAACACTCTCTGTGTGCTACCCGAGTGCCCATGCCACACGCTGGCACATACTCTCTCTCAATGTGCTACCCGAGTGGCCATACCACATGCTGTCCCGCACTCTCTCCGTGTGCTACCCGAGTGGCCGTGCCACACACTGCCCCGCACTCTCTCTTTCTCTGTGCTACCTGAGTGCCTGTGCGATACGCTGCCACACACTCTCTGTGTGCTACCCGAGTGGCCGTGCCACACACTACCACATACGCTCACTTTTTCTGTGTGGTACCCAATTTCCTGTGCCACACCAATACCCACCATTCGTCGCTAAGTGACGGTGACGTAACCATGGCGCCTATGCCAGGCCAGGCGCACTTTGAGGCTATGTGAAGCGTCGAAGGCTCGCTGACAGGAGGTCTCGAGACAAACCCAGGTGCCATGGATTGGCTGACTGAGGTGACTGGTAGATGCATTAGCTGTACCCCCTACTGTGCCAACTTTCTGTAATTTAGCCGCTCGGCGCTCTGCTCGTTGTTGTGAGCGTCGCTCCTCTGCCCTCCATTGTTGCTCGAGGGTGACTGCCTCCAACTGCCCAGTAGCGTCCTTTACGAGCCTCCTCCACTCAATTCCACATTCTACTGTACAGCATCAGTCCATCTATTCTCCAGCCCATGTCGTGCCCGTTTAGCCGCCTCTATGCGGTCAAACAGAAGCTGCTTGGGCATGCAGTGGCTGGGCATGCGGGCTACATGACCCAGCCAACGCAGCCTTGCCTGCCGGAGGAGCTCACTGATGGGAATGTGTCCAGATCGTTCAAGGATTTGTGAGCTCCTCATACAATCCAGCCTGGTTAAACTTAGGATGAATCGTAGGCATTCCAGCCTACGATTCAACCGGCACAGATGTTCCATTAAAGGGGTCCACGTTTTACAAGCATAGAGAAGGGAGGGCATGACTGTGTCCAAGAAGACTCGAAGCTATGTGCGGAGCGACAGACCAGGTAGCTTCCATACAGCATTGCGCAGCCGATGAAAAGATAATGCTACCCGACTGATTCGGAGTGAAACCTCTGCTGTCAAACTGCCCAGGTATGGGAAACTCTCCACTCCCTCCACAACTGCTCCATCACCAATGGGCAGCTGAGGGGGTGGAGTGTTTGGTGGCACAAAATACCCAGGCAGGTGCTTAGTTTTGGTGGGGCTGATGGTAAGGCTCCACCTTTTAGTGGCACACTCCAGTTTCAACAGCAGCGTCTCCAACTCCTCCTCTGAGTGAGCAGCAATCATCAGATCATCAGCATACATAACATGGTTGATTAATAGGGAGCCATCCCTCTACCGCATCCGGGCATCGATCAGCCGTTGTATCTGTATCAGATAGAAATTCCTCCGGTACAGCCATGGAAAGCTTCTCGAACTACGTGGTCAAAGATGATGTTAAATAATGTGAGAGCCAGAGGACATCGCTGTCAAACCCCTAGGTGAACAGGGAATGGCTCCAACTCCTGGCCACGTAGCTTTACCCGGGCCTGCCCACCATCATGAAGGCCTTGATTGATTGTGAGCAGAGAGTCAGGGACTCTGAAAGCATGAAGAACTACCCAGAGCCCTGGATTGTTGATGGTATCATAGGCCTTGACCAGGTCAATACAGCAGAGATGTAGGTCTTTCTGGAATTCCCTATACTTCTGCTGTAGCAAACAGACAGAGAAATGGCATCCATGCAGGACCGCCCTGGTCTGAAACCACATTGTGGCTCCACAAGCCTCTCCTCAGCGTGCCTGACTTTTCCCGGCAGACTAAGAGAGATGTCCCTATAGCTGTTACATCCTTCCAATCCTGTGGAACCCGTCCTGTGGTCCAGACAGTTGTGATAATGTCACGTAGGGCAGTCTGCACACAGATGCCACTCTCCCTCAGCATTTTGCTTGGGAGATCGTCTTGACGTGGCGCTTTTCCTGGCCTCAGACTTTGGATCGCCCCTTGCACTTCCACAGATGGCACCTCAGCCAACCATTCAGAAGGGGTGGCTACTTCTGCCAATATTTGAGGCACGACAGCCCTAGCTGGGTCGTCCCCACCTTGCCCCATGATGTTGTCTGGGCTGAGGAAATTCCCCTCCCCCAAGACCTTTACAAAAATGCTCTGCAAGCCTGCAGACCTGTTCCTGGGGGTCGGAGATCCGATTACCGTTCTTTCGCTTAAGGATGATAATAGGTGAGGCGCTGCACATTACTTTTTTGATGGAATTAAATAGTGATATGTGATTGCGGGCTACTGAGGCAGATTCCATCTCCTCAGTAACCCACCCCCACCACTCATCCTTGCAGCACCGCACGGCTCTCCGAGCGAAGGCTGCGGTAAGCCTCCTCAATCTCCGATGATGGATTGTGTAGATGACGGGAGTGAGCCTGTCGTTTTCTCTCAACCAGCTGGAACACCTCCTCCTTCAGCGAGGGTCTCTGGGGAGGTTTGGACTGCATACCCAATGCAGCTGTTGCAGCTGCATGAGCCAGTCTTGAACCTTACCCATTTCCCCTCAGCATCAGAAGAAGGGGCACGATGCTAACCCCAGCTGCAAGCGATGTTGTGCCACACCAAAGACAAAGATTCCCTGTATAGCCTTATACAGGAATCAAACTCAGGACCGCCCGGTTCATAGCGCAGCGCACTAACCGCTACACCACCGCTCCCCTGCTACACACAGCACACCCTGCCACACAAACACTCTCCCTCTGTGTGGTACCCGAGTGCCCATGCGGCCTGCATGAGGGCATGTGCCGAATGGTGCCGCTCCCCGCTCTGAATCATCGTCTCCGCAGATCGTGCCAGCGCCTCGCCGGCCCTACGCAGACTGCTCAGCACAGATTGCAGCTCCCTGCAGCCACAGAAAGTGTGATTAATTGGTAATTAGGTTCATCATCATCATCATCAAAATCAGTCATGATCATTCCACTGCTGGATTAAGGCTTTGCTAAGCTGCCAACTCTCAAGGTACTGTGATGTAACAATCCAAAGAGCACCTGCTCTAAGCAAAGGCTGATTTCATGGTATAAAATGCTTGTGGTAAAACATCAAATCTGCATTAACATGCAAAACATGTTTTACCACAACCATGTGTGGTTAATGCAGACTTTATGCCTTGTAATAGGTGTCTATTTGGTATTTGAACATCTTAGCACCTGTATTATTGCCGGAAAAGGTAAAGCCTATTCTTTTTAATACCGACAACAAATGGCCCATAGACACAGAATGTACTCAATAATATTATTATTATTTTGTGGAATAAGAGCTGCTTGATTTAAAGTCTCTGGCTGATTGTCCTGATTGCCAGATGGGCTTGACAGTGACTTGAAACGGACCGTGTCTCGCCGTCAGTGAACGGGCAGAAGTCCTCCCAGGGAGGCCGACCCCACGAATCTACGTGGGTCCCCTCGTAGGGGTCCCACTGAGGCCCGTGCCCCTTGCCAGTCTCGCAGTGCGAACGCACGGCCTGCATCAGCACGGACACCATCCTGGGACACATGATAAAGACATCACATGGCATCAAGGCAACAGCGTGGTGTAGTGATAGCGCAGCTAGATGGACCTGGGTTTGATTCCTGATTCGGTGCCTTTCCGTGTGAAGTTTCTATGTTCTGCCCCTGTTCCATGACCTCCTTTCAGTGAGCCTTTGACACTTCACGTGGCCTCGGAATGCACCTAGCCTAGCACGTGCCGTGGTGACGTCACCGCCATTTAGTGGCGAATGACGGCTGTTGTTGTTGAGTAAGTAAGGATGCAGAGTTTGTATGTTCTGCCCCTGTTCTACAGTGTGTGTGTGAGTGCGTGTGTGATCGCCTCGTGTGGAGTGGTAGTGTGACCTGAGTTCAAGTCCCGCTCACGGCAAACCTAAGTGACGATTATTTTAACTGGTCCTGGGCCTCCCCTAGGTCGACTTAGCCTCAAATGAGTAGATGGTATGATGTGTAAACATTGCCACTCGGCAGACAAAGACGGTCAGGCATGGTGCTGGCCACCCACCCCTTGTGTGCTGTGCCGGCCATCATCGGTGCTCGGTAACAGCACTTTCCCCAAAAGAGTGTTAAGGCTATACGGGGGATCTTTGTCTTTGTGTGTGAAGGAGCCAGTGTGAGTGTGTGCTTGGGCATTTCCTGGGTAAACAAGCATTTTAAAACTTCGTAATTATTGACTCTGGCATTGCTGGAGGCTCCCACCTGTTCTGCAGAGAGGCTACCATAGGCCCGAGGTGCTGCTCCTGGCTGGGGCATCGCTCACACGCGGCATGGAGAGCACGCACTGCCCGGCCCAAAACCCGACACGCCTGCACACATGCATATATATACATATACAATGACAAAGATCCCCCGAAGAGTCTCTAATAAGAGTGTTGGGGCAAAGTGCTGGGGTGGGTGTCAAACACCACGTCCGGTCACCTTTGTCCAGTGCTGATATTTACAGGTAATAATTTAAGTCCGAGTCAACCCAGTGGAGGCCCAGGATGATTTCAAATATTCGGCACTGTTATTGATCAGCGAGAACCTGTGAAGGCCGGCACGATACACGAGGGGGTGGGTGGCTAGCACCATGCACTTGTATAGACAGACACATAGAGAATCACGTGCGTGCATGTTCTTGCCTGGCGCAGCGAGTGCGGCCCTGCGCTTTGTACGAGGCTCTCGGCTCGGCTCATGGCCACGTTCCCGACATGCGCCACGTTCCCGCACACCTCCTGGGCGGCCTCCAGGAGAGGTCTAGCCCCGCCGCGGGGGCCCCCCGCCACCTCCAAAACCCCGCCAGCCCCCCCGGGGTATCCTTCGCCAAGGGAGAGCTGGGCCAGGAGGCAGAGACATCGGCCCAGACTGCGTTGCTCACCCAGCACCTGACAACAACAGCAACAACAGCCACCACAATTCGCCACAAAGTGGCGGTAACATCACCACGGCGCCTGTGCTAGGCCAGGTACACTCAGATGCCACGTGAAGTATCGAAGGTTCACTGACAGGAGGTCACGGGACAGACCCAGATGCCATGGGTTGACTAACTGAGATGACTGGCAGATGCAGCAACTGTGTCCGTTAACTGCATTTTAGCCGGCCCGGTGAACCTGACTCACGCAGGACCAGTAACAAGAGGGACCTGGGCTCGATTCCTGACTTGGGTGCTTTTCTGAGTGGAGTTTGTTTGTTCTCTCCCCTATCTCCATAGTGTGAGTTTAGGAAAATATGTGAGAGTGTGTGGAGTTTGTATGTTCTCAGGTTTAAAATAGACATAACAAGTACGAATAAATGTACCCTCTTATTTAAAAAGAATGAGAAAAGCTGAAACAATAATAAGTGGCGTATAAAACGCTAGTACTGTACATGTGACAAGTTAATTTATTTGACTGTCAGGTGGTGGAGAGTCTTAACAAAATACAATTTGGTCAGAACATTACGTGGCCTAACCGATATATTATGATAATAATATGGCTGTGAAACAATATATGTTAACCTTATCAATCATATCCTGACACTGAAACCTTTCAAGATTGTCTTAACACCGAACCCCTATCAATAATCACCTGGGCGGTGGTGCGTATTTCAGCCAGCAGGAAGTGTGCAGGCTGCATGAGCCCCAGCCGCACAAGCACCTCTGCCTTGTCCAACCACACAGGGAGACAGGACACAGCCGAATGCCCGCCCTTGCACACCTGGAAATCACATAAACAACAACGTCTCACCCTGTATAGCATTTTGAGGCTCTTGCGGAAGTGTTGTTCGTGAGCACCAATGAAGGCCGGCACAGCGCATTCATGAAGGGGTGGTGTGACCAGAACCATACCCAGCTGCCTTTGTCTACCCAGTGTCGGTGTTTACACACCACACCAGGTACTCATTCAAGGCTGAGTCGACCTAGGGGAGGTCCATGACTGGTTTTATATATGTATTCGTCACTAATTTTTGGCCGCAAGCGGGAATGAAAGTCGGATCGCTAGGTTTGTAGCCAGTGCGCTGACCACTGAGCCGCTGCTTCCCCACTGCACAGATGCTGTACACACATGCACACATACATACCGGTGAGAAGCTGTGTGAGCTGCCTCTAGTCCCTGCAGCTCCCAGCTTCCTCATTTCCACTTCTTCACGACAGCTGCAGCAGAGCACAACAACGCCATCATCTCCGTCACCAAGTCGAGCTTTTATATTTTTTAACCAGGCAAGAGCTCAAGAGACCAAATCATAATATACAGGTTATTCATATGCATTCATATGCATGAATAACCTGGGTCATCAAAATGACAAAAGCAAAAAAATTAAATGAAGTAGAGCCATTAAGTAAATAGAAGTCAGAGCAAAAACAACTGTGTCACATGAGACATCGAAAATATTGCACAAACATGAATAATTGGTAAACAATTAAATCCCCATAGTGTAAGTTGGCTCGGATAGACAATTCTTAGACTGATCATAGAACAATTACAATTAAGTTACAGAAACAGGTACAGGGTGACCATAATAATAATACGTAAACAATTATATGTCAAATTATATTGCAAGGAAAGCTTTCATAAAAATGAGTAGACCATTATTACGTGCTGTTTTGTACGATGACAATTTTATACATTAACTCACAAATTCGTTTTAATGGGAAAATCATCAGCAACATCGCCCCCCTACTGGCACTATAATGCCACCTTTGGAGGCCGGTGCTGCATTCTTCTTCTTTAATATGGCACTGTGAAAAGCAACAGTTTTTTCCTTAATGATCGTCATAAATGAATGCAAAGGTTCCTCATCCAGTCCAATGAGGTGGTTGACGCAGTGCGGATTTCAGCGATACCGCCAGGATGTGCATGGATGCAGCATTCATCGATGATGTGCTTGGATGGTTTGGACTTCTCCACAGTCGCAGTTGGACAATTCTTTGATCTTCCATTTATGGAACGTGTACGCGCAACTGCCTTGTTGTGTTCGAGTGCGGTTCAGCGTGCTCCATAGTCATCGTGGAAGAGAGAATCCCGGTACTTCCACCGTCGGATCGTGAACGATGTTTTTGTTTGCCAGTCCATAGCCGCCCATGATTCAGACCACCGAGTGGTGGTGTCTTTATTTTCGGCTGCTAGAACCGAGTGGTGGTGTCTTTATTTTCGGCTGCTAGAACGGAGGCGCATATCCAGAACGGTTTCCTGGATTTTAGCCTTGGGCGTGGGGGTTCCTTTAGATCTTGATGGAGTGGCAGAGTGAAGTTCTTCATTATCTTGTTGTACTCCCGTGTCATCGCACCATCGCGTCGGATGTTGGCCGGAGCGATATTCGCCAGCACAGGAAGCCACGGGAGTGGAGTAAACTTTAGAGAACCACTGATCATACGAAGCGCGTTGCTAATTTCGGCGTCGACAAGGTTCGTGTGAGGGCTTGCACCCCACAACGGGGCACAGCACTCCGCAGTGGAGTGAACAAGGGCCTGCGTCGATATCTTAAACGTGCTGACATCGCTTCCCCAGGTTATTCCTGCAAGTTTTTAAATAATATTCACTCATGCTTTAGTTTTACCTTTAGCTTTTATGAGGTGGTGATGGTAGTTAAGCATCCGATACAGGGTACCTCCTAGATACCGAGGGTGTTTGTCATGCCTTTGCTTCGCCCCGCAGAAGTTAATGTTCAACGTTTTTGATGCTTGTCTGTTGTTCAGGTGGAAGGCGGAGACGACGCTCTTTGATGGGTTAGGCTTTATGCACCAATTCTTGAATTCTTCTTCTAGAGTCTTCAGATCTTTTTCGAGGACTGCCTTAGTGTCCTCCATTTTCCGTGCTTGAGTTGCGAGTGCGATATCACACGCATATGTGAACTTACGGCAAGATGTCACTGGAATGGCGCTAGTATAGAGATTGAACAGCGCTGGGGCCAGAACTGATCCCTGCGGGAGTCCGTTATTCAATCTTCATGGGCTGCTGGCAACTTCACCAAGGTAGACTGTGAACCATCGGTTGCTCAGCATTTCAGTGATTAGTCTAATTGTTGGGCAGCAAGGCATAGCTTTCGCAAACTTTAGCAGGAGTCCCTTCCGCCATACGGTAGCATAAGCTGAAGAGAGGTCGATGAAAGTTGTTGCTGTTTTGAGCTGGCGTTCGAAATCGGTTTCGATGTAACATGTTAAGGCATGCACCTGGTCACAACAATTTCGACCAGTTCTAAATCCTGCTTGCTCCTGGGGGACTATTTCAAGCGTGGGCATCAGCCTTTTGAGCAGAAGCCGTTCCATTAGTTTGTAGCAGACGCTGAGTAGGGAGATAGGGCGGTAATTTTGAGCGTCTAATGCATCCTTGCCTGGTTTCAGAATGGCTATTATCCTTGCCACTTTCCACTCCTTTGGAACGATGCCTGTGGAATGGATGTCAGTGAAGAATGTGGCTAGCCATTCTCACTCTTGGTCTCAAGTTCTTGATGAATTCTGCATTCACCTTGCACTGCACAAGGGAGGCTGCCATCAGTGGGTTCCCTAGGTTATACAAATAAACTATTGCAGGGCATTGGGATGATTGAGATTACCTGTGATGTAAGGCCTTAATGAGATGCTGAAGCCGTTAAGCAAGCGCTACTATATATGCAAATCATAATACTGACCTGGCCAATTCTTCCAGAGGCAGTGGAACAGAGCCCACGGCCTTCAGGTGAGACCGGGCAGTATCGTGCATGTTTAAGTGAGTGCACAGTTCGGCCAAGCTGCATACACATACAGCACACACGCACATAATACTCACAAACAAACATAAAGAGCTCTCACACACCATACACAGTGCACACACAGCACACACACATATTACTCACATACGTATGCACAGCACACACACAGCAGAATGCAAACGTAACTTTATATTACAATCATCGTTTATAAACTAATTATTTCCTCATTCTCATATTTGTCTCTCCACGTAAGAAGCAGAACTAGATTGACGAATTGGCATGTTCTGTTTACGTGACAACCCTTACTAGTTGGCTGTGTCGGGTGGTGGCGGGTTTGAACTGCACATAGATTTACGCGATCTAACCCTAAAAACCTCTATTGAGGAGAAATAGATTACACAACCCATTAGACACATGGCCTTCAGGCAGTGCTTCTTATCTACAGCATTGGATAAACACAAGCAAACTCTACTGTATTGAACCAATTATATGGATAGACCGTGTGGCTAATGAGTAAAACATATTTTTATTCTTCAAGCGACGAGACAAATATGGGAAGGAGGCATTATTTATTTTGTTATTAAGATTCTCCACAACGATTACGCTGAGTGGTTATAATAATTATTGTAATTCACAGTCATGGGGGTCATCATTGTGACGTTTGTTTACCCATGAAAACTTCACCGACTTTCATGACTTTTTTTCAGGAGGGTGTCTTGGCAAGTTGTGTACTGAGCATCAGCACTGGTGAGATGAAGACGGCTGGCAGAGCTGCTGGCCACACCACCCTCTCTCATAGGTGCGCTGCATCGCCAAGTCATAAGTACTGTCCAACAGCACTTGCCCAAACAGTTTATTAAAGGCGTTATTATACTGGATATGTGTGGATATGTGTGTTTGTGCATGGTTTGGGAGTGGTGGCATAGCGGTTAGCGCGCTGCGCTACGAACCAGGCAACGAGAGTTCAATTCCCATTCACGGCCAACACCGGTGACTTTTATTTAAACCGGTCCTGGGCCTCCCCTAGGTCGACTCAGCCTCAAATGAGTACCAAGTGCCGTGTGTAAAGGTCACCACTAGGGAGACAAAGGCAGTTGGGCATGGTGCTGGCCACCCCCCCACTCGTGTGCCGTATCAGCCTTCATAGGTGCTTGCGAACAGCACTTGCTCCTAGAGTATGTTAAGGCTATACGGGGGATTTTTGTCTTTGTGTGTGTGTGTAACCGTAAGCTGTAGAGTTGCCCCAGCCCAGCGTTGCCCCTCTCGCTCGTGCACAAGGCGAGCGCCAGCTGCAGCACGGGCAGAGCCAGCAAGGGGCAACGCAGCTCACAGAGCAGCTGGGCCAGATCGCCGAGAGAATCCACAGTGACATCCTGTACAGAGAAGCATATACAGGCAGTACATACAGCCTGTTCAGTGTGTACCCTACACAGCACAGCTAGCATAAGTAGTGTATCCAGGAAGTACGCTACACAGTATACCGGCAGCACATACAACACAAATACCCCCTATTAAACCCTGAAGGAGGCACATGCTGGGTTCACAATTCCAGTAGCAGATGACTCAATTAATTGTCGTAATTTTAGAAACAATTCGGCTATAGAGAGTGTCGACATGATAAACAACCCCCATATAGCCTTTAATACGCTGTCCGGGGAAGCGCTGTTAGCGAGCATCTACAGAGATATGCAGAGGCTGGCATGGCACACGAGGGGTGTGTGGCCAACACCACGCTTCGTCGCCTTTGTCTCCCCAGTGCTGGTGCATAATAACATGACAAATGATTGGTAAACATGAGGAAATGGGAGACCCTGAGAACTGGAGTGGGGGGATCTCTTTTTGAGCGACAGTGTTACCACAGCATGATGTTTCCTGCTGCTTGATTTCCGACTCGGGCACCTTTCTGTGTAGTTTTGTATGTTTCCACCCCCTGTCCTGCAGTGTGTATGTGTGTTTGTGAGGGAGTGTACGTGTGTGGAGAGTGTGTGTTCCTCTCCTGTTCCACATGGATTTTGTCTTGGTTTTCCAGTTTCCTCCCATTGCGAAAAAAACCCCTATAACGTAACTGATATTGGCCATAGCTTTAAAAATTAAAATAATATAAAAACGGGGTTGGCCAAAGACAACAATGCTGATAAACTACCTGAAAATTACTAAATTGGGATTAGACACAGCAGAAAACTTGGCAAGGCCCTGTTGAAATAAGACAACACCATCGTCAAAACCGCTGACGAATGTTATTGACTAACGTGCCGGGTGTTGAGTTACTTATGCTTGTGCACCATTGCCAGTGCCATATTATAAAATAACTCCTCTTGAAAAGAGTCTTGAGACTCAGTGAGGCGTTTGAGGGTAAACAAACGGGGAAATAAATAACAAATGCATATATATATATATAATTTCTGAGGGACCTCTGCGTAGTTGTAATGTTGTCAGGGTTGTGGGGCAGTGGGGTTGGCACCGGCTCGGGGAAGCTGTCGTCGCTGAGGAGGGCGGTAGCCAGGGCAGCTCGAGTCTCCTCGCTCCACTCGGGCGCTGCCCAGCCGTGGAGGCTCGAGGGCAGTGGGGCAGGGCTGCCCTTGCGACGAGGGGCATCCCCACGTGCTGGGGCAGCAGTCTGTAAGAGCAGCGCACACACGCACCCAACATGAGCGGTGCGGCCACGGGGAGACGGAGCGGATTTACGGGCACAGCACAATGCACATTGTTCACACGGAATGTGTTTGTTTTATCAATCAAGAGGCATGTGCAGTGTGTGTAAGGGTGTAACCTGTATCCAAAAGAGCAACCACTGCCATTAGCACCGGTATTTCCTTAGAATATCTGTACATGTTGTCTCATTGCATATCAAGGCCCTAGACTTTATACAGAAAAACGGCAAATTCTCGTGCGTCAACGATAGCATGGCTTTATTTATTTATTTCACTTATTTACCCATGAAAGCCTCACTGAGTCCCAAGACTCATTTTCAGGAGGGTCCTGCCAAGTTTTCAGCATTGGGACGTTTGACCAATACCAATTACATTGTATATATTTTTTTAGCTTTGAATCACCATCCCCAACACAACATCAAGAGAACATCTTTACATCTTTCCTCACTTTGCTCCGCTTGGCAGACCCCGAGGGAGTCTTCTTGTCCTTGTGACTCTCTTTCCCGCTGTCGTCTCTCTTGTCCTTATGTTTGCCCTTCACACCATCGCTTTTCTCTGTGGGCGCGGTGGCAGCGGTGGGCATCTCCAACAGCAGCTTAGACAGCGAAGGCCGTGGGGGGATAAAGAGATATTCGTTATTTAATAACATTGTTCGTGTGCGTCACAAAAATAACAATATTAAGGACAGGAACCAACAAAGTCAGAATTTGGCCAGATCACTACGTGGCCTAACTCAAATATCAATTACGACTTATTATTGCTGAGGTTTTAGCAATCCACCATTATTGATGAGGGTTAATTCAGAAATTACTCTTCATTGGCGAGGGGTTAGCCGTCAGCAGGTGTGGTCAGCAAGCGAATGTTAAAGCGATGTAACCACAGTGGTCTAAATGTCACGCCGCTGCCACTGCGAGTCGCTGCTCACCTCCCACATGCGCATGACGCATGCGAATGCAGACAGGGGCCCGTGCATCAGGGGGGCAGCATGGCCCCCATGGCACCTCCCCAGCACCGAGCAGCCATCCACCAGCAGCTGCGCCAGCGAGTCGAGATCTTGCACGCGGGCTTCCTCCGGCCAGGCACGTGCCCAGCTACTCACATTGCCTGCACACAAATACACAGATCCCCCATATAGCATTTAACCGAATCGCAATGAGTTAGCTCCTATTCAGGCTGGCATGGCATATGAGGGAGTGATGTTCCCAGAACCATGCCCGGTCGTCTTTCTCTTTCCAATGCTGATGGTGACACCCCGCACCAGGCTTTTCATTTAAGGCTGAGTCTCCCTAAGGGAGACCAAGTACCGGTTCATATATTCGTCACTGATCTTGGCCATGAGCGGGAATCCATCTGAGGCTGTCAGGTTCGTAGTGCAGCATGCTAACCAATGCGTCACCGCGCTTCAACAACAACAACAACAGCCGCCATTCGCTACTAAGTGGCAGTGACGTCACCATGGCACTTGTGCCAGGCTTGGTACACTCCGAGGCCACGTGAAGTATCAAAGGCTCGCTGACAAGAGGTCACAGGACAGACCCAGGTGCCATGGGCTACCTGAGATGACTGGCACACACCAGGGTAATAGGAGACAGGAACACTCTGTGCGTATGTCTGCGTATGTCGGGGGCGGTGGCGCAGTGGTTAACATGCTGCACTACGAACCTGGCGACGTGAGTTCGAGTCTCACTCACGGCCAATATCTGTAGCAAATATCTGAACTGGTCCTGGGCCTCTCCTAGGTCGACTCAGTCTCAAATGAGTGCCTAGTGCAATGTGTAAACATGGCCACTAGGGAGACAAAGGCGGCTGGGTGTGGTGTTGACCAGTCACCCCCTCATGCGCCGTGCCGACGTTCATAGGTGCTCGCTAACAGCACTTGACCCAAAAGTCTGTTAAGGCTATACGTAGAATCTTTGTATTTGTGTGTGTGAATTGTAACACCCTGTGTGTGTGTGAATGACGCCGTGCATGTGATACCATGTGTGTGCACATGTGTGGCAGCTTCATCCGTGCCCGTGTCTGGTCGCCCACACGTGTCTCCTCGACGCGTCGTGATGAGATTATTTCCAGCGTGAGTGAGCAGCGTCACTGCGTCCTGGCATGAGGAGCCCTGAGCCAGCGCCCAACGCGATAGTTCCCTCAGCACCAGCACCCGCATATGCACACACTCGGGAGCCTGGGTCCACAGGGTAAGAGACACAAAGAGAGGGAGCCAGAGAGAAAAATAAAAAGGAATAGTGAGACAGAAGGGTGAGAGAGAGATTGGGAGAGACAGAGTACAAAAGAAAGAGATGGAGACAGGTAAAGACAGATAGAGACAGGGAGAGAGAGAGACAGAGAGAGACAGACAGGGAGAGAGAGATAGAGACAAAGAGATAGAGACAGTGCGAGACAGAGAGAGAGACAACAACAATGCCATTTGACACTTAGTGTTGGTGACGTCAGAATGGCACCTGTGCCAGGCTAGGCGCACTTTGAGGCCACGTGAAGTGTAGAAGGCTCACTGGCAGGAGGTAAACAGGACAGACCGAGGTGTTATGATTGACTGACTGAGATGACTGGCAGATGCACCACCTGTGCTCCCGACGATGCCACCTCAGTATTTTATCCGCCTGGAACTCTACTCGTTATTGTGAACGTCGGTCCTCCGCCTTCCATTATTGCTCGAAGTTGACTGTCTCCAATTGCTAAGTAGCTTCAAAGTTCACCTTGCTTGGTACTGCTCAGTAGCGTTTTTCATGAGCCTCCTGCACAGAGGCTAATCTTGTCACCGCTGGTACCAGTCATTGTCCAATCATTACATCAGTCCATCTCTAGCCCATGACGCACCTGTTTAGCCCCCGTTATCATCTGTGCTCCCCACATGCACAACTATTGCACCTACTGAATACCCACACATGCACATTAACTGCACACACAGCACGCACAAAAGAAAATGATCCCCCATATAGTTTTCACAGACTATTTGGGAAAGTGCTGTTAGCGAGCACCCACGAAGGCCAACACGGCACATGAGGGGGTGAGTGGGCAGAACCATGCCCGGCCACCTTTTTTCTCCCTGATACTTATGTTTACAGACTGCACTAGCTACTCAATTAACGCTTAGTCGATCTAGGGGAGGTCCAGGACTGGTTAAGATATTCGTCACAAATGTTGGTCATGAGTGGGAATCGAACTCGGGTTACTGGGATTGAACACACAGACACACACCGAATAGTGAACACACACCATCACTGAACAGACTGCACACACAACGAACACACGTTGAACAAACACAAGCACTGTGTACACTGCGCACGCTTCCACACAGTGGCACCTGCAGGGCGAGGAGGGCATGGCGGTAGCACAGAAGCTGCTGCGCAGGGTGCGGATGAGCGAGCGCCAGCGACAGCCACGCACGGGCGCATGCCCGCTCACCGCCCTCGCGGAAACGCGCAGACTCCAGCTCCAGAGCCTGTCCAAGTCGCGTCTTCAGCCACACGCGGCGGCGGTAGAGAGGCCTGGGAGGACAGGGTGATTCGTTTACCCCACTTGGTTCTATTGAGCCTGGTCTGTCTGTGTGTTGCATTGGGTGATCCGTATATGGATACCCCACTGGATTCTATTGAACATGGTCCTTCTGTGTGTGTTTGTGGAAAAGCCACTGATCTCACAGGCGGTGGTTTCCGCGCGGCGTGGAGGACAGCGCGTGGTTGACGGTCGCCATGGCAGCGCCGAGATCTCCCGTGTCCTCGTGAATCTGACTCATCAGCAGTGCGAGCCGCGTCCATGCTGCCAGTGCCTCCTCTCCCCAAGCAGCACCTCCTGATCCAATCACACGCACCCAAGAAAATAAAGCAAACCCGTGATATTATGGGTAAGCAGTTCACTTTATCGCGAAAATGAATAAAAGAGCCAGTACGGTGGTAAAGTGCTAACACTTGTGCCTCCTAGCAAGAAGTTCCTGGGTTCGATTCCCAACTCTGGCACCTTTATGTGTGGGGTTTGACTGGAGTTTGGGAAATGGCCAAGTAATGAGATGCACAAGAGCAATGCATCGTCAAAGCAGCACCTCACCTGGCATTCTCTCCTCCTCTTTCTCCTCACACTGGGACGTTTCTGATGGCTTCACGTCACACTGCCAGGCACGACACATCACCATAATCACCACTAACAATGTCATATTTTCATTACCATCGCCATCACCAAACAATTTTAAAACATCATCAGTAATTTCCTAAACATCATCACCAACACATATATTTGTCATGTATCATCACCAGCAACGTCATATGTTCATTACCATTATCATTAACAAATGTGTAAGGACAGTACGGGGCCTTGTGGCCGTAAATAATAATTGAGGAGACAGGGACAGACAGGGCCAAATGAGGTGAGAGAGAGTTCGGGAAAAGGGGCGTGGCCGAGTCGGAGAGGGGGATAAAAGGCGGCGTGGAGCAGGGCTCTGGGCTGCTGCTATGGGGGTTCGAAGAGACTGTCATCGCCGTCATCATCTTGGAGTGGGTCGTCTTCATCATCTTGGAACGGGGCACCTTATAGTCTTGGAAGGCAAGGGAAGGTTTATATATATTGTCTCCGTGGCTGCTACGCCATCGCTCCTATCTAGTCAGCCAACTACATCGGGAACGTCGTGTAGCAGTTATATAAGTTACCCAGCTGTACATAGTCACTTGCGGTTATCCATTATATCAGTGAGTCAGGCAGACCTTAATAGATTATAGATATATAATTTAACAAGACAGTGTCTCTGAGTGCTACATTACAAATGTATTAACATTATCATCACCAACACTTTCATAAACAATACTCATCATCATTAGTGATGGTGGTTTATATCCACGGCTGTACAAAGAACAGCTCGGAATCTGAAGGTTGTGAGTTCAAATCCTGGTTAGGGGAGAGGGTTAACTTGGTCATCATTCCTCCCTCTGGGGTTGACTAAATGAGTACAACTTCTTGACTTAAAGCTTTCGTGACTGAAGGAATTCATATTCTTTGGGTCTTTCGGTAAAGCCAAGTAGATAGAAAAAAAAATATCACGACGCTTCGATCGCAACACAAGCAATCGTCATCAGGTGAAAAAATGTAAAGCGGGAGCGCTGCTGAGGCAGGGTGTTATAAAGGTTTGAGATGGGCGTAGCCCAAGGGTCATAATCGAAGTTGGCAGGGCTAGAGATGAAATTTGCATGTCAATGTAAGATCGGAGAGCTGAGCTCCTCCACAATGACAAAACTCCCGCTATAAAAAACATTTTTCCCCTGTCTCAGCAGCTCTCCTGCTATTTTTTCACCCGACGACGATTGCTTGTGTTGTGATCGAAACGTCGTGATTTTTATTATTGTTTATTATTATTTTTCTATCTACGTGGCTTTACCGAAAGACCCAAAGAATATGAGTACAACTTCGTGGTGAAGTCAACAGTGGTTGTCGTATGGATACTTTCCTCTGCCATAGGAATGGGGATTTTCCACCGCTGGCTCAGGGTTGTAAACAGTAGATAAGCATCAATGCCTCAATGCTCATTTGAGCAGGAAATAACTTTGAAAATCAGCATCTACTGTATAAGACATTTCTTTTGTCCATTGCAGCATCAATTCAGGGCTCATTCTGGCTGAAAGGGACTGGTGACATGTGGTATTGATGATGGCTAGTGTAAAACCTGTGACTGAAGTCAAATGTTATTTACCCTTGAAATATCAAGAGTAGCAAATTAATAATAATTTAGTACTTTGGTATTTGCGCCATTCTTGATTTATGAAGGACCGCCGTCTCGCATTCACATGCATTGCGGCTCTTGAAATATTGAGGTGTTTTACCGAATTCGAAAATAGGGCTGTTCTTGTTATTTTGGTTGCCGACCCTTGTTCTTGCACAAGGCTATATCACACAGGAAGGTGATATGTTTCACAGACACAGTCTGCAGCAGTTTTGCAGTTTGGGGAAATATTGCTATGTGTAATCCCGATTGAGGATTATGTAGCGTAATATTGTAAATTGAGCAAATTTGGACCATCATGCCTGCACACTATGACCTGCTCTTTTCGAATGACCTCAAGGGATCTTTAGTGTCCACTGTGAAACAGACGGCATGTAGTATTTTATGGTTAATATACCTGCAGTCTTAACTAGGGTGGCCTCCAGAATTGGAACCGCGAACCACTGCAACAAGCGGCAAACGTGTGCGACCACGGGGCCATGATGTTACAGCTCAAAGATGTTAGACTGATGGAAAATTATGTTAAAACCAAAAAGCGTTTTGGGGAACATAGCATTCGACAAAGGGAGGCCTTTATCCAGCAGCAATCAGAGCCTGGCTGATGTTGATGCAACACCTTCTGACGGAGCCGTTGGGAGCCACAGGAGTTGCTGACGATGGTGAGGAGGGCGATGAGAGGAGCACGGAGTGGCGCTCGGCCCAAAGGGCACGGGGCCACCGAAGCACAGACATTCCACATGTGCCGCACAGCCTGCAGCACCAGCGTCACGCTGCCCGCTCGTTCCCCAAACCTACAAAGACAAAGATTCTCCTATGTAACCTACATATGCTATTCGGGCGAGTGCTGTTAGTGAGCACCTATGAAGGCCGCAACACTACACACACACAGAGACACACGCACAGATAAACACGCACAGACTTCCACATGGATAGCTACATACAAAGACCCCCCGTATAGCCTTAACATACTTTTTGGGGCAAGTGTTGTTAGCAAGCACCTACTATGTCTGGCACATCACAAAAGAGCGTGGTGTGGCTAGGACTACCTCATTAGAGAACAGCCCACAGAAGCGGATATCATAGACCTACCTGAGATCTTTTCAAGTGACCTATGCTTCATATACAGCAGACGACAGCACTTTCCCACTCACTCTGCCACTGAGAGTAATGTTCATTGTATTATTGTGTTATTGGATTATTATATTATTAGACACAGGTGGACCAGGTTCAAACCTCACTCATATCTTTTTCAGGAGGGTTCTGCCAAGTTTTCGCAGAAGGGGGCGATGGTGCAATGTGTAATGACAATTGAGTAATTTGCATGAAATTCTTTAGCATTGGAATAATCTTCCAATTCCAATAACATTGTTTTTTTAGCTATGAGAGGAAACCAGAGAGCCTGGAAGAAGCCCATTCAGAACAGGCAGAAGATACAAACTTCGCACACTCACACACTCCCACATGCACTCAGACCTACTCACACTCACCAATTCACTCAAAACTCACAAACACCCTAAAGCTGATATTTTAAATCCAAAACCATATTTAAAAAGTTTGATTTTCTTGTGCCATTGTTGTTGACTGGGCTGAAACCATCAACAAACTACAATTGCGAACCTGGCTTTATTACAAGTCAGTCTACGTGAGTGTCTGGGTCAATGTGTAAGTCACTGGTGCTCGGACTGAGACCACCAAAACTCACTAGACTTCAGACCCCGGTTAAATCACAGGCTCTGTGACCGTACCGGGCGGACTGCAGGAAGGCGTCGGTGGCGAGTGTGAGCGCAAGACTCCCATGGCCGTGCCGGCGTGCCACCGCCTGACCCTGCACAGCTGCCGCGACACTCAGCAAGCGCCACTTCTCCTGCTGCCTGTCCCTGTAGCTCAGTGACACACGTAACGTGACACACACAGCGCATTGACGCTCATGTAGCACAGTGACATACTCACACACAGCAAGTGTGTGTGTGACATACAGAACAGGGGGAGATTATATGAACTCACACACACTCACACGTTTACACACTCTACAGAAAAGTGAGAGAACATACAAACTCCACACAAAGGCACCCAAGAAGAGAATCAATCCCAAGCCCTTCTCACTTTGAGGCACAGGTGTTTACACATTGCACCAGGTACTCATTTGAGACTGAGTCGACCTGGGGGAGGCCCAGGACTGTTTCAGATAATCGTCACTTGTGTTGGGCGTGAGTGGGAATCAAACGCCGGTCGCCCGGTTCGTAGTGCAGTGCGCTAACCGTAGCACTAAGTACAGTATTCAGTGATTATTTATCTTACTAATTGTTGTCTAGGAATGTGTTTTAATAGGGTTTTTACATGTTTATTTCAGTTATTTCGTTTTTAGTTGATTTGGTCAAGTAGAAGAGTTCCGCACAGGTTCTGGGTTTCGTGTAGGTAGCAAATTTCCACACGGGCTCTGTATTTGAGCATAGGTAGCAGAGTTCAGCACGGGTTCTGGGTTTGGTGTTGTCTTGGTGTGGTCTGGGATACCGTAGTTGTTTTACACCTTTGCGAAGCTTGGGAATTGATGATGCAATGAGAATTGGTCAAATGTATTTATTTATTTAAGGGGCGCCACGGTGGTGAGATGTTATCTCCCTCACCTGGTATGCAGGAGGTCGGGGGTCCGATCCCGACCCAGATGCCCGTATATTTAGAGTTTGAATGTTCTCCCCGTGGTCGCGTGCATTTTTTCCCCGGGTCCTCCAGTTTTTCCCTCCACATTTATAAACATGCATTTAGACTATTTATATTACTTTTCTACTATACATGTGTAGTGGACTCAAATGGACACTCAGACGTACTGGTTAGAGGCAACACATTTATTAAAACCAACGCGCTAACACAAAGGGGTAACTGCCCCTTTACCAGATGTTAACCTAGGGTGGTAGTCCACCGGGCTAACTACACTAGCTGAACGGGGAGTAGCTACAACGGACGAGACCCCAGCTTGGGTCCTGGTCCCGGGTTGGTCTTGTCATGAGGCAGCATGTAGAGTCTTTAGGATCACAACAAGAGCTGGTCCCACTGGGAGACTGGCTTTTATCCCCCGTGGTGGGGCTCACTCCGCTCCTCACCACGACCCCCTTCTCGAACCATCGAGGAGGATCTCTCCTGGACACGTGGTCCCCCCAGCCCCCTGTTTGGGGGTCCTCGGATAGACACCCCCGGTTACGTGTCCTCCGGGGTCAACCAGAGTGCCATGGCCCCGTGGAACCCCGTTCCCGAAGCCGGCATCCACCCCAGCACCCTATCCTCTAGGGCTGGCATTGCACCCAGTGCAGGGTGCCACTGGTTGCTGTCAGTCGGTGCTGACAGTACAATGTGTGGCGTGCCTTTGCCAGGCTGGCCACACACACAGCGACATCCAGCGATGGCGCTACACATGTCAAAATGATACGCCATTTTGTTGAGCTATCATTTGTCACCAGGTCGCTTTTGAAAAATAAGCTAATACGTCAGTGGGCTTTGTCTGGTAGGATGGGGATGATTTAGTTTCATTTGTATGTGTTTGGGTGATTTGTTTACTTTTCTTGTACTTTGCACTACAATGATGTTGTTGTTTGTTGATGTAACATTCTTACCCGCCCCAAATGGACATGTGAAAAAGAGCTTTGTAGCTCATCGGATTCCTCCAGTATAAATAAATATTCGGATTCTGATTATCTCTGTGCCACCCTGTCGATCGGTCGCTTGCCTGTGTGGCCTTACCCCTTAAGAAGTCGGCACCGTTGCCCTGTGACGTTGGCCCCTTGGAGCCGCAGGGCATTATGGGAGCTCTGCAGGGCCAGGGCCTCGTGCTGATTAGTCAGAGCCAGGGTAGCGATGCGAGTCCACAACTGCAGCTCTACCAGAGGCTGCGTCCACTCACAGGAGGCGGCCTGATCGCTCACCTGCATCAGAAATACAAAGATCCCCCATATAGCCTTTCAAAGACTGTTGGCACTGGGGTAGGTAGCCAGCAGCATGCTCGGCCACATGTGTCTCCATTGCTGATGTTTACACACCGAACTAGACTCATTTAAGGCTGAGTCAATCTAGGGGAGGCCCAGTATCAGGTCAGATATAATAAGAATAACGATCTTTGCATGTACAGGCAGTCCCCGGGTTACGGAAGGTTTAGGTTCCTAAGAACGATCCGTCACCTGATATTTCCGTATGTTCGAAAATGAACCATTTTTTCCCAAAATGAAGATAAAATCCCATAGCTGGAATAGTTTTACCTCTCCTACCCGATTACTAGTTCGTTTTCTCTCAGTACTGTATCTCTCAGTACTGTATCAGTACTGTATCACGCCGTCATCCATTCTCTATCGCAACCTGTATCATATCACTGTACATACGCTCTGCACTTCCTACGATTCTTTAATTTCATTGAATATATACCCTAACACTACCCATAATTCAAATAATGGAATATATACTGTATCCAATTGCTTATGCACTGCACAAGTGATTGGCGTATCCTGCTTCTCTCTTCTGATGTTTGCGTTGTTGAAAAATATACATAAAATATGCAGAGGCTGCAGGTGCAGAGAAGGCCATGACATTGTCACCTCAGTGAGGGAGGGGCAGGGTGGGGGGGCGAGTCCACACGGGCTGAGGCTGTGGGCCTCCACAGCAACCAGAACGCGCATCACTGCACTACCACCCTGCACACACATCAACACACATGCATTAATACAAAATCCAACAGGTGCTTGGCAAAAAAGTGGCGGTGACCTCATCACTAAAATATTGCCAGGCTATTTGTGCTTGATGTGAATTGTGACAGGTTTGCCGGCAGGAAATTACGGGATGGACCCAGGTGTTATGATTGAACTGAGATGACTGGCATATGCACCACCTGTGCTCCTCACTGTGCCAAGCTGTTGTGTTCTAGCCGCCTGGCTCTCCGCTCATTGTTGTGACGTTGCTCCTCCACCCTCTGTTGTTGTTGGAAGGCGACTGCCTCCAACTGCCCAGTAGCCTCAAAGTTCACATAGCCTGGCACTTCACAGTAGTGTCCTGTGCGTGCGCGGACTGGCTACCTGTGTGGGAGGGAGCACAGGCGGCTGCTGAAGTCCCAGTTTGATTCTGGCCCAGGCTGACAGCAGTTGCCGAGAGGCCGAGCCCTCCGGAGACACACTCGTCATCTGCAGCCCAAACTCACACACCTGCACACATAGACAAAAATACTCCGTTTAGCCTAAACAGTTGGGGGAAGTACTGTTAGTGAGCAACTATGAAAGGTCGGTACGATCCACGAGGGGGTGACGATTTGAAGGGTAAGTTGACCTAAGGGAGACCCAGGGCTGATTACAATATACATCGCTGATGTTAGTTGTGACTGGGAGTTTAATCTGAGTTACTGGATTTGTACCGCATTGTGCTAACCACTACACCTCCACTCCATAAACACCCTGCCTTCAGAAGGCATACCAAAGTAGATCGGCACATTCACACCACTGATTATACCTCCAGGGCTTTCTTCAGCTGAATGCAGGCCTCAGGGCTGATTGCAGGGGCCCCTCCCTGTTGCTTGTTGCCCCCCTTCTGCTGCTTCCTGGTTGCTGCGGAGGACACGGGGGGCACGGGGGGCATCGGGGGTGCTGGGGGCAGCCAGGTGGAGCACATCCCTCGTGCCACAGCGGCACAGAGCAGCCCCAACAGCTCAGGGTCACTGAGTGAGGTGAGGGGTAAGTGGGCACGACACACAGGGAGGGGAGCAACATGTGGATGAGAAATGTATGAATACTTGGTGGCAGGAGTGGTATTGGAGTCAATAATGATGTTGGTGCTAACAGTGTTGACGATGGCGGTGGTCGTAGCGATGTTGTCTGCACCTGTGTGTCTCTGTATGTGGATCTGGGTATCTTTGTCTTTATGTATGTGTATCTGTGTGTGGAGAACGATAGTGTTGCGGTTAGCGCACTTTGCTACAAACCTGGCAACCTGAGTTTGATTCTCGTTCACAGCCAACATTAGTGGCAAATATATGAACCGGTCCTGGGCCTCCTCTAAGTCAACACAGTCTTGTATGAGTATCTGGTGAATTGTCCATCAGTGGAAAGACAAAGGTGGCCGAGCGTGGTGTCGGCCACCCACCACCTCGTTTGCCGTGCTGGCTTTCATACGCCCTCACTCACAGCACTTGCCCCAACAGTTTGTTAAGGCTATAGTGGGAATTTTTGTCTTTGCATATATGTGTGTGTCTTTGTGCTGCCTGCACCTGTGTGTGCGCGTCTCTCTGAGCACGTTCAGGCCAGTGGTGAGCTTGTCCAGGACATCACACTCTCTCCCGGTCGCCACCAGCGGAGCCACGTGGTTCCAGAGCCGCACAACTGCTCCCATCACCACAGCAACGTCGCCCAGCTCTGCGCCCAACTCCGCCCCCCGCAGCAGGCAGCCAATCACGCGCTCTGACAGCTCATGCAGCCAGTCGCTGGGCAGCCAAGGCACACAACATGCATTTATTAATTCATCTCCTGTCTGTCTCTCATTCTCTGTCTCTCTGTCTCTCCGTGTTTCTGTCCCTCTATATCGCTTTGTTTCCCATTGTCTCTCTGTCCTTCGGTATCTCTCTTGTTTCCATGAGTCTCTCTGTCCTCAGTATCTCTCTGTCTCCCTGTGACTCTGTTTCCCGGTTGCTTGACATGAGATGTCACGTATGGTACTTTGAGTTGCTACGGCATTAAAGCAAGCGCCATATGAATGCAATTATTATTATGAACATCGGTATGGTTGGCAATTGTGGCACTTACGTGTACGTCTTCCAGTCGGTCAGCTGGTCTGGTGGGAGGCCCTCGTGCCCTGGAGGGGGCCCTGGGACCACGTACTGGGCAGGTAGAGGAGGAACCTCATACAACCCCACTCCTTCTCTCCTCAGTAACTCAGCCATGGCCTGGGGAGACACAGGGCGATGTGCACCTTTATCCCTGCATTGACACACTTTAATTATTATGCTTGTTTACCCAGGCAAAACTCACTGAGTCTCAAAGCTTTTTTTATAGAGGGTCCTACAAAATGTTACAGAAGGGGGGCAATATTGCTATTATGTGTGATCCCTATTGAGTAATTTGCAAGACATTTTGCAGCATTAGGATGTTTGACCAATACCAGTTATACTGTGTAGTGTGTTTAGCGATGGGAGGAAACTAGAGAACTCTGAGAAGCAAGGGGAGACCATACAAACTCCATACAAAAAGATGCCCAAGTCAGGAATCGAACCCAGGGACTTCCTGCTATAAGGCACAAGCGTTACCACCATGCCACACGCACGCAGTCACACAAACATGTGCACACATCCACAAACGAGCACCTTATGACCTGAATGTTTCTGTGTCTGAGCCTCACCTCTGCACAGATGAAGTTGATGTTGGCTAGTGAGGTGAGCACCTCGCGATCGGACTGAGCGGATAGCACAGGCTGCTGCTGCCCCGACGCCACCTCCGCCACTTGCTGTTGCTGCTGGGGCTGAGGGTCTAAGCGGAGCTGTTGCTCCTGCTGCTGCGATTGTGGTGCTTGCTGCTGCTTGGACTGTGGTTGTGGTTTTGATTGGGGTCCATTGCTTTCTTCCTCTGTGCGTGAGTGCGCACACACATACAAATGCATGCACACACACGTGTATACACAAACCACACACGTACACACAAGCATAAACACAAACCACACATGCACAGATGCATCCAATGAGAGAACAAACACATGAGCGAGTGAAGAGTGACTGAAGGAGTGAATGAATGGCTGAATGAGTAAGTAAATGAGTGAATTATTAGGGAGCACATGGACAAGTGAATGACTAAGCCAATGAACGAGTGAATGAGTGACTGAACGAAAAAGTAAATGAATACATGAGAGATGCAAAAACTGAATTAGTGGATTAATGAGTGAGTGAAATTGACTAAGGAATAAATGAGTGAATGAATGAATGAGTCACCAGGCAGCTGGGCACGCCACCGCCCGTCGTCATAGAGGAGGCAGAAGCGCGTGGCGACGCGGTTCACGTCCCACACGTTGTGACGCACACACAGCGCGGCCAGCTCTGCCCACAGGTGAACACTACATACAGGGACATGCACAGAGACACACGCACAGACTTACAAAGATCCACCGTATAGCCTGTACAGACTTTTGGAGCAAGTGCTGTGAGGGAGCACCTATGAAGGGCGGAACGGCACACGAGGGGGTGGATGGCCAGCACCACGCGCGGCCGCCTTTTGTCTCCGTAGTGGCGATGTTTACACACCTCACCAGGTACTCATTTGAGGCTGAGTCAACCTAGAGGAGGCCCAGGACTGGTTCAGATATTTGCCACTGTTTTTTGGTCGTGAGCGAGAATCTAACTTGGCTCACCTGGTTCATAGCTTAGTGTGCTGACCACTGCTACCGCTGACACACACAGAGATACACACACAAAAAGACATACACACAGAGAGATACACAGAGATACAGAGACACACATAGTGATGCAGAAGCACATACACAGGTACAGAGAGAGATACACACGCAGATATACAGAGACACTCAGATACAGATGCATGCAGAGAGATACTGGAGGACTATTGCCCACTAGCAAGCCAGTGGTTGAGTCACCTTGTGCAACACAGGAACAGCTGCCACCGAAGGTGCCCTAAAAATGGTTGCGATGAGCTGTGAGGTAACACGCTTTGAGATGCCAAGGCATTTAAGTGAGGGTCTTATACATGCAAAGATATATTGTATTCACGTTGTACCATTCAATTTAAGATATGATACTGCACTCATAATGTAACAAGATGTCTTGATTTTTTTCCTTACCTCGTGGCAGAGGTTCACGGTTCGAATCCAGCAGCTGCCCTGGATAATACTGTGGGTGCATTAACCGCAAAAATACGTGCCGTTTGCTTCACAGAGGACGTTCAAGATCCCATGACGTCAAGAGTAGGCCATTGTGTACTGGTGTTATAGTCCAAATTTGCCAAATTAGAAAATTTTACTTGGCAGGACCCTCCTGTAAAAGTCACAAGGCTCAGCAAGGCTTCCAGTATAAACAGATGTCATAATAATACATGATACCCTCTGCCATATGTATGTTTAACTTCTTTCGCACCATACGTAGCCAACCATGCTAATCGGAGGTGCGGGACACTAATCGGATGAACAGGCTTCTGTCAGTCCACTGCTGGATGAAGCCCCTTTCCCCCTCACTACACTCTATGGATCGTGGGAATTTATTGACCATACATCACCAGACTGGTCACTGAAGGGTTGCTAAATTGGGGGCCAATGATGGGTTCAGACATCACTCGCTGCTGATGGCAGCCATTGCCGGGATTTGAACTCAGGTCTCTGGGTGCTTAGGGCTGCACGCACTGCCGTTAATGTATAGCTGCGGGGGAAGTCCACCATTATTTGTCACGTGCCTCTCCTCCGTTTGGGGAACTCCACCGGAATGTGTTCGATCCCCTACGTCCTCGAAAGCACGGCAGGATTGGGTAACCTCCAAGATCTGCCCTGACAGTATCCCACCATCCGGCTGAAGGTCTTCTCTTCCCCTTGGTTGCCAGACTTGTGGACACCATTCCAATGCCTGTGTCGGGAACTGGCCCTCCCCTGTCCTGCCTCGTTGTAGCTACGACACTTCCCTGCCATGTTCTTTTACCAAAAGCCAAGTTGCTTACCCTATTCTCCTCCATCCTGCTCTTATTTTCGAGCTGTTTAGTTAGCACAGCTAACCCCTTCCCCCCCCCCCCCCGAATTAATGTCTCTGTGTTTCTGTGTCTTTGTGTCCTCTCACCGGTCCCTCTCACGATCAGAGCCGATGGTGAGCAAGTGACTCGCTGCCCTGATAGATGCCTGAGCATGCAGGCGTGCCCGCTCAGCCAACGGTCCATCACTGCACTCCGCTGCATACAAAGACAAAGATCCCCCATATAGACTTTGGGGCAAGTGTTGTGAACGAACACCTGTGAAGGCCAGCACGAGAGGGTAGTGTGACCAGCACCATGCATGTGCGCCTCTGTCTTCTCAATGCTGATATTTAGGCACAAGAGGTACTGTACTCATTTAAGGCTAAGTCGACCTCGGAGAGGCCCAGGACCAGTTCAAATATTTGTCACCGGGTCGGTGGTTTCATAGCGAAGTGCATTAACCATTACTCTGCCAATCCACCCACACAAAGACAAAGACGCCCCGTATAGCCTTTAATAGCCTGTTGGGGCAAGTGCTGTTAGCGAGCACCTATGAAGGCCGGAACGGTACAGGAGGGGGTAGGTGGCCAGCACCACGCCCGACCATCTTTGTCCCCCCAGTGGCGATGTTTGCACACCGCACCAGGTCTGCCTTTGAGGCTGAGTCGATCTAGGGAAGGTCCAGGACCAGTTCAGATAATCGTCACTGGTGTTGGCCGTGTGCAGGAATCGAACACGGGTCGCTGGGTTCGTAGCGCAGCGCACTAACCGCTACACTACCGCTCCCCACACACACTCACACACATACACACACGTACCTCTGTGAGGATTCTCGGCCTCCAGCACTTGCATGAAAGTGTCAGGAGCCAGAGCCCTCCCTGCCTTGATGAGCAGAGCACGAGCGCCGCTGGGCAGGGCAGTGATCCCCGCCATCTGCACGTCACACACAGCATAGCACCGCCCATAGCCTCACATCTGCTCTCATCTTCCCATTCTTTGTGGCCCATTGACTTTTGATCATTCTTGTTATATGTATACATGTATGTTGAACGTCTTTCGCACAGTACGTAGTCAACTGCACTAATCAGAGGTGCGTGCAAAGGACAAAAAATAAACACAAAAAGCAGTTCTAAAGCAATGAGTAAAAAATATGGAACACTGGTGGTGGCATGGCCCAATGGTAAAAATGCATTCACCGCCTTTATCAGTGGGTTCGTGGTTCGAATTTGGCAGGCCGCCCTGGTTATTACTGCGGGTGTATTAACCGCAAAATACTACCCACCGTCTGCTTCACAGTGGACTTCAGAGATCCCATGATGTAATCCGAAATGAGGAGGGTATTGTGTGCCGGTGTTATGGTCCAAATTTGACAAATTCAAAAATTACCAATTCCAAATTGAATTACACTTATCAATAATCATCCCCTAACTTAAAAAAAAAACTGATGGGACCCTCCTAAAAGAGATTTGAAAGATTCATGGTCAATAAACCCCCATGATAGCATGTCGTGGGGAGGCTTTTATTTATAAGTGTATTAGTAAAGAGCTGCAAATTATAAATCTATATATATAAGGGAAATTTGCGAATGTGTCTGTTCGAAATGTTTAGCATACTTACCGACATGCAACAAACTTGAAATTTGGCATGTGGGTAGTTTCCAGACTGTACACCATGCAAACATTATAAAAATAGACTTTTGTGTTTATTTTGGGGGGAGGGAGGGGCGCAATAATGGATATATTTGGTACGGCAAGTGAGCTGTGACGTCACATCTGTGATGTCATCCGCATGCGGAAGCGTCACGCATGCTGTCACTTATCCCCCCCCCAACCCTCCGCGAGTAAAGTGCCATACAAATGTGTTGCAGGTCTAAGGTGTTCTTCGCGCAGCATTGGTATATTATTTGAGTCGTTTACTTCCGTACGCACCCTGAAAGTTGTGTGTGTCTGCAGCAAGCGCGTGTATGTGTACCTATGGATGCGCGCGCGTGTGTGTGTGTGGGGGGAGCAGTAGCGTAGTGGTTAGCGCGCTGCGCTACGAACCCGGCGACCCGAGTTTCATTCCTGCTCACGGCCACCACCGGTGATGATTATTTGAACCGGTACTGGGCCTCCCCTAGGTCGACTCAACCTCAAACGAGTAACTGGTGTGGTGTGTGAACATCGCCACTGGGGAGACAAAGGCGGCCGGGTGTGGATAATCCAAGTCCCGGGCGAAGCCGGGTAGTAAAGCGAGTATTATAGAAACAGGACCCAGCCAGGTGGCTCAGCAGTTGAGTGAGCGGTTCACAATTAGAAGGTTGTGAGTTCAAATCTTGGTTGTGGGGGGGGAGACTCAATCACTCATCCCTCAGGGGTTGATAAAAGAAGTACCATATTGTTGGGGAAGCCAACGGTGGTTGTCCTATGGATATACTCGATCCTGCCATAGGAATGTGGACTTTCTGCCACTGGCTGTAAGCAGGAGATGAGCACTAGCTCAGTACTCATTTGAGCAGGAAACCAGTTTGACTTTTGACTTGTATGCCACGTGTTTGCTTTGTGTGTTGTGTGCTGTGCATGTTCGCTGTTGTACAATGTGCATTGCTGTAAGTTGCAATAGATTGTGTGAGGCCCACTCACTCTAACACACACTCTCTCTCACACTAACTCCCTCTATCACACTCCCACACACACCTGGTAGATTATAGTGGCCGCCTCCTCAATGGAGGAAGATGGGAGGGAGTTTGTCGCACAGCGGTGGCGCTGCAGGGCAGCACGGGCATGGTCTCTGTGGCCGGCGCTCGGAGCCAGACGTTCCGCCTCCAGCAGGTGGCGCTCTGCGGAGCCAGAGCCACGCACTACTTGGTCCTGCTCCATCTCTGCCAGCGCCCAGTGTAGCTGCCAGCGCAGGTCGTGCAGGGGGCTGACAAAGACAAAGATCCCCCACATAGACTTTAACAGGCTGTTGGGCAAGTGCTGTTCGTGAGCATCTATATGAAGCCCAGCAAAGCACACGACGGGATGGTGTGGATTGCACTATGCCCGGCCCCCTTTGTCTCACCAGGTAGTCATTTAAGGCTGAGCTGGCAGAGGGGACGCCCAGGACCGGTTCAGATATTCGTCATTGAATGTTGGCCTTGAGCAGGAATTGAACTCGGGTGGCGATGGTTCGTAGCCCAATGTGTTAACCGCTCTGCCACCACTCCCCATATGCAAAGACAAAAGATCCCCCGCATAACCTTAACATACTTTTGGGGCAAATGCTATTAGCGAGTACCTATGAAGGCTGGCATGGTACACAAGGGGGTTGGTGGCCAGGACCATGCCCAACTGCCTTTGTCTTCCCAGTAGTGATGTGTCCACACCACATCAGGTGATCATTTGAGGCTGAGTTAACTTCAGGGAAAACGAGGACCAGTTCAGATGTTGGTCACCAATGTTGGCTCGCACTAGCATTGCCAGAATTGCAATTGAACTCAGGTTGTTGGGTTTGTAGGTGCAGTCCGCTAACCAGTGCACCACCCTTCCCCACATAAGTGCACCTCCGATTAGCACGATTGGCTATGTATGGTGCGAAATAAATTAAATATACATACATACATAAGCACCTACATGCATTCACATGGCAAGTGAAATCTCCGCAGCGTACAGTGGGCTCGGCTCCGCACCTTTGGGCCTCCTGCAGGCGCCGCGCGGCAATAACAAGGGCCCCGCACACACGAGAGGGCATGCTGGGGAGGCCAAGCAGCGGCACAGAGAGGTTCCAAAGCGCTGCGCTCAGCTCCTGCGTCACCCGGGCAGCATCGGAGGAGGAGACGGCAGCCCCCCGGGCACAGCGCCCCTCCACGCCACTCTGCAACATGGCTTGCAGGCGCTGCACGGCCGCCAAGCGCACCTGCAGGGAGAGAGAGATTCATTCATCACGCATAGTCAGTGAAGGACCGTTGCGCCAAACGTCTAACCTCTTGCGATAGCATCACATTAACTGCTCTTGCTGCCATACACCGGCGCCTCGAGTAATTTGTTTGATCCACGTATAACGGGGGTGACCACGGGCTCAGCGCCATTCCTTTGAGGGTGGCAGTCCACTTCGAACGAGAGGGCAGTGAGATGGCTCAGCGGTGGCACGTTCGTTCGCCACTTGATGCAGATGGTCGTGACTTGAGCCCGATGCCCACCCTAGTCCGTTCCCAGGGGTGTATTAACCATAAAATAATATGCACCACCCGCTTTACATGGGACGTTATAGATCCCCTGATGTTATTTCAAACGGGTAGGCCGTTGTGTGCCCGTGCCAATGTTAATGTTGCCAAAATGGAAAAAAATATCTGCACACTTCTCTCTTTAGTTTCCTTCTATCTTCTTGAATAGATGATGGAGCCGAATGAGATGTTTCCACCTATTCCTATTAGTTTCATGGCTTCCTTTATTGCCATTTTTGTTCAAACCCACAAAATTACTCAATTGGAATTACACAGAGCAATCACCCCCCCCACCTTTACCCCCTCCCCCTACATTTTCCCCCTCCCCCCCCCTTAATGGCAGACGAATTCTAGATCCGGTCAGGTGCTCAGTCACCTTGTGCCCACAGGGACAGCTGCCGAGCATCGTCATCATCATAATGCAGAAACAAAGTCAGTGTAATGTTGTATATGAGCACAGTAAGCTATGACTTTAACAGTGACAGGGAGTAAATTTAGGTTCAGCAACACACAATGAAGTGCACTGCAGTTAGAAAAGATCTGAGCCTTATCCAGACCACCATCTCAACAGAACTGAATATATAGTTAACTAGAAGAGGTGAAAATATAACAATTCCGACAGGCAGCAGTGAAACAAAGGCACAACTGTAAATCGATTTCATCCTCATTAGAGCTCATCAGTGCAGTACATTCAACGGTTTCACAGTGGTTAATGCACTGCACCATGAGCATGACCGTCTTCCTGAGTTTGATTCCTGACCACAGCTAAGATTAACAGCAAGTTGTATCTAGCCCACATGGCGTGGGGAGACCTTCATCCAGCAGTGGGTTGACAAAGGGCTGTAAATTATCATTAAAACTATTATGTCTATGTGGAGTGTGATGGTCGACGTTGTGTGCAAGCGAGAGGAAGCACCTGCACTGAACGGTGGCTCAGGTCATCTCCCAGCGCGGACACGGAGAGCTGTGCTCGCAGACACTCCACACGCAGCAGCACAGTACCCTACACACATAAGATACAAATAGTTAATACAGGCACGACACCACATTTCCAAATATTCCCCGTAAATCCTTTAACAGACTGTTGGGGCAAGTGCTGTTAGAGAGCACCTACTTTGGCCGGAATGGTATATTAGGGGGTGGGTGGCCAGGACCACGCCCAACCGCCTTAGTCTCCCTAGTGGCGATGTTTCCACACTGCAGGGGATACTAATTTGAGGCTGCGTCCACCTAGGGGAGGCCCAGAATCAGTTCAGATAATCGTCACTGGTGTTGGCCGTGAGCGGAAATCGAACTCAGGGGGCCGGGTTTGTAGTGCAGCGTGCTAACCACTACACTACCACTCCCCAAACAGCCCAACACACACAAGGCACACATAGTTAACACAAGCAAAACGCAGCATACACAATACCACAAATATTTGCTGTTTACCATGCTATACACGGCGGGTGACGTGGGGCCTAGCGGTAGCGTGTTCGCTGCTTCCTTTCAGAGGTTCGCAGTTCAAGTCCGGCGGCAGCCCCGATTCACGCTACGGGTGTACATAACCATGTCAGTAAGCTCCCTCCGCTTTGCAGTGGACCTTAAAGATCCCTTGATGTCATTTGCTAGGGTAGGCCATTGTGTGCCGGCGTCAAGGTTCAAAGGTGAAAAATTACTTCAAAGTATTGTAATATTGATACACACCACAGTATTAATTAGGGCGGCCAACTGGATTCGAACCAAGAAACTCTACAACAACCAGGGAACGCGATATCGCTCGGCAATGTCACCACCCCAAGTGGTTTACACATATATGACGCCATACCCATAACACAACAACACATGCATCAACTCTAATCGACACAACACAAACACAATACGATATACACACTACTAGAAACAACACCAACATTCCATAACAACTTACGCATGCCCTCAATGACAACACTCATAACACCTTACACGAACACTAATAAACAACACATGACATACACAAGACATTTGTGAGTGGTGTGCAGGATGTGTGCGTGTAGTGTGCTGGTTGTCTGAGTGAATGAGTGGTGTGTGTACGTGTGCATAGTGTGTGTTGTGCGTAGTGTGTGCGTGGTGTAGTGGCTATGTGTGCGGTATGAGTGAGTGGTATGTTGTGTGGTCTCTGTCGTGTGTGTGTGTAGTGAGTGCTGTGCAGCCTGAGCTTACAGCTGGCCTGCACGCCTCAATAGCCATTAGGCACTGGGAAGCCAGAGGCAGCTGCTGTTGATCCAGGCAGAGCTGGGCCAGCTCCAGCAGCAACGACAGGCTGCACACAAACACAGACATTCAAACAAAGATCTCACATGCCTATATAGTTTTTAACATACAGTTGGGGCAAGTGCTGTTCACGGGCACACGAGGTGGTGGGTGGGCAGCACCACGCAGAGCCGCCTTTGTCTCTAAAGTGGTGATCTTTACACACCACGCACTGATTTAAGACTGAGTTAACCTAGGGGAGGCCCAGGATCTCATTCAGATATTCATCACTGATGTTGGTCATAAGAAGGGAATCTAACTGGAGTCAGCGGGTTCGCAGCGCAATGTGTTAACCACTATACTACCACTCCCCGCATATACTCACAGACATACACGCATACAGCTGGAGCTGGGAATCGAACCCAAGTCACCAGGTTGATAGCATAGTGCGCTATACACCGTGCCACCACTTTTCACAAAGTAATGTTTACACCCCGAATTGTTACCGTTCATCCAATTGCAGGGATGCAGGCTCGTGAGGGGGCATCAATGATTACTTGCCTCACAGTAACATTCAGGGTCATCGAATGAGGAAAGATGAAGACAAACTTACAACGAAAAATATGATTGGATTGATTTCAGGACAGAACTCATTGATCAATGACCGACTGTTTCGTCTCATCCATACTGCATTCAACCACAACACTGCAGGTCACAACAACACACCCACTCACTTAACGACTCATTCACCCACCCACCAACTCACTCACCAAACTGCAGGTTACAACACTTCTCTCTCTGCTCTCGTCTCTTTACCCCAAGCTCGTATAATGACCTTACTGTAAAAGTGTTCACTCTAATCTATAACTTCGAGATTGCTGTTTATTGCTGGTCACTTGACATAGTGGACCTTTGGGCCTGTGGTCAGCAGCTGTGTATAAAAACAATCTTATAAGAAGTCGTAAGCCTTAACTAAAGCCGACACAGCACAGCAGAGGACCAGAGAGGAAGTTTTAACGGAATAAACCAAGACAGGGAGTGATATTTCTTGAGCAGGAAGTAGATCGGCAGAACTAAAATATCTCTCAAACACAAAAAACATGACCAACAAAATCGCAATTCTCACTTGTCATAGGAGAGGTCCTCTGGAGGGAGTGGCATCTTCTCAGGTACTTCCAGCACGAGCATAGACGCATCACGTGGTGAATCTGCTGCATCTGTCCGCTGATCCTCTTCCTTCGCACGTCTGTCTGAAACTTTCCCATGACACTGCTCTACAATTTTTTCACTTCCATTCTCCGCGGACCTGCTGGCCCGACTGCCTGCCGGCCTGCATGCAGCGGGAATAATTTTCACCTCCTCCTGCCCTTCTTCCTCCTCCACACCTGAGCCCCAGTTGCCGCTGGAGGGCCATGCGGGCGAGAAGTCAGGCAGCTGCACGGAGTTGAGCACGGCTGTGTGCTTGGTTGCGCGGGCGCGTGAGGGTGTGTGTGCCAGCACGGGTCCTGTGGTGGATGCTGCCGCCTCCTTGAACTCGAACCGCTGTGCCCCGGCTAGCCTCTTAAGCTCCCGCTTTGTGCCTGGTGACTCCTGTCCGCCCACAGCCTCGTCGTTGCCAGCCACGCCGCCGCTGTCGCTGCCGCCGCGACTGGTAATGCCCCTGTGTGTGGGCATGGTGCTGTCCTCCAGGGTCGTCGCGAGGCTGCTGGGACAGCTGGCGCTTGGCGTGGACGCGTCTGGCTCCGGGGAGCAGTCGGGCTGCGTCGGGCTGTCGTTGTGAGAGCGGGTAGCGAGGGCAGTTGGCACGACAAGCCCCGAGTGATGGGAGGGTGGTGCCGAGTCGCAGGACGCGAGCAGCTTGAGGATCTGCTTGAGCTGAGCGGTGATGTCGGCTGGGCTCTCACCAGATTCCAGTTGCCTGGAGGGAAACCAAATCAATGTAATAATCATAATAACCGAGTATATTTGGTATTTGTGGCATTCATATAGCACAAGGCTATTGCGGAGGAAGGTGCTATGTTTTATAGACACAGTAGGGGGCCCATATTGTGACGTGTAATTCCAATTATAAACTTGCAGTGTCATTTTTTTACGGAGTAAATTTAAATGGTGACACTAGCTCACCTACTCGTTTCGAATGACATCACAGGATCTTAACATCCACCGTGCGTGAAGAAGACAAAACATAATATTCCAATCGTTAATGCAAAGCGAAGTATTAACCTAGGCAGCTAGTTGGATTAGAAAAGTTAACTTATGCAACGAGCGACGGACGCGCTACCCCTGGGCCATGTTACACGTGCGGAAAAAACTGTGCCAACAAGACAGAAGACTATGAGAAACAATACAAATGAGGCAGCGATAACGAGACAGACACCAATACGTTTTTTTAATCGAACAGCAACTTCCACATTATAATAAACCATAGACTCTCAGGGGGAGACGAGAGAGAGGAGTGGATCATGGCAGGCCTAAAGTGGCCCGGTCTGCACTGGTCCACGCTGCCGAGAGGTGTGTGCGGAGGATGAGTGGGTGAGATGGCAGGGTGAGTTACGCACGCCTTCATGCGCTGCATTTGGACCAGTGCCTTGAGGAGTGGAGAGGAGGCGGCTTCCTTCGCAGCCTTGGCCGAGTCGAGCAGCCTATGTCTCACCTGCGCAGATACACACGCACAAAGATACCCCGTAATAGCCCAATAGACTGTTGGGGTAAGTGCTGTTAGCGAGCACCTATTATGGATGGAATGGTATATGAGGGGGGTGAGTGGCCAGCACCTTGTCCAACCGCCTTTTTCTCCCTAGTGGGGATGTTTACACACTGCACTAGGTACTAATTTGAGGCTGAGTCGACCTAGGGATGAGGCCCAGAATCAGTTCAGATAATCATCACAGTGCAGTGCGCTAGCCACTGTACCACTGCTCCCCACAATGCATACACATAGATACACAAACACGTCCTGGCCCGGCATGCACTGTATGTGTGTGTGGTACCTGCAGAGTCAGCACGTGTGGAAGTAAGTGGGGCGCACGTGTGCGTGTATACTGGGCAGCACGGAGAGCGGCACTCGCAGCCTCCTTACTTCTCCCTGCATCCAGTAGAGACTCAACCAGGCAGCTGCAGTCCGTGCAAGAGATATGAAGTCCAGACTTAGGGCATATGCATGTGTGCTCTGCGTGTGCATGTGTGAAGTGCTGTGTGTATGATGGGACAATGATGCCTGTGTGGGCAGTGATCTGTGTGTGTCTGGAATGGTGTGTGTGTGTTTGAGTGCTATGTGTGAGAGTGTGTGGCTGTGTCTAGGCAGCTCACATCATGAGCTCTGCCGTCCACACGGGGTCTGTGTCCTCGCAGTCTCCCAGAGCTGGTACCAGGGCGGCCAAAGCACCAGCGAGGTGACCGCGCAGCCCAGACACCCAGCAGGGCTGCGCTGAGCGCCACCACAGCACGCTGATGCGGTACAGCATAGGCACCAGTCTGCCACACACACACAGATGCCCCACGTAGGCTATGCAGGCTGTTGATGCAAAAGCTATTAGCGAACACCTATGAAGGCTGGCATGGCACACAAGGCAGTGGTGTGGCTAGGAATACATCCAGCCACTTCTCTCCCCAGGGCTGATATTTATACACCATACCAGGTACTTAAGTAAGGCTGAGTCAACCTAGGGGAAGCCCATGACTGATTCAGATGGCAGTGATGTTGAACATGTATCGAACTTGAGTCGCTGGGTTCGTAGCGCAGTAGCTATGCTACCAGTCCACACAGCACACAGACATTTATTTTTATTACGCTTGTTTACACAGGAAAGCTGCAGTGAATCTCAAGCGTTTTTGTTCGGAGGGTCCTGCCAAGTATTGCAGTAGGGGGCAATGTTGCTGCTATGTAATCCCTAATGAGTGATTTGCAAAGTTACCTTTCAGCATTGTGATGTTTGGCCAATACCATTTCAATTATGGGTTATTTAGCTATGGGGCGAAACTGGACAAACCCCATTCAGAACAGAGGGAGAACACACAAACTCCATAGAGAAAGATGCCTGAGTTAGAAATCGAACCCATGCCCTTCATGCTCCACCCTGCCACCTTACAATATATATAAAATTTTAGCTACAGGATTCAGAGCCGCACCTGGGGTCCTGCTTTGCCAAATGTGCAGCTTTGACGTAGTAGAGCATTGATTCATTCAGCTGCTCCTACACAGGGGGAAAAGAGCATACAGTACAGCACACACAAAATACATGCACAACATACACCAAAAATCATGCACACCATACACGCAGCATATGCACAGACAACATGCATAGATTAGAACATACAAAAGCATAGCACACACAGCATACAGAACCTACAAACCAACATACAAATTACATACACAGCACACAGCCTACACATCGCACACATGACATACAAATTACATACATGATATATACAGCACAGCACACATACTTTAGCATGCGTGTGCATGTGGCCCTCCCCTATGTTGACTGAGCCTTTAACTAGTACCTGATATGGCATGTAAACATCAGCACTGGGGAGACAAAGGCGACCGGGCATGGTGCTGGTCTCCCACCCCCTTGTGCGCCATACCGGATTTAATAGGTACTTGCTAACAGCACTTGGCCCAACAGTATGTCAAGGCTATATAAGGGGGATCTTTGTCTTTGTCGGGGTGTAGGTGTATGTGTGTGTCACGCACAGGCCGGTCGGGGCTCAGCGCTCCGTTGAGCTGGGCTTGGCACAGCACGATGCGCACGAGCAGGGGGCCGAGGGCCGGCGCTGTCTGCAGGAACCGGCGCACGCACTCCTCACCCACACCCAGCAGCTCATTCTACACAAACACATACAGAGGCAGAGATGTACAGACAAAGAGAAAGATCCACCGAAAAGCCTCTACAGACTTTTGGAGTAAGTGCTGTTAACGAGCACCTATGAAGGCCGGCACAGCACACGAGGGAATGAAGTGGCTAGCTCCACGCCTGGCCGCCTTTGTCTCCCTCATGGTGATGTTGCACATCGCACCAGTTACTAATTGAGGCTAACAGCACTTGCCACAACAGCTAGTAGGCTACATGTGGGATCTTTGTTGTTGCTGTGTGTGATATTGGGTGTGGCACAGTAGGGGGCACAGGTGGTGCATCAGCCAGTCATCTCAGTCAGTCGACCCGTGGCACCTGGGTCTGCCCCGTGACCTCCTGCCAGCGGGCGTTCGACACTTCACGTGGCCTCAAGGTGCACATGGCCTGGCACAAGCGTCGTGGTGACGTCACCGCCACTTAGTGGCGAATGGCGGTTGTTGTTGTGTGTACCTCTATTGCAAGCTCAGCACATATCACAAAGAGGTCTGGCGCCAGGCAGATTCCCTCTGTCTGGCCTTCCGTAGTGGCAGTGACCAGAATCTCATAGCCTTTCAGTAGAGTGCTTGAATCTGTACACACATACATAAACACACACCCCATTTAGCCTTTAACAAGCACCTATGAGGCCAACACAGCACACAGTCTCGTCATCATTGGCTTGATGTCTTCCCCTTGGTTGCCACTCCAATGCCTGTTATCAGTAACTTGCTGTCCTCCATTATGCATATTATACCATCCAGAGTAACCTCCTCTTCCTGATTACATCTACAACCGATTTTTTACAGAAATAAATGAGGTGACAGTACACCTCCTTCCCATATCTGTCCCTTCACATGATTCAGTGAGGCTTTCCTTTGTATAGAAACAAATTCTGTTTATCATCTTCTGCACGTAAACATAGTCTATCCTAGACTATGCTGACATATGCAAATCGACCTCTAATGCCACATAGAATTTTCAAAATGCAATCATTCCACCACGTGCTTGATGCTACAAACTATTCCACTCATCACATGGTTCTCACCCATTCTGTGTTAGTGCCCCAAACACCTGGAATTCGATCGCTTCAAAATGTCCTTACTCTCCCATCTCAATCACGATTCTGTGCTAAGCTGTTGATTCTTTATACAATTACTTGCAATTAACATATACCCTTGTCAGTTTAGATATAAATATGATAGTTAATGCTTCTAAATTCATTGTAATTGTACTATGATCGTTTAAAAAATAATCTGCCCGAACTGACTTACGCTGCAGGGAAAATATTATTTTACATGCATTTATGTACGTGCAATATTTTCTATATCTCATGTGGCACAGTTGTTTTCTTCTCTGAATTTATTTGCTCTTAGGGGCCGTCCTTAAATGACGTCACGCGATTTTGGAAGATTTTTGACCCCCCCCCCCTTCGTCACACGGCGTCACAAAAAGTCAGACCCCCCTCAAATATGACGTCACAAAGCTCTGCCCCCCCCCCAAAAAAATATAAAACATGCTTCAAAGTGCGTATTTAATGTGGCGCTGCACTCTGATGTTGTAGGAGAAAACATTTATTAAAAAGCCAATTCAATTAAGTAGAACGTGTTGTCTAATTTATTTAAAGTTGCGTATTTTGATGTGACGTCACATTTCACAACCTCCCCCCCTCCCCCTCGTCACACATCGTCACAAATGTATGACCCCCCCCCACTAGGTGCGTGACGTCATTTATGGACGGCCCCTTATTTGCTGTACTTCATATAATTTCTTTCGCTTTTTTCATATTGGTGAACTAGACCACTCTTGACTATCCTGGTCTCTTGAGTTCTCACCTGTTAAAACAAATAAACTTGTCTTAACTAGACGCCATCATTTGTGACTGTCTTGGCATAAAGTACATGTTAATGTGCCATTTTGTTGAGCAACTGTGTGCTCTCTTAGTCTGGTCTGCGACTGTTTTGTTGTTTTTGCTTCCTTGGCCAAGCTTGATAAATAGTTAAATAGTTAAGTATTTAACTATTTATATTTACTGACTTGCGTAACATTCTCTCTATTTTGCAATACTATCGTTTGTTTGGTATTGTTTGCGTTGTAACTTGCTAACCCGCCAATACTGGACATCTACGTAAAACTATCCACTTAGTTCATCGGATTTCTCCTGCAGTCTAAATAAAGATTCTGATTCTGACACGGGATATCAGTGGCACGGCTCAGATTTTCCAGTTGAAAAGCAACCAACCCAATGCTTCCCGACGCGCGTCACACTGGCTGAGCACGGTCCCACCGCGGTTCAGATGTGCCAGTGGGAAAAGCCACATCTAAAAATGTCCCCTTTTCCCACCGGACTCTTCTGCGGCTGCTCTCTTTCGCTTGCCTCTGTCGCGCCGGGCAGCCTCCAACGCTTGCCGGACGCGAGCCTCCATGTTGCCCGCAGCCCAAACACAGGTGGGGGTGTCAGCGCCAGTGCCTAAGCGAGACAGGCGACAAGCTGTACACTTATACTGGTAGGAACCTCCTGGTTACACCACCAGCCCACAGGGGATTATTGTGTCCGTCCATCCGTCGTGCATCCAAAAATGGGAGGGGTGGGGCTGGGTGGGGAGGGGCTGGGTGGGGAGGGTGGGGAGGGGTGGGGGGTGGGAGGGGTGGGGCTGGGTGGGGAGGGTGGGGAGGGGTTGGGTGGGGAGGGGCTGGGTGGGGAGGGAGGGGCTGGGTGGGGGGTGGGGAGGGTGGGGAGGGGCTGGGTGGGGAAGGTGAGGCTGGGTGGGTGGGGTGGGGCTGGTCACCCCGTGGTGCCCTTATAAAACTCAACGTTTAACCTACTCACGCCGGCTTGTGCCCGCCCTCACACTCGGGCATATTTGCGGAATACACCACGTGGTGCCGCCGTTGACCCTGGCCATTGACCGAGCAACCAACGTTCCTATCAGCCCCCTCCGCAGGAATGTGTTCACGGAGCCTCCGATTTCTAAACTCGCAGCACTTGACAGCAGTGAGGAAACATAGTCGACAACGTCAAGCAGTCATGGTGATTGATGATGCAGCACTCACTGATTAACTCCAAACACTTGCTCAGCGGTCAGTTACCTCCTTATTCTTGGTTCTTTCGGTAAAGTCACGTAGAAGGGAAACAATAAAATAATAAAGATATAAAACAATAAAACTCTCACGACGTTTCGACTGCAACGCAAGCAATCATCATCAGGTGTGGTTTATCGAAATAACCAAGAATATGAATCCCTGCAGTCACGAAAGCTTTAAATCAAAATTTAGTTACCTCCTTATCTATCACTCTTCTATCGCTACTACTGTACCATGGTTACCGTTCCTTTGAACTTCACTCATCGGTTTTTTGTTCACACAATTCTCATTCCCGCCATAGAAATGTGGAATTTTCGCCACTGTAAGCAGATGAGCACCACAGAATGCCTCAATGTTCATTCGAGCAGAGCATCACTTTGCCTCTGATTTATTGCAATTTTAATCGTGCTGATTGTTGCTGGCCGAATGGCGTTTACTACATTTTGAACCGTGAACAAAGGTGTGAATTAAGTAATCGATAATTCGAGTGTTGTGTTAACTTAATTTAAAGAGGGGGTCACGTGACCACAGCACCAGTGCTATGAATGGCTATTGGCCGAAACGTCGCCTGTTATATATAAAATGTTATTTTTGACTTCTCAGGCCAATTTTATCGACCAATGCGTTGAATGCGTTTGTTAATTGTGCCTGTGCATCATTACGAACGCATCAGCAGCAGAGTCTCAAAGACGAATGGCTTAAATTGTAAACGAGCGCTTACAAGAGCCGATTCAACAAAACTTTCCTCATGCCGCTCTTCGGCTTAACGCCTGAAGCAGCACCAGCAGACCACCTCCTCCTTCCTCACCTGTGTGTGTGTCTCTCTCCTCTGTCTCTTCACTCTGTGTCTCTCTCCTCTGTCTCTTCAGTCTGTGTCTCTCCCTCGTGTGTCTCTCTCCTCTGTCTCTCCCTCGTGTGTCTCTCCTGTCTCTCCCTCGTGTCTCTCTCTCTCTTCTCTGTCTCTCCCTCGTGTGTCTCTCTCCTCTGTCTTTCCCTCGTGTGTATGTCTCTCCCCTCTGTCTCTCCCTCGTGTCTCTCTCTCCTCTGTCTCTCCCTCGTGTGTCTCTCTCCTCTGTCTCTTCAGTCTGTGTCTCTCCCTCGTGTGTCTCTCTCCTCTGTCTCTCCCTCGTGTGTCTCTCTCCTCTGTCTCTTCAGTCTGTGTCTCTCCCTCGTGTGTCTCTCTCCTCTGTCTCTCCCTCGTGTGTCTCTCTCCTGTCTCTCCTCCTCCTCCGTGTCTCTCGCCGCGTGTCTATCTCCCACGCTCGGCGTTCATCGCCATGGCAACAACGGCCGTCGCGCGCCCCCGGCGACTGCGCGTGCGCGGACGCCGAGGGCGCTACGGGAAGCCCGCGGGGCCACGCCGCGTCTCCTACGCGCAGGGTATCACCAGGTCCCTACGCGTAGGGTATCACCAGGTCCCTACACGCAGGGTATCACCAGGTCCCTACGCGCAGGGTATCACCAGGTCCCTACACGCAGGGTATCACCAGGTCCCTACGCGCAGGGTATCACCAGGTCCCTACGCGCAGGGTATCACCAGGTCCCTACGCGCAGGGTATCACCAGGTCCCTACGCGCAGGGTATCACCAGGTCCCTACGCGCAGGGTATCACCAGGTCCCTACGCGCAGGGTATCACCAGGTCCCTACGCGCAGGGTATCACCAGGTCCCTACGCGCAGGGTATCACCAGGTCCCTACGCGCAGGGTATCACCAGGTCCCTTCGCGCAGGGTATCACCAGGTCCCTGCGCGCAGGGTATCACCAGGTCCCTGCGCGTAGGGTATCACCAGGTCCCTACGCGCAGGGTATCACCAGGTCCCTACGCGCAGGGTATCACCAGGTCCCTGCGCGCAGGGTATCACCAGGTCCCTGCGCGCAGGGTATCACCAGGTACCCTACGCGCAGGGTATCACCAGGTCCCTGCGCGCAGGGTATCATCAGGTCCCTACGCGCAGGGTATCACCAGGTCCCTGCGCGCAGGGTATCACCAGGTCCCTACGCGCAGGGTATCACCAGGTACCCTACGCGCAGGGTATCACCAGGTCCCTGCGCGTAGGGAGGCACCAGGTACCCTGCGCGTAGGGTGTCACCAGGTCCCTGCGCGTAGGGTATCACCAGGTCCCTACGCGTAGGGTATCACCAGGTCCCTGCGCGTAGGGAGGCACCAGGTACCCTGCGCGTAGGGTATCACCAGGTCCCTGCGCGTAGGGTACCACCAGGTCCCTGCGCGCAGGGTATCACCAGGTCCCTGCGCGTAGGGTACCACCAGGTCCCTGCGCGCAGGGTATCACCAGGTCCCCGCGCGTAGGGTATCACCAGGTCCCCGCGCGTAGGGTATCACCAGGTCCCCGCGCGTAGGGTATCACCAGGTCCCTGCGCGTAGGGTATCACCAGGTCCCTGCGCGTAGGGTACCACCAGGTCCCTGCGCGCAGGGTATCACCAGGTCCCCGCGCGTAGGGTATCACCAGGTCCCCGCGCGTAGGGTATCACCAGGTCCCCGCGCGTAGGGTATCACCAGGTCCCTGCGCGTAGGGTATCACCAGGTCCCCGCGCGTAGGGTATCACCAGGTCCCTGCGCGTAGGGTATCACCAGGTACCCTGCGCGTAGGGAGGCAGCACCAGGTACCCAGCGCGTAGAGGACAGAGTTAAAAGGCACGCGTTGAGATAATTGGGCACAGGTGACCGGAAGGCACTATAATCATGAGTCATAGTTTCATAGTTCCATTTATTTTGGTATAGCCCTGTGAGCCATTCGGCTCTTGAATCGGGTACAACCGCAACAAACAAAAAAAACACGAATAAGAAAACATCTTAAAGTCAATCGAGGAGACACGTGTTGTAGTAGAGTAGTGGCGGGGGGGGGGGGGGGGGGAGGCCCTGTCCGATAGGGACGGGGCCGAGCGAGTATACAAGGGGGAGCGAGGCACGCCGTCGGGGACGCTTGCCCGTGGATTCATCGTCGACCAGAGGTGGAAATCACCTGAGCTGACTGTTCGAGATCCTACTCGGTGGAAACCATCGGGGCTGACTGACCGAAACTATGTGCAATGACCGACATTAACAAGCCCAATGTGCTGCCAAACTTCAAATAGCAGGCCAAGGTCAACTTTTGGTGTAAATAGGCCTCCTCCACGACGGTTGATTCGGGAGGCAGAGTTTCCAAAAGATTGGAGGAAAGATTTAAGCCAAAAAAAATCGGGAAACGGAGTTGCAACACGGAGGCGACGTTAAGGAATCTTTGGGAGGAGGAAGGCGTGGATTTGTTGCGGTAAAAACAGTGAAGGAAAGTTCGAGGAGGATAAGAGGGGAGAGCACGAGGAGTGGGGACGTTCGAGGGAAGGGACGAGCTTCAAGATGAAGAACGAAGCCCGGGCCCAGTGTATTGATGTCTAAAATAAAAAAATGCTCCTAGCATACAGTCGTCGGTGTCATTTCATATGTATAGCGAGAAGCAAGGTTGAAGATATTCTTGGTTCTTTAGGTAAAGTCACGTAGAAGGGAAACAAAATTATAAAAATATAAAACAATACAATTCTCACGACGTTTCGACAGGAACGTTATTTTATATTTTTATTATTTTATTGTTTCCCTTCTACGTGACTTTACCGAAAGAACCAAGAATATGAATCCATGCAGTCACGAAAGCTTTAAATCAAAAGGTTGAAGATGTTAAGTGTACCAGCAGGGAGCACTATAACACTAAAAAATGTCCGATATGGATGATTCAGTCAGTCGTGTTTCAGTGATTGTTATATTATCGTGGATATCCGTGTTTTTCTTTTTAACATGGGCATTGATTCACGCAATCAGAAACATTTTTCCTCTTCACTCTGCACTCAATGGCCAGAACATCGCAGTCTTTGTTCCTTCGCTTCGTACTCCGTATTGTATTCTGATGTCTTCACCTCCCTCAGTGTTACTCCGGTAATCCAGCACAGCTTGAGCGTTTCTGCTTTGACTACCATGTGATCTTCTTTATTGTTCAGCTTTTTGATAGGACTTAATTTGGATGATTTCAGATGTACTCTACATTGTATATAATCCATAGACCATAAATGTTACACTGGATTCATTTGATTGACGGCAGATGTACCGGATACATTGAATACGCTGTTTAAATGTTGTACAGTTTTGCGTAAATACTAAATATTCACTCAAATCTGAGTAGATTTGAGTGAATATTTAGTTTGGGCTTTCAAAGATGGGATGAAATTGTTTCTTAAATTTAATTTCACAATGTGGCATTTTTTTAAGGCGGCGGTCATTGGGTGGTGTTGCTGTGATCCTCCTGACTTCCGTCGTTGACTTGGTCATCCTAAAGATGAATCCCCTCTGTGGGTCATGCCCCTGAGAGAATCCTCTTGTCAACCCGATCTTCCTCGACGTGTACAACTGTCAAAGAGAATCTGCACCAGTGCTTTGACATGGCCATATGAAATAGATTTATGAAGCCACAGCGCTATAACAAGGCATCATAGAGTTTCTAAATCAGTACTTTGATAAGCTATTGCGAATATCTTATGAGAAACTAAGTCCTAGGACTTGAACATGGGATATCTGATTGTGATACATTTGCCACGCCGAACACCCCATTTGCACAATATACGTATGTTGAACTTCTTTCCCACCCTACGTAGCCAACCAACTGTGCTTATCAGAGGTGCGGGTAATTGTGGAATAGACCTGGTAACTGTTGCTGAAAGAGCTGAGATTTTTTAAAATTTCACATATACAACCCTTCAGGTCCCCGCCTATCTCACATTCACATTGATACACATTGGCGCCTTCGGTCTCCTGCGTGGTGCCTTCTATACGTTGTCCTAATCAAACATAACAAGGGTTTGCATACACATAAATTACATAAACACATTGCTGGCTAACTTCTTCAAATGCGTCGCAGTCTGAACTTCCAATCTGAACTGGATTCAGCCCACAACTCTTGTCTACAGGGATTGTACCGACACAGGAACAGTGGCACGCTGCAGCGTGTAGCACACTAAGTTATAGATCGCTTGCTTGCGATTGCAAAAAAAAAAGCATTGCTTTAATTGTATTTATTTAAAATGTATGACGATTCAATTAAGCGAAACCTGTCTAATTTTCTGGTATGTAAATTGGCTATGACATTCCTTTACCATACTATTATTTTCGTCTATAAATATATAAGGGTTTTTTTGTCCAAAATTGTGCCCAAAAGGGTCCATGTTTCAGAATCTTCATTTATACTGGAGAAATCCGATGAGCCATGAAGCTCTATTTCACGGTTGTCTATTTAATGAGGTGGCAACAGCAGAGTGGGCAAGACCAAGGCACAATGAGGAAAGCGACCACTACGGCTGTGGAGGAGCGGGTTCGGTGGTACATCGGACACCAATTAACAAAAAACTGCCAAATCGCTGCGACATTGGGTTGCGGTGGAATCATATTCGTCATCAAAAAGACCACCATCGTCCCCATCATCGACAGCCACTGTGGTTTCATCATCGATTACATGAGTAACACATCTGTATGGGATGTCACCAGCAGTCAATTTTTTTCTCTCTCGGAAGACTGACGTCTATTATGGAATTTCCACCACAGACTCCGTAGCAGATTCCCCTTGGCCCATTCTTCAACTACGCTTGGCTGGCAAGATGAGAGTGGGCTCATTCTCCACTAATCCTGCCTACTCTTTAATTGCTAAAGTTTGTCCTCGCTGGTTAATGGATCGCAGCCCACCTGTTGATGTCTGAAAAAAATGCTTTCACATGGAAGGTATGTATGTATAACTTATTTCGCACCATCCTACATAGCCAACGTGCAAATCGGAGGTGTGCGAGAAGGACAACACACTAAACACAAATAAGTTGT